AGATTATTTAAGGTTCCCCTGTCATCTATGAGCTTTTTTATACGATTTGAGGACGAAAAAAGTTTTTTGTAGAGGGCAGTGGAGTGTGCGGAGTTTGCCAAAAAGGGGGCGGGGCCAACATGAAATACTTTCGAGCCTAACTTGATTATATGAACACGAATTGGAACCATTGTGCACATTAAAACTGATGTTTAGGGTGTCGCGCACCATTGCGCGACATCGTCCACAGGGACAGACGGCCTCTCGTGCACCATTGCGCGACACCGTCGTCAACGTGTTAATGTAGATTACGAGGCTTAGGCTATCGAATATATACATTCTTGTGCCTTCACTTGCAACTCACGTAGTAGTGCAGACTTAGCATTTACCGTAACCCAATATTTTCGCAGTATTCTACCAGTATTTTACATTTGCATAGGTAAGGAAAAATGATTATATCTTGCTCTTGAAGAAAAGTTTTCATATGAAATTTCTGCTATGTAAAGAAGAAGGTTGAGTAGCAACAACGGTATAAAAACGCAGCTATTTGATCTGTTTGAAGGTAAGTTAATGGGGTGTGGCACCACGCCTAAAAAGCTGTGGCAGCCACAGCTTTTTAAGGGTGCCACACCCCATTAACTATATTGAAAAAACATTATTAGCGAACGTTAATATGAGTCGATAGCCTAGACCTCGTAGATTTCATAGGAGTGATTTGAGCCTGATTCGTTTTCTTAGCTCTGAGTATTATTTGGTGAGAGCCCGCAACCATTAAAAGCGAGAAATATGAAAAACAAGATTTTGATTGGCTTCTAATTCCAAAGTTAGGAGGTCTTTTGAAACGAGATTTCTGAAGTGGCCAAAGAAGGAGTAGTGCTTTGTCTTGACTGCAAAAATAGCCAACTACTTCACCTTCGAAACAAAGCTAATCATGCTGGAAAATGGCGATTTCAGTTAGGTGACCCAGTACCTTGAAATTTCAGAATTTGCTTAAACATTGTCTATATAAGTTAACTGGCATGCTAATTATGAATAAGTTGCCGTTATGTTTGACAGGGAATTCATGTAAAGCTATCTTAGGTATATACAGGGTGTCCCAAAAAATGTATCGAACGTTTGATCGTTAGTACCTCTCTTCTGAAGAAGTCTTTTCCCTTGCTTTAGGTACCAATCTGTAGAGCTGGCTTCAACTTAGATTTGCATTATAGAACGAATCACTCATCTCTCTTCATTACTGTGGGATTACGGTAGAAACTTCAAAGAGGGTTTTAAGCAATGAAAGGTCATATTACTCAGAAAGGAAACAAAACAGCCTCAAAACTTTTACACTGGGCTAATTAGAGTTGCTGATTATAACTGTAAAGTTCCCAACTTATTATGATGCTTCATTGAAGAGTTATGCCAGGTAAGAGGTAGCGGCCATTATTTCAATGTTCCTAAAAAGTGCGGTTACACCGTTTAGAAGGCTTCATAATCTCGTGAATAGTTGAGTATTAAACTCAGCGTTCATAAAAACCCTATTACACAAGTTTTCACATTTTTTTGAAAAATTTTGAAACGGCAGCTTTTTCCACATTGACACCATATGTTTCATGTTTCTACCGTAATCCTACAGTAATGAAGAAAGATGGGTGATTCGTTCTATAATGCAAATCTAAGTTGAAGCCAGCTCTACAAAACGGTACTTAAAGCAAGGCAAACGACTTCTAGGGAAGAGAGATATCAACGATCAAACGTTCGATACATTTTTTTGGGACACCCTGTACTTCAGGGGTCTTATTGAGACAGCATAAGAGGGGGAGGGGGGGAGGGGGATCGTAACCAGCGATCGTGTGCCACACCTCCTGCTTGACCCTGGTTATAGGCTGTTTCAACGACAGTGCCGTTTGCTCCAGCGACTCGAGTAAGTATGCGCGGCCGCCTCGCTTCGAGCTTGCGCCGATTCTGCGTTCGCGCCCGCCATTCCTTAGTCGCCTCACAGGCTCGGGAAAATGCCAGGATACGTTATGTAGGTACGTTGTAAGCATATAAATCTGATCAAGTATAGGGCAATAAAATCGTGAAGATGGCGCGGCCGCGTGCGCCGCCCATCTTTTAAAGGCATCGTCCACCCAAAATCTTGAATTCAATGTTTTTGTCGCCTTCAGGCCTTCTGAAAGCCCTGATTCCGAATATGGAGTCGAAAATCCGCGAAACCCCCAAAAATCCCTGTTTCGAGAACCCACTGCAACAAACGCAAGCAAGATAAAGCATGCAAGTGGGCGGGGCGACCGGGGTCGCCCCGCCTACTTTGCTACTTCCGGAGCGGATTTCTCGCTCCAGAAGCAGTCTTTTGGAGGTTTTTCTAGTATGGGGGCCCACACTAGTATGCCATCATAATCTTGCCAACCTCCATTTTGGGTGGACGGTGCCTTTAAGGGCAACCGCATTTTCTTGGTTTCCATCTCTACTCGAACGTTTTTTTTGCACATACTAAAATCGGAGCAGAGCAAAGAAATGATGACTTTTGGATGGATATTTCATGCTTCTGCGAGCGCAAAGACCACAGTCAAAACCATTGTCACAATTTTATGAATGTCCCTAACTCGTGGTAGTACACCAAAAGTTCAAAGCACCCAAACATCCTACTTTTACTCCACGCAATGACAAATGAATGGTCCCAGTACAGATTTACGATCTGCTCTCTACATAGTGTTTGTCGTTCGAATGAATATTGGCACAACAGTTTACACGATTTATAAAAAATCGCAGTGTTATTACGAATTAGTCTTTTACATGAAGTTGCTGTCAGATTGGGTCAATGGCTGTGGCTTTTTTTTAGAGCTGTAGAGCATGCCAGCTTTGTCTAACCTTCTACTGTTTGTTCGGAAACAATGATTTTGCGCAACGCTTATCATCATGTGAAGCTGTTTCCAAATCAAATAACGCGTTTTTCTCATTAGAGATTAGGAACACGGAAATGATGCAATAAGGAAGTTTGCTGGAATGAATCATTAGATTACCTATATTGCCCATAAGTTAATCACAAAAGGGGACTGACATGTGCGTCATTCCGCGCTGCAAAAAAATTTCTGTATAATACATCCTTAAAGGCACCGTCCACCCAGATTTTCGACATCCACGTTTTTGTCGTTTCAAGGCCTTCTCATCTCCCTAATTCCGAATATGGAGTCGAGAATGCGTGAAAACCCCGACAATTCGCGTTATGAAGAATCCACAGGCCGGCTTTCCCGAATGGTGATTGGACGGGCGCGCACAAATGGGCGGGCATGGATGGGAGGTCCTGGTGCATCTTCGCTATTCCGAAGCGATTTTCTCGCTTCCGAAGCGGCATTTTGCGCTGCGACTTGGGCATTGGATTGATAGGGGCCCTACTATTACATGCTGCCAAAAGCTCAACACTCTCAACTTAGGGTGGACGCTGCCTTTAAAGGTAGAAATTTCTCATTTCTACCGGCTGCTAATTAGAAAAAAAAGATTGTCTTCTAGAGTACACAGGTCCAGTGCGGCAGTAAAAGCGCGAATAAATGCTCGAACAGTTGTGCATTAATGCTACTAAATTCAGCAGCAATTACACTTCTCTCAAGGCGGACCAGCTCGAATTCGACATGATGCGTGTGCGCATCGCCATGTTTCTGCAGTAGGCTACGGACTGTTATGGTAAGTTACAGTACCCGTCTCTCTTCAGTTTCTTAAAGGCAGCGGTCGGCAAAATGACAGCTTTGGGATATTCATCATTGTCGGTTCCCCTGGATGAGCTAAGTCCAAAGCTGTGCTCTGCAGCTTCAAAAGATATCAATAACATGCTTTTCCAGACGTGAAAAGCGCTGTTTTGCGGGCGCAATTGGCTCGTGGGTACGGTGGGTACAGTATCTCCACTCACGAGCCAATCGCGCTCTAGAGGGCAGATACGCGGTCCGCCCTCAAATAGCGCTTTTCACGTCTGGAAAAGCCGGTTATTAATATCTTTTGAAGCTGCAAAGCACAGGCTTGGACTTGACTCATCCAGGAGAGCCGAGAACGATGAATATCCCAAAGTTGTCATTCTGCCGAGCCGCTGCCCTTGAGCTATGTGCGGGAAATGTAGCGCAAACCTGTCGCGCTGCGGGGCACAATTTTGCCGATATTTCCCATCCCGATTGAGAAAGTACATGCGTATTTCAGGCATACTTCCGTACTTTCATTCGCTAAGCGATCTAGCAGTTTGCCAAGTTTCTTCCAGTGCAGCACTTGCATACTACAATGTATGGTATGTACAACTTCCGGAGAATGATAATGCTCTATGTTCTATAAATTTGGATCGTGTTTACGATGAGGCATAAACAGTTGAAGCATTGCCAGATCGCCCGCGACTGAAACGTCGTGAAGTATGCCCGGAGCTGAGACTCACGCATGCCTAGCTTTCCATGCGATTTGGCAACGATCGGATTTTCATAAAACAATCGTGGTGCGCATTTTGATGAACAATTCGGGAATATTTCATCAATTTGCAAATGTCATACACACTACGCATTTCTGGTCTCCGTCTGTATTTGAGGGCATGTATTGGCAAATCGACTGACGACTTATGTCGCGCGTGTTTAAGTGATAATTTGATCATCAAACTTGCAAACTACTCTTTTTCAGATTCGTAATTTTTCACTTAAGCAAAATTCTGCTTACTTCAACTTTTGCAAACTAGAGTTTAATTCGATAATCGGCTTCGGGAGGCAACGGGCGCGGTAGCCTCCCAATTTGCATTAACAACTATGGGTAGATGGGATACAAACCTTGCATTCCAAGACGAAGACAGATACAGCGTCTTTTCGTTTATAAGCCACAGCATGATTAGCTCAGACTTCCAAACTTTCGGGACTATGTATGACTTCCAACAACGTGATCATAGACAGGTATCAAAATGTCAAAACAACAATAGAATCTGTCACCTTTACTATGCAAAAACAGTGAATGAAATCAAAATTCCAGCAAAACAAGTTCGTACATATATTTTTGAGAAAAGATGCGTTGAAAAACCATCAAGAGCCTTGTGATTGGAGCGAGAAACATAATCGATGATACTAGAACGATAATCAAATAGACAATTGAGCAAAAATGAAGGATAATGGCAGTCTTAACCTAAAATGGAATCAAAACGACCACTCATAAGTTAAAAGATCAGGGTGTAGAAACAGAAACTTTAGTGTTCCTAGAAAAGAGATCGGAGATCAGAAGCCTACACGAATACCTAGGTAAGATTTGATACAAGTTTCCCAGACATAGAAGAAATAGCTGCAAAATTGCTAATTACACTAAAAACATACAACTATACAAATAAAGCTCAGTTGTGTAACAAAAGCCCGTAAAGGGAGGGGAAGTATGGAAATTGATTCAAGCATAACACAGAACAATATCAACACCATATCCGACTTAGCAAACGACAAGGTTCAATCACTCAGAGTTTGATCTTTTTCTGATAGCCAATTTCTGCGCTGATGGAGTCGTATAACAAAAACTGAAAGCAAAGTATAGATGTAATCAAGAATGTGCTTTCAAAGAAACTCACATCGTCGCTCCGGCGCTTCGTCGCCACAGAACAAGTACGCGGTGGATCATTAGTTGGCGGCGATGGTAAAGAAGAAAGGGAGAGGTCAGGGTTCTGAACATGAAACGATAAGGAAAGAAAAGTTGATATAAACTGATTCTAATCTTACGTATGTCTTGAGATCGGAATACTTGTGATTGCTGAGAGAAAGAAAAATTTGGTCGCTTTCCCCAGCCAAAACCGGCTGTATGGGAGAAGCGTTGCTGATATCACAGATAGAGGAGAGATTAGTGATGTTAGACAGTGACGTCAATGGAGGAGAGAAGCTTTCAGTCTGCGTACAGTCATACAAACTGAAACACAAGAATTCGTCAAAGTTCGCGATACTTAGAGAAAAATTGACGTACCAATTCGGCAGTAAGGACTCTGTTGGATCACACGCAGATAGCGTCTCATCTCCATCGTCAGCTGACTCCGATACCGATGAGTATAAAGAGTAAAGGGAAAGGCGAGTCTCACTAGACTTATCGCCTAAACGTCCTATGGCTCCTTCGCGACCTAAATGTGCAGTACCATTCCAAGCCTCGAAATTGTAGAAGTCATGGTAGGGCTCAGATCTTGCGACTGGAATGAGCTTGCATCAGTCACAATCGAAGGGTCTACTCACATGATAGCAAGAAAACCGGGGAGAAATGAGAGCTCAAACACTTCAGCTTACCAAATCTAACGGTTCATGTTACAAAAAATCCAAGAATTCTAGAAGTGAAATTTCAATTCTAGCAAGCGAGATATCTCTGTCAAACGGAATGATGAAAGATTTTACAAACATGAAAAGTGAGCAAACTCACATCAAACAGTCAAGTACACTTCGTATTTTCAAAGAAAAAACAGCAGATCTGCACCTTAGTTAAATCTTTCAAAGCTTTACCTGGTTGACTAGACTCAAACAGAAGCGGATCAGATAATGGAGTGTTATCAGGAACTGCCGCCGAATCCAGCCAGATATCATTCTGAAATAAAATCATACACACCTTCAAAAACTTGAAGAAAAAATTTCTGGCTCCTAATCACGGCCTAATTTCGACTAGCTATGGCATACTTACCGCAGGAGTCATGTCGTCATCTTCCGGTATCATGACATCCCCCTCCTCAAACTCCTCATCAGAAAAGTCCGAACTACTACGGGATTTTTCAACCTCATACGATATGTCCGTACTTCCATCATTTTCGGGACTCTGCACAAAAAGTGGGTGACATGCCTTTTAAAAGGGATGGTGAAAGATTCTCTGCATACCTCAGCGCAGTTGTCGTATTCCTGAGATGAGTAATTCTCCCCATTCTGTTCTTCCGACTGTTCATCTTTCTTCCGACAAAGATCATTAACGAAGTTCTTTATAAGAAGTCTAAAACAAATCATAAAAGGTCCAAGTAGTTTTGAGGCACTACACGATATCACTATTTGATGGAACTGAATGAATGTACAATTCTCAAAAGACGCCAACGAACTGATGTGCGGTCACGATACGCGAAATCGCAACATTTTCAGCTGATACAAAGCCAGAAGATAAGAGATTACAAGCTTTGAAAGACCGAGATCAAAAGTCAAAGCAGGAGTATCATTTACAACACCTTGATAAGGAGTTTACCCAAAGAACATCATATGCGTCATATGCGAGTCAAGTAGACAATAACGAATAAATCATGAACTTCTATGCAATTAACTGCAGCACCTTTTTCTCATGGCCACACCACCACAGCCTGCCTTCCTTCTTTCTGTCTTGTCGCTTACTTTGTCGATAGCCAAGCTGCACAGATGTTTGAACACTTCCTCGTTCAACATCGCAAATGAATCCATTCCTACGACTTACCTGAAAATTGATTCTAGAGTTAGTCCTGATAATATTAACTGACGACGAATTAATTAGCGAAACAGTACAATCACATCATCAGCTTCAAAAAGGGGACAAGTAAAAACTAATGTTCCACAGATGTATATGTGAGTGCGGAATCTTTCTGGAACTTCAGGGCAGATTTCGAAAAATGTAGCACTACAGAAAACAAAACGTTGAATACAATCCCTTGTAGTCTCCACGCGAAAAGAAATTGAAATCGGCTTTGTTATAAAAAAATTTTTCACTACAAGACTCTACAAGTACTGCAGCTGAATTCACGTTTAACAACGAAAAATACTCTCTAAGCTGATCGGTGAGATGATATATGCCGTATGACCTGAAAGGCTCTAGAAACGTAAACGCAAGCTGACTAAAAAATGCGGGAATTTGACGATATAAAGGCGCTTGCAGGATGAGTTAAAATTAGAATTTCGTGTGCTAAATCTTTATAACCGATAGTACTACATCTCAGCATCAAAAGGCAGGTCATCGAATCCCATCCCTTCGTTCACCTTTACAAAAAAGCTATAGACAGGAGCAATAATACTTCGTCCTTTGCTTTCACATGAATTCAATTTTGCTATCCTAAGTGAGGTTCGTGTGCTGCCGCAAATGTTGCGTTCAACCAGGTCTTAGTATTTGATTCGTGATACGACTCCTACTAGCCAGCCATGCACTGTGACCTTGCTCGAACACTGCTTTTCCAATTCACTTGATTTGCTGTTTCCCGCAATATTTGATGAGAGGAATGAATTTATAATTATAATTCAAACTGAGAAACGTTATCACGGCACCGATGATGAATCAACTCAAACAAAAATAGAAACAGTTCAATCTTCAAGATGTTCGACTGCTTTTCAAATAAGCTGACTGATTACAGCGACATAAGCACTTCAACAGAAAGGTACCAGATATGAACAGATCATACCCCTAAGTCAATCAAACCATTCCCTAAATTGGTGTTGATCTTAGCGGATTGAAATACTCAGAAGAAAACGACCTAAAGCAGAGCAACACAGTTCCCTGAGGGTATCTCGATGAAACGGTGTACCCATCTACGATCAGAAAACTTCTGCAACAGATTACATTACGAACAGGCGGAAGACCTCAGTAAGTTCTGAACCTGGCTCACTACTATGTAGAGAACAGGACTTAGTACGAAAATTGGAAACCAACTGGGAATTAAATGAGATAATAAAAGACTGCATATTAGTTAAAAAACCAACGCACAACTCTCTTTCAAACCATTGCGAGCAGAGTGTGGCGCACAAAAATTTGTTTGAATTCTAACGTTTCATACATGAGGTAGCGTAAGATAGCGTTTTTGAACCTTCTCATTCTCTGCCTTCTTCGCTCCATTAAAACCAAACATACGCGTAAAGATTGAAACTGAAGATTCATGACCTATGAAACCTTCGGAACATTGAGACAAATATCCAAGAAACTCAATATTAGATCCAAAAAGTTCCATAAGCAACTTCTTTTTCGTGCGCTTCTTCGAGCTAACAGTATGATAAAAGCGTTCTCGCAGAATAATCTATATCTCATTACTCTGCCTTCTGATTCAGAAGCGCTAGATTTCTCAAATTCGACACACTCGCAGCTGCGGAACGAGTTTTGCTTCCGCCAGAAAATATGGAACCAAGAGAAAGGCGATCCACTTATAGAGACAGCAACCAAGTTTACTCAGTTGTATTAAGGTTGGGAGAGTAATGAATAAGGCTTTCACCGATGTCATGAAATTCCAAGGAGTTGCTGCGCGTCAGTGATGACGATTTGATGCACATCAACTTTTTAAAACAAATTACATTCTGGATATCAAGCAATCTCCAAATTAAGAGGCTTCAGATAAATCGCTCTCAACAGTGAAATGAAACCAGCCTTATATTAGGTGAAATTTAGCACTGATGTATAATAAACATACGTGACAAAACTTCTGAAGTCCTTGAAAAAAAGCAATTAGCCTTCATTCCTTACGGAAAAGAGCAAGGACCATCAACAAAATACTGCACTGCTACTGCTCGAAAATCAGTTAAGTCACAAATCATCTTTTCTAAAACTCAGTAGTAGAATAAGGTGGAAAATCTCAACATATAAGATGAGCCTGTCATAAAAAACAAATTAGACTGACATTCTAATCTAGAATTCAAAGCGTACTTGCGGGGGATAATGCTCATTATCGACAATAGATCAAAATCGCCTTGGGTTCAGATAGCTTACTATTTAGAAGGAAAAGCAGCAAGCGCTAGATTTGGATACACGCTGACTTCTCAAGGTAGCCTAATAAAGGACCAATATCGCTGATAATGTAGCTGTAGTGCATTGCGCAAGAGTAGCTACCAGCCTTATGCAGACCGCTATTCATTGACGGCTTAGGGATTCCCATATTTGCATACGAAATTGGTATCCTGCGAACACACCTTTCGGCCCGCCTAGATTCAATTTTTGGAGTTGAATGAAAGGAACAGGACTGTGACGCATGTTATTAACATCCACGACGAAAAATGATGAAATCTACAGTCCAACTGGCCGTACCAGTTTTAGTGAGGGGATGCACTCAAAATGCACTTTACAACAGAGCGCTATTTGCGAGCAAACGAATCAAAGGACAAGCGTAGATGTCGCGATGAATCACCGGGCGCCGCGTACTCTGCCCGTACGCGATAGAGAAAAGGGCTTGAGTCCTCGCATAACGCACACAGCGACACAGTGTGTGGCACATCGGTGTAAGTGCTACAACGGGGAGATGTGGGGGGAAATGGGGAACACAGCCTTGAGCCCGAGAGCTGCGGTACGAAGTCGTGCCCGGCCGGCGCTCGCACAGCAAACGTCAGCCGCGGCCCGTCGGCGCGGGTGCGGGAGGAGAAATGCGCTGCCAGACGGGCAGACTTCCCCTGCGTCTCTGCCCGATCGATACGCGTGACGACAAGGCCGTGCGACCCGCCGACGACGCGGCCACCCAGGCGAGTGCGGGCTACTCGATTCCGCAGCGGGGAGAGGGGGTCGAGTGACCAGCACGGGGGGAGTGTTATCAATGAGTTTTGGCTTTGGCCCAGGAAATGCAGAAAGAGCGCGTGTGCCACTGGTAACTGCCGACGCTGCGATAAGTGGCGCGTACACGTGGATGACTGGATTGGTTGGAACTCTCCAGTATAAACCTGTTCAGACATGTGAGGACGTGACGGAGGGTTGGTATGAGGTCTGATTTAGTGTCAGAGGTGGGTGTGCACTCGTTTTGTACAAAATAGGATTCATTTTGGACTTGTTCAACATGTGTCATATACCCCGTGTTCGCTTTGATTTTGAATTTTTGCTCAAATTGTCCGCTTTGTTAGCGGGTTTGTTTTGATTTAGTACAATACTATGTTTAGATTGGCTAATGTATATTCATTCAATCAGAAATGGCACCACTTTTTCTCTTCCGGTTGTTTTGAATGTGTGTCATGCGTATATTCCATTCTCCACGGTTCTTTGGTCTTTTAACATTGTGTTCCATGAAGAGATTTATCCAGCTTTTGAAACCTCTGAACTTGAATTTTCGAAGTTGAACAAGCTGCTTGTGGATTCTGCAACCAAAGAAAATCTACTCATTACAGCCAATGTCTAGACTTGAAAGATTAGATGTAATCAATGCTCTATGCAAAATCCAAGGATATCTGTCATCGTCAGCCGGAGATTTGAAATGCGAGAACAATCCACCAAATTTCCCCTTTCATTAGTGTAAAGCAAATTGGAATCATTTACATTTTCCCAGTTTGGTGTTCCAAACACATTGCGAAACTCTGTTTTAACGTACTCATTAATAGTTCGACCATCTCTGCAAACCTTCACTGACCGTCGTACACATGACCTTAGCCAGAATGAGTGCAAAGCAGCAGCTGTGCTATAATTAGTAACGCTTGCACATGCATCGCAGCGTTTTCGCGCATTGATGTGGAGCGAGGGGTGCGATGTTTGGTCTGCAGGCGCACATTCAGTCTTCGATATGTTTCAGTTGTTGTTTGTTTCCTTGTCCCGAAGGTAGGTGCCAGAGTAAGCGAATATTTTGTTCAAGTTGGGGTCCCGCGCAGAACTGGCGTTACTAATCGTTGTGGCACAACGCCAAGTTGGCATTATGCCACAATGATTAGTGATGCCAGTTCTGCGCGGGACCTCAACTTGAACAAAATATTCCCTTACTCTGGCACCTACCGAACTTTTCATCTTTTAAGGGCCGGGCCTACCTCATGCTATTTCAGTCGCGACGCGATTTGGCAATTCGCCAGAAGTCTTCAGATCCAACACTAGCAAACTGCATCATAGTGTGTGTAACTAACTGCATCATAGTGTAACTTACGTGGAAGGTTAAAATGCCCTATCTTCTGTACATTATAAATGTGCTCACAGTGAGATATGGACAATTGGAATATTGCCAAATGCGCGACTGAAGTCGCGTGGAGTATGCCCGGCCCTTCAGATCGAACATATAACAACACTTTCAGTTGAGCAAGTTTCTTGTAGGTGCATGCAGCGTCTCAGATTTAAAATCTGCGAAAATGTGTAATTGCTTTCGTGGCGAAGATGCGATCGTTGCTTTCTCCAAAGTAAATAAATCTTGAAAAGCAGTTATGCAACCTGTTGAGAAAACATGTTCCTTTTTCGTTTCAGTTTTTTTTGTGTGCAAAGTCCTTTTTGAGAATAGTATTTGTTTTTGCAGTACTTGTGCTTTATTTGTGAGCAAAGACTCGGACTACTCAGAGTCCGATAATGTGCTCTCTTCCCTCAATATCGCTGTCTATAAAAAGCTAAGATGGTCGTTGCAAAACGCATTATAGCTTTGCATTGCAAGCAAAAGTACTTGCGCACTTTGAGCTTAGTGCTGGAACGTCCTTTGTTCTCCGTTTCCTTTCTTCCTTTGTCTTTGTCACTTTTTCCCACCGTGAGGTATCGTTGAGGGGTTTTATCTGGTTGGATTCCGTCATTTGATCGGAGGTAATTGAGGGTGGCTGGATGCGCCCAAAAAGGGGCCGTATATCCGTACATTTCCTGTTTTGAGCGTTCGCTTCGATTAAAATACTTCCGCAAAGAAGTGCGGCAAAATTGCAATGCGTTTAGTTGACTGTACTATAAAATCTCTGTAGAACATGATGCAATATTACATTGAAGTATGTGGCTATTAATGGCCAAATTATGAGTTGAAGGCGCGGCTCGGCAGAGTGACAAATTTGGGATATTAATCGCTCTCGGTTCTCCTGGTGAGCTAAGTCCAAGACTGTGTTTTGCAGCTTCAAAAGATATCAATAATCCGCTGTTCCTGAAGTGAAAAGTGCTATTTGGTGCCTAACCTCGAGCGCGATTGGCTCGTGGGTACGGTAGGTATGGTGTCTCCACTCACAAGCCAATCGCTCTTTACAGAGCAGGATACGCGGTCCGCCCAAATAGCTATTTTCACGTCTGCAAAAGCGGGTTATTGATATCTTTTGAAGCTGCAAAGCACAGTATTGGACTTAGCTCGTCCAAGGGAACCGAGAGCGATGAATATCCCAAAATTGTCATTCTGCCGAGTCGCTGCTTTGAAGTTGTTAAGGAAGTTCCGAGGCAGTTTTCATTTTTCATTTCTGATCCATTTTTTGCGATCTTCTGCATTCCAAAGACAGAATTTCCATACGGTTCTTAGAAGGAAAGCTGAGCTTTTTGGCGATATTCCTGATTTTCACGCCGGAGCATGGCTGTTTTGCAAACTAAGAAAAACGCTGGAAAGAAAATGATTAGATCTCAAATAATCTTACAAGGATACTCGGTCGAAGTGGCGTTTTTATATGAAATGTGCACTGCCTTATAGCGCAGGGCGCTGACTCCAAATCTTCTTTCGGTATGTGCAAAGCGCTTCTTGGAGGAAGATGTGGGGTCTTTTGAGGTCAATATTCAAGGGTTTGGCTAAGGTATGAACAGGTGTAGGGGGTCTTTCCTGCGCTTAAAAAGAGTAGTGATTGAGTAGCATGATTTTTTTGGTTGGAGGTATAAATTGCATAAAGCGCCCTGGTAGTAAAATTCGAAAGCGCGGCTACATTAACATTATCCAGAATTGGGTCTGTGAACTTAAATGTAATTACTACACCATTAATGCTCACAGACCACAGTTTTGGATAATGTTAATGTAGCCGCGCTTTCAATTTTTGGCTTCAAAAAATTCCCATAACTTTTTTTCCAAAAGAGATATCGAAAATAGATTTGGCAGCGTTCATTGCTCTATAAGCCAGTATACATTTCAGGAAGCTCCACTCCGAATGAGTATCCTTTCCCTAGCAGCATATCAACTTTGAATCCACGGCTGCAATGGGATTTTGCGATACGACAAAAATTAGAATCTGTCGAGCTTTTCTTTAGCTGTGTCTCTTTTTAACATTGTTTGCATCAAGAATGAATGACTTTGATTTTGATCAAAAGTGGCAATTTTTTTTCATTTTCTTCATAAATTCAAGGATTCATCAAAGCTGTAAGTTTCCTTCCGATCTGATTATGAAAAAACGCTGATCGCTGTTAATTGAAAGAATGCTTCTCTAGGTAGCGCCTTCTATTAGGTTGGCTAATAAATAAGTTCGGTCGCTTTTGCTGCTCTTACTAATGCTGCAGACAAATTTTTGTTCAATGTTTGGTATCCCTGGGAAGAGGAGCACTTCAATGGGAATTGGAATATGAATTCTATTTGAATAGAACTTATCTCCAAAGATAAAAATCCGCAAAGAAAAGAGAAACCTCAATTTTCTCATAGTACACAAACCTGAGGAAGTTTGGTTTTTTTTTTTTGACAAAGGATTTTCAGTGTCGCAGATCACAATTTTCATTGGTATTCACCAAATAGGAGAGACTTCTGTATCCAAATACCGCAGTGCTGTTCTCTACATCCATTACAGCATGAAAACGAAGCTAAGTAAGTCAAAGTGTTGAGCTTTTGGTAAATTGGCCATGTTGAGGCATAACTCTTTACTGATTACTAGCTGGCTTACCCGGCTCCGCCGTATCCGGACCAAACTTGGCACACATACACTTCGGGTCCCGGCGGGTGTCACAGTCCACTTTCGTTATCGATCGATGTCGATTTTACCGATTTTTATCGATTTTTTTGCAGAGTTCACCTACAGGGCTAGGAGTTGGCACAGGGGGGGGAAGTGAGCATGGGGATTCCGAATACAACATTAGTTTTCAGAATTATCGATTACTTTTATTGATTTTATCGATTTTTTGTAAATTTTGACATGCGAGGCTGGGATTTTGCGCAGGAGGGTAATCGAGCATGCTGATTACGAACACAATATTAGTTTTCAGGATCGTCCATTACTTTTATCGATTTTATCGATTTTTTTTGTAATGTTTGACCTGCGGGGCTGGGAGTTTGCACAGGGGGGGGGGTAATCGAGCATGCAGATTACGAATACAATATTAGCTTTCAAGATCGTCCATTACTTTTATCGATTTTATCGATTTTTTGAAAATTTGGGCTAGGGGTGGAATTTGGCACAGGAGTGTGATCGAGCATGCTGATCACCCCCACTCAGACAATCACAGGCTCTCAGCGGGAAGCGACAGTGAGGCGATGAGGCCACCGCGCTTTTGGTGGGTCTAGGCGGTGGCTTTGTGGCTGCCGGCTGAGAGCATTTGATTGTCTGAGCAAGGGGGGTGATCAGCATGCTCGATTTCCCCCCTGTGCCAACTCCCAGCCCCCTAGCTCAAACTTTGCAAAAAAATCGATAAAATCGATAAAAGTAATCGATAATCCCGAAAACCAATATTGTATTCGGAATCCCCATGCTCGATTACCCCCCTGTGCGAACTCCCAGCCCCGTAGCTCAAACTTTGCAAAAAATCGATAAAATCGATAAAAGTAATCGATAATCCTGAAAACCAATATTGTATTCGGAATCCCCATGCTCGATTACCCCCCTGTGCCAACTCCCAGCCCCGTAGGTGAACACAGCAAAAAAATCGATAAAAATCGATGAAATCGATATCGATCGATGACGAAAAGTAGCCTATGACACCCGCCGGGGCCCGTAGTGTATGTGTGCCAAGTTTGGTCCGGATCGGTTCAGAAATGGAATTTTCTATTCGGAACATACGTACGGACATACAAACAGACAGACAGACAGACAGACAAACAAACAGACATTCAGCTTTATATATAAGATGGAAATTCCTAAATATTCGTTATGTGATAGTGGAAGCTCTGATCTATTATCCCGTCTATTTTCTATCCACAAAGAATCATGGATAGAAAACAACAAGAAAACTTTTTGTATTTACGTCAAAACGAACTTATTTCTTTAGCCAACCTTATTGAATCACGGCAAGCTTTGCTAAGAAGGTTCGAGTCGTGTAGAAATTCGATTCAGGCGTTTGCATGATGTATGCAATTTCAAGGACGAAATTGCTTTGATTTTACGCAATGATCACATCAGTACATGGAAGTCATCGTTTTCCAAACCAAATGTAAAGTGTCAGTGGTCTAGGATTTTTGTAGTTTGTATCGCCAGACTTTAGTAGCGCTAGTGGACCTTAGTATGTCCTGCTCACGTCTTGGCATTATTGGAATTGGCTAAAGCTATTTTCGTAGATACAGTATATTAATAGACATCAATAAATCCGACAAATGTAATTCATAATGAAGGGAGTACATTCTACTGGCTTGCAAATATAAACGGAAAGTGAGGTAACTTATGTCAGTCGTAAAGTACTTTTCCGCTCTTTTCAAACCTCAGAATGAGTAGCTACTATTCTCGACTCGATCGCCTTGTCTCATAGATCGTGAGATGCCTGGTTTTTCAAGGCCATGACCTCCCGTTCCGAAATTGCCTATAAGTAGTAAAATAAGCTCCTTAGCCACTTCCAATACTCTTTGCGAGCTCACACTTCTAAAGCACATTTTGTTCTTGGAAGAAGATAAGATTGTGACAACGCACATAGATTTTGAGATAGTATAACATCTGGCATCTTCAACACCTTCAACAACAAAGCTGTAGGTCTCATTTTAACGCATAACACATTCAATTTTTTCTCTTAGAACAGTCATGGAACGCGGAACTAGAGGGAAATGCGCATCACATCTCCCCATGCAGGAATAACGACATTTTATGACCGTGGTTTAACTGCTATTAAAAAAACTTTTTAGTGGTGTCAGAACATGTCTGATTTTAGCTGTTTGTACAACTAAGCTAGCTTAAGCCTGAAAGGGGAGGAGGTATGGTTCCAAAGAAACCTATAATGGCACATTTTGGAGATACAAAACGAAAATAGTATGGACTACTTCTTCATCTTTGAATCGCTAAATTTAGTAAACACAGCCAAAGAAAAATTAATTTACTTTGAATTGTGGTCTTACGACTTATTCTTCATGACTGAGAGATATTCGTGCTGTTGGATGGACGAACAGTTATGATTTTTTTCTAATCGATATTTTGGTTCCGTTTTTTTCTATAATTTCTGATATGTATAGTAAAATAGACTATTTGTCAGACTATGAGAATATATAAAAATAAATTGAAACGCTATTCCAAACTTTAGAAAGTCTTTTTTATATCTTGGTGCAAGATTTACGAGGCAACAACGTCCATTCTTCGCCATCTTATGCAGTAAATTTACATCATATTGTAAAATCAAATGTAAATACGCGCCATAGTTGATCCGCTTAATCTACTTGTTCCGCTTGATCCACTTTGTGTGAAACGCGCCGTGAGTAATTTGTCATTTGGTGTCGCGCAGTTAAAAAAATTTGTATTGTTGCGCAAATTCGCTTTACGCCACACCATATGACAAATTGCTTGGGGCACGTTTTACGCGAAGTGGATCAAGCGGATCAAGTGGATCAACTATAGTGTGTATAGGAACCGAGTATGAATTCTTTGCACAAATCGCGATTTTCTGAGTACAACAATCCTATTAAAGATTGTATTTTTCGAGTAAAAAGTGTTTTTCTCATAAATTCAAAGATGTTCTTATACAAAGATTGTTTGATATCAACCTTCTGCAAATTTCTACTCGATTTTCTGCGCCACTGGAGTTCTGTAATTTTTCATAATATAGTTGCGATACGTAACTTGAAGATGACGCGACCTCTACGGATCGAGTTTCACTTTGCACTTCACTGAGTACATAATTTAGTCAGCAATGACGTCTTACGTCAAACACGCCCTTGAAATTGACTTCTCAAGGTTAAAAAAGCGGTTTTTGATGCGATGTTGCCGTACATTGCAATTTTCATACGCGAAAATGCGCGAATGAAATTAATGTCGAAACTGGTCGTAGTTCAGGAATTTCAAGATCATTTTCTTCTAAGGTAATTCAAGGTTGAGTCAGAAGTAATGAGAACTCCACGAATCTTTCAACATGGAAGACGAATTCTCCAAACACGACCTAACGCAATTTTTCTTTCTCATTCTAACAGCTATAAATCTCAACCAAATCTTTTATAGTTGCTAGAATTGCAGAAGTTTTGAACCTAAACGTCCACCGTTCAGTTTCTATAGCTGCTGATAACTGCGTCCAAAAGTTTCAAATTGTGATATTTTAAAGTCATTGAATCAACGTTTGATAATAAACGACGAATGAAGTCCCGAGTGCATTGAAGATTCTGTAGGATTTATTACATCATTGTCTTACGCAAGTTTTTGAATTTTAACAGTTGTGCAAGAAAAAAAGACAACAAGTTCAAAATTGCTTTCGGAAAAGTTATCTTAGAACCCCCAAAAGGCTAATTTTGAAAGGTATAAAAAGTTATTTGCACTGAGCAAGGTTTGTTTTTGTTTTTATGTAATCAAAATTGTCTGGGAACTATGAAATGAAATTTTTGAGAATCACAAAGCTACCCAAAGCAGAAACGATGAAAGGGAAACGAAAGTTTGGTAATTTTTCAACAGTCATAAGGGAAATGGTCTTTTGGTGAATGCTGTAAAGAGAACGAAAAACTACGTCTAACACAGTATACTTATCCGTTTGCGAAAAAGTTGAAATGGACTGCGAACTGTTCTCATTATTTTTGACTCAACTTAGCACTAACCTTTTTTCAACTTTTTTTTTCTTTTCAGATTACTCAAGCGAATCCAACTTTAGTCGCTGAAAGTTGACCTTACTACAAGACTCGAAAAGTCAGTTTGACAGCAGCTGTACCAAAACCAGCCCAGAAATGCATTCCTCTTCACTTTCGCGCATACTAGCAAAAAATAACGTAAAGCACTGCCCTGGCTACTTTTTACGCACATGAAAGACATTCAACGATGTCTCCGACAGGCGGAAAAAGTTGAACGAGGTCGTACGAGGAATGTTGATTACCGTCAAGCTTGACGAGTTAGTGCAGCAACCTCACTACCGGAATGTTCGCGCAATCCATCGCAGGTTTCTCATCTTTGCGCAGGTCTAAAGACAAAGAGTCTTTGTAATCTCGACAAAATGTCGTACCACCTGTGGTTTTTCAAGCGCATTCTTCCCTCCCCCCCTCCTTCCTCCCCAAAAATTAATTGGTGTCATAAGCTGAAGGGCGCCTGACTTCACATTTCATCGGGAAAGGTTGCGGACTTCTGCCTTCATATCAATATAGGTTAGCAAATAAGTAGCAACTTTTTTCGTAGCTTCTCTCTTTTTCAATCTGGCGCACTCAAATTTTGATATCATGTTATGATGTGAGCTATAAATATACACAAACTGTTTAATTAGTGACAATGGGATAAAAAACTTACGCTTTTTTCGAGAATTGGTGAGACTCGTAATTTTATGGATTTGGGAAGGAAAAAAGGTGTGCAGAATTTGAAACAATTAATCGAAAAATTATAAGTGCTGCTAGAGGTTGATCCACTAAGCTAAATAAGGGTAAAACAAAGTTTAAGGTGAATGTGTTGACGTCAGCGGACATACGGGGCATTCTTCAGTATTAAGCAGGCAGAATCTCAGATTATGCCGAGATTTTGCGGAGTGGGTTAACCCATGCACTAAGCCCAAATGTCATATCCTTTTGGCGTCAAACATATTGTGTTATATCAAAAATATAATGTTATACGGGAAACTTTGAAAGTATACAACTCTTTCCCTCAAATGAACCAGGTTTCAAACAAATCTGTGGTAATTCGCAATTTCTTGCTTATACCGTACACCTACCGTTACTCTTATGGCGATGGCAAAATGTGGCTGGAGAATGGCTGCATTTGTAGCTCACCTCACGATCAACATCATATCAAAATTTAATCGTGCTATTGGAAAAGAGGAAAGTTATAGAGAAAGCTGCAGTACTTAGCATCCCATATTTTGAAGCGAAAAGAAGTTTTTCGCGCAATTTTCCAACTCATTTAGACCATCTCCAAAACTTCTCGACTCATTTTTGGAGCAGAAGAGAGTTAAATTCTTCACTTTTCAAAAAAGAATAGGTCGCGTCTCTACGTTGATGAAATGCACCTTTCAAAAGGTTTCGTTGCACAAAAAAAACTATGTACTTTGCACCAAATTATTTATCATAAATACTATGGAATAATTACCATTACTTACTAATGTTATTTATCGCAAACTAACTAAAATGTCGCGCTCGAAAGGTCGAAAACCTTATTTGCACTCAAATAACCTACACACCTCGTAACAAGTTGGATCAGACCAATGCAATTTAGGAATCTCGAACATGCTCGGTGTAATTTCTTACAAACTTTCTAGAACGAGACGGCTGTCGGTGGGAATTTGCACTTGTTCTCATTCATATAGCAAACCGTGGAAAACAGCTGATGGACGTCTGTCGCCACACGCTTCATAAAAACAATGTCAGTCACATGTCAAATGTTCTGAAACTTAGGGACGAGGATTTTTGGCTATTTCTTATTATTTTCAAGCGCCAGGTGCAGATCGCGCTAATATTATGCTGAGGTTTCTTTCTGGGCGATTACTGAGATTATGAGGTTCACATCATATACGGTAGTCATTGTTAAGTTTTGAAAGTAGAACAATTTGCAATGACAAGACAAATATCACGAATGAATATAATGATTAAAAACATTCTATACATCATTTTTCATGACAAAAGACCGATACGGCCAGATAATTCTCCCATCGTAAAATGAGGAGGAGAAAGAGATCAATAAACCGTACAAGCCAGGATATAAGAGCATTTGCGGTACAACTCGTGCCAAACAACAGTGCAAAAGTAAAATATGCCTAAACATGAGGAAGACTGAGAAAATGCGCATGAACAACGTCCTCAAGTACACTCGACTTTTCTTCCCGCAGTTGTGGTGGTTCCGTATCAAAGAAAATAATCTGGAAGGTAAACACAGTTTTGCAGCAAACATTGCAAAAGATTAGGAAGTACATCAAAAACTAGTTTTGACATCTATCTATATATAGATGCTGGAATACAAAATTGGAACTCTATAGACAAAGTGAAGTTTAGAAAAAACTCACAAGGTGATCATCTTTGGTCATTGCGCTCTGCGCTGTCAACATAGTCTCATGCAGGAAAATTTTACGAATGTGATGCCCGTCATTACGGCTCTGAACACATTAGTTCTTCACAGTACACTTCTTGTAATACAAAACCTACAAAAACATAGAAATGTTGAGGTCGAGGGACCGTCGGCACCGGATCTGCATCAAAATCGGTCTGATTTGACTGAACCTCCTCCATCACCCTCACGTGGATAAACTCTGCCAAATGCTCCACTGAAAATGTCTGTATGTTTACCTAGTCTTTAAGCTAGCGGTGAGACAATGAAAACGATGGGTTGACCTGTTCGAAATTTCGTAATGTCATAGTCTGATACATTTATCAGTTACTAATGTTCCTCTTTGATGCCGAAGAACATTTACTGAAAAAGAAAGGAAAACGGACGCTGCTTACGCACAAGTGAGCCACGCAAGCGCATCGTAGCAGCCGTCGAATAGTCAGACTATAGACGTACTGCACCGTCATTTGTAATCCATTCCCCAAGGTCGAAGCAGCACTATATCAATGCTGCGCAGTATGACCCTTGATCCAGACTCTCTACAGGAACGCGCCCCCATATGGTCAGCAAGTCTGCGCACTAACTACGTCGGTGATATCATATGCGAATGCAATACTCAAAAGAATTGAGAACCAAGAAAAACTTTTTACTGTCAATATATAAGTGCAGAAAACGACTCGACTAACTCGTTGTGTCGTGCTTTGTTCTTATGTACCGTGGCTGCATTAGTTCTGCTGGACATTGCCGACGTAACAATGCAGCGGAAGGGAGAAGCTCCGCTTCTATTTCATCTGCACCAGAAATAGGCGGATCGTACATGTCGTCATCTGTCTAAAGTGATTCCTGAAGTTTATAACGAAAATAAAACAGCAGTCATAATATCAAATAGTATACAATACCACTGAGAAGAAACCTATGCAAAACATAAGTTTACGTGAATCGACCATCAGAAGATATGATATCAAAGTAAAAAATAGCGTTCTAACTTACCCTGCGCGTTAAAGGATCATTCATGTTCTCCTCAGGCATGTGAGGAGAAGAAGGATTCTCGTCCAACCATTGATGTAAACGTTCCTTAGGATGAAGTATAGAAACAGGCGGATGGACAGAATGTGAATTTGAGCTTTGCTGCGAGCCACTAGTCAACGGCGACAATTCCGACGTGGTAGCATTGGTGTTAATGGTGGTCAACTCGTCGCTGTTGTTCTGCACCATAGGTGGCGTAGAATTCTTCAAAATCAAAGAGGAGTAAGGGGCTGTCATAGATTAACATCAAGCTCCTACCAACCTTCAAAAACTTGCCACTGACCTCTGTTCCCGGGGTATCACTGGGGTTACCATTTGCAAGTGGCGGTTGTGGTGGTGCATCATCACTGCACTCAGAAATGGACAATGATGATGAAGGCGTGGAGGAGACAAGTGACGACGCCCCGGAACTGCTATACGTCGATGATGATGAATCACCTGAACATAAGAACTAGCAACGGTCACACGTGCAAAGCTAGCAAAATTTCGTGAAAACATAAACTGCTGTTTCTGTAGCAACAGACCACTTTACTGCCAAGAATCCATTATAAGATGATAAAGAATAGATGGTTTGCAACAATCACAAACACAATTTCAGATCTAAATTCAAAAAAAAAGGAAGGAGAGGACAAAAAGCACATTCTCGAGTCAGGTCTGTTATAGCTCCAAAGAGAATGGAAAAATATGGTGAACAGTCCTACTCGTCAACTGCACTAAGGGCTTGCGTAACATTACGACGCATCAAACTAGAGCACAACTGAAAATGTTTTGGATGCTTTCAGTAAGCATAGTTCAGTAGTACTTCAGCTTTCATATACATAGAGCAAAATGCATATCAAAATAAATAGGAAAACAAACTGAGTGAACAGCAAATCAGGCTGGGCTTCAAAATGTTATGAATGCTTTTTAGGTTCTGGAGATATAGAAGTGCAAAATTTTGCATATAAAGGAAAAGCTAATAAAAAGCATCAATACCCAATATCTTTATTGCTTCTGCAATGTAAAATTCAGCACTAATGCAAAAGCTCAAGAACAACTTAGAAAACTCACTGTCATCCTCGCTCTTGCTTTCCTGTTCGGTCTCCTCATTTTCGTTATTTTCCATTTCAGCTTCTTCCAATTCATCGTATTCGGCTTGCAATTCTTCCTACAAATCAACCTTGAGCTAAATTGCAGCAAAAACATTTCCGCCACCGAACCAAACAGAGCCACCCCACAACGAGATTCACCTCTGTTTTTTCGTTGCCGTATGTTGAGGAATCATATCCCATATGTACCTGCTGAGAACTGCTACATGTATAGCCACAAAAAATCTCTACTTCTGTTTGTCGGAGCCAGAAAGCGAGAAAGCGAAAAAAAAAGAGCAGAGTGACACCTACTTCGGTAAGCAGATCCAACTCGTCGACAATTTCCTCCTCTTCCAAAAAGTCATTATTGATGTTAGGAGCGGCATTGTTGTTGGAGTTCCACGACATCTGGGCTGCTCCTTCTGGAAGAATCGTTGCTAAAATGTTCTGATAGTACGTTACAAAAAGGCTGTAAAAACGAAAGAGTAAAGCTATCTCTAAAATAAGACTATGAACATCAAAAATGTGTTTACCTCCATCCTCATCGGTGGGAGAGTTCGACTCATTCTCAGCAGCATCATCTGGGCCGTTGGCAGTTCCATCCTCGTCTCGTCGCTTCCTTCGTCCTATAAAAGCATTGAAAGATGAGTTTCGAAATAACCACCAAATGTACTCTCACTTTCGCATTCGTAAGAGCCCTGAACTCGCTTCCGACGATTCACTTCTTGTGCTTTTATGCCCTCTTCAATCGAATTTCTGAGTGCATCCATATTTGTCTGAGCTGCAAACTTCTCTGACGCATCTTTTTGCAAGTCCTCATAGGTCTTCCGATCAGGCCAAATCTGAAAAAAAAACGAAAAAACTTCGAATGTTCACCATATGTAATGACCGTTGTCAGGGAGTAGCTGGAAAGATAAACACGAACAGATCAAGAAGGTGAAGCCATGAAAGGACAAAGAAAGTCGAGAATCAATAGATATTCTAGCTAGAAAGACAGTAGATAGTCACTGTGATCATACACTCAAAAAAAAATGAACGGAAAAGACAGCGCGAAGATACTAGTATTTAGAACCTTGTGAATCGATAATAAGGACCATTAAAAAAAAACGGATCACAGCTTTCCAATAAGATTATTTCGATTCAAAGGCAGCCGGAACTTGGTAAAAATGAACAAACGACTGCAGTGAGTCACCTTGGTCAGTAGCGTCCGTTCACATTTTTTTATTATAAGAGTGTCCCAAAAAATGAGCACATTGCTTAGAACTCTTTCCTTTCAAGGTCTTTCCCCAACCTTTAGGTACTTTATTATAAAGCTGGCTTCGACTCAAAATTACATTATGGAGCAAATCACATATCGCTCTTTATTACTATAGGTATTACGATAGAATTTCTCCGAGAATTTTAGGCCATTGAAAGCTATATTTTGCTTCCGAAAGAAAACCATACAGATTCCCGTAGCAGATTAGTCAGTGTCGATGATTTTCGGTATGAAATTTGCACTTTACATGTTTTTTGTTGGGGTTTCCCATTAAAACGTAACAGCTGTTTTGCCAATGTTCGTCAAAAGTGTGATTAAAGTATTGCAACGAAATCAGCATGCGGAAAACCATGCTACACAATTTTTTAAGATTTTCTGGGAAGAAGAATACTGTTGAACTTTTACATCAAAATGGTTCCTGTATACTAGAAATTCCCATCGTAGTCTTACAGTAACAAAAAGCGGTGGTTTCGCTCCATAGTGTAAATCTAATATATAAAGAAATCTAAGTTAAAGCTAGCTGTGCAGGGATAATACCTAACGATCGGCGAAAGAGATCAAAACAAGAGATTCAAACAGTGTGCATATTTTTAGGACACCCTGTAGACTTCAAATAAGAATGTGAGCAAGTTCAACTCAATTACAAAGACCACAGATTAATGTAACTGAAGTGAACATAAAGTTGTACCTTAGCTATCAAAGAGTCAAAGTTCGGATCAGGTCTCAATGAACGTTTCGAAACCAGTTTCTTCCTACATGTCGGACATTCTTTGTTTCCACGAAACAACGCCGTTGTTATACATTCGGCACAAAATCGATGAAGACATTCCTGAACTCGATATTCATGCTCAAGTAAAACTATGAAGTTGTTAAAAGAACAGAATCAACGATACTGACTCGAAAACTTCATTGCTGAAGATATGGGAGAATCAAGTGAATGTTTACCTTGGTGGTCATTGTTTGAGTCAACAGATCAAGACATATCGGACAGCTAAGCTCAGTTGAAAGAGTCCCAGCTCTTAGTCGAAGTTCAGTGTTATCCGCCAATGACTTATGCGGCGTTCGAACCTTAAACTTTTCATTACGATAGAATATAGAATCAAGGAAAGGTTGAGAATATCGCTAGTAAAAGCAAGTTCTACACAATTCTGTCTAGGAGAAGTAACAACAATAGGTAATGAGCAACTATTCAGAAAAAGCTAACGAAACCACAATTGTTTAAAAACTTTCGGTCAAGCACCCATTTGTTAGCTGATGGCAAATGGAAAACCCTGTGGTTCTGAAATTTGGAACCAATCTGGTCTTTCAATAAAGAACATTAATTGTAATAAGATCAACCAATCAAAAATGCTTCAGTATTCGGCTAATAAGTTCCTAATTTGGTTTGAAAGCATGTTGAGTTGGTGAATCAGCGTGATGGGTGGCATTTAAGTTGCTCCAAGTTTACCTGTTCCCTAAATTCCAAAGAATGAAGCATACCCGATCGTAATCATCCAGTGACAGTTCTTTACCCTCCGCATTTGCCGAAGAAAATGGGAGGTTATTCATCTCCCGATAGAATTCACCAAAATCTGCAAGAAAATTCTTACAAATGGGTGTCTATAAACTTGCTATAACATATAGTAATGGATTGATCTGGGAAGAAGTAGAAATTTGCTAAACGATTTCCCAGAGCGGCCGTCAAATTCCGGGGGTCGCGGTGGATTAGCGCGACGCTTGGCGACGGCGCGAATCATTTGCGACCACCCATTTGTCTTTGGTCATCGCTGCCAACATTCGAATTCCTTTTTCATTTCGCATTGATCACAATTTTTTCATTCACAAATTAGGGACCAAAAAGCTTTTTCATTTCACAGCCCCATTTCACATTCTATATACCTCAAATTGATTCTGCGTTGAAAATATAACCGGTCAATCTCCTTCGCACATCGCATTTTCTTGTGTGGTAAACAAAGAACCTTTTCGGAAATCTTTACCTACCCTATTTATTCATTCTCAGCAAAGGTTGTTTCCGTTTATTTCTGAATCTAAAATTAGACGTTTGTCGAAAAAAGGCAGCTGAATTGACAACGATACTGTGAGAATATCGTCTGTCTGTGACCACTTTAGATTGCGTCATCGCCCAATGCATTATATCACAACAGTCAATTCGAATAAATGATTATGGAGTTAATTACGGTTTCTTGTTTGTAATCGGCTTTTCGTAGCATCAGATTTTTAGTGAGGTGGTTGATCTCGCGTTTACCGTACATCAATCGATACGGGACGCACTTCGTGGTCTCTATAGGTGCTACAAAAATTAATTTACCCTACCATCACGGAATCTATGCGCTCTAATCCTTGATCGATGTCACAACGGTAGAGAACACTGATCGCAGATTGCAACATTCTCCCATTCTATTTCGGGAGGATTTGCATAAATTATCAAAGCATTGAGTGAATGAAAATTAGTTCGGATACGCAGTAGAAAATGGACTGAATGTAAGCCACATTTATCTACAAGAACTCTTAAAATCAGATACGCGCTTCCTTAGCGAACGAAGTGGGTCATTTTTTGGTGATGGACTTATTCAGTTTTTGGTGCTATGGTCGACTACTGTTGTAGGAGATATTCGATACATTTGTTTGTACTACAATGTAAGCAAGCAAAATCATTTCACTTTTCACTACCCATGGTGCATTCCCAGAACGTAGCTGCCTTTCGATCGTTGTAACACGTTGACTCCAGCAAAATCAAGGCGCTTATTCAAAGTCAACGTGAGAATGATTTAAAGTCCACTTTGATTGTTCATATGGGAACAATTCTGGGGAAAGCACCATACAGGCGATTCATAGCACGCAAAGACTGCGGACGTATCGGCATCTCTCTCGTCGAGCGCTCTTCCGTTCCTCTTACCATCTGCTGTCTCCCCCAAGCACGAACTCTCTTGGCTGGACGCAGCGGGCTTAGTCTTTGCGTGTCATGAATCGCGTATATGTTTCTTGTTTTGTCGCACCCGCACCGGTCGCAGATGGATTAACAAAATCTGTTGGATTTCATGACGGGCCACATACGACAATTTCGATCTGGTTTCGCATTTTGTCAAACTTCGTTCCATCTTTCTTGGAAAACGCATTTCTGGTCTAATATCCTTCCTATATAAAAATCCGTCATCTAGCATTTTGACTCATACCAATTTGAAATCATAAATCCAGTGAGGACTTCCTTGCTAATACGTGCAACTGCACATTTTCGAGGGGAAGGTCGATGGGGTCACCCATGTAGGGCCCACACACTTTTTCTTCCTTTATGTCCAAGCACAGTTGCTAAAGAACGGAAGAGATTGCATATGTGGAACTTTTTATGTGGAAGTCCTGCGTCCCATTGTCAACATCGTGGGAAATGTGCAGTTGCACACATCAGCAGAGCGAAGATTCGGAAAATTGTAATTTTTTTGCAAAAATCAAAACAGCTGCTGCAGACGTCTATCATATGCAAAGTTTTTGTGCAGCACTCCTGTCAAAGGACCTCTTATTGTACTTGATGCCTTTCCTGAGTGAATGGTCGAACTCTTATCAGCTGAGAGCCAAGCATCATGCTGTGATGCCGTTAACTTGCATATAGAAAAGGCCGTAGAGAATACATTTCTTTACCCGTTACCACTCCTATGCGCAGAAGTTATGGGCAAGACCGTATCAAGTGCACTGTACTGTTCTGCAAATAACATAACGTCTAGAGATTGCGTTGAATCGACTATCGTCGACACCCTTGCCTATGAATCAGTGACAAATACAGTCACAGACTTTTTATGTCGAACTTCTCAAACCACCAAGTGTTCAGGAAAGCTTTCTTCTTCTTTCTACACTGCACTGCGGAAATGTTTGTCTGTGCCAGTACTCATGCACTTTTGATATTGGTGAATTATCAAGACCAACTCATTTACTTGAGTGTCCGTCTATCTGACCGTGAAATTGATTTCTCTCATAGTGATAGCAGTTGAATCTGGCATTGCTGAGGTCTTTCAGTTATTACAACTTATGGTACGTCCTACCTCAAAATCTCGCAGATAAGTCCTTTCATCAGATAAGTCCATTTACAGATACCGTTTTCTTTCCATTGTAACTACCCTGAAATCTTGTCAGGTAAGTTCGAAGATATCAGATAGTCCGGACTTATCTGTAGACGGACTTATCTGATGGTAGGACTTATCTGCAAGATTCTTGGCGTTGCTAGGGTGCAACAATGCCTCTAAAGGCACCGTCCACCTTAAATTGGGGGTGTTGAGCTTTTGGCAGCATAATAGTAGAACGTCTATCAATCCAATGCCCAAGTCGCAGCGCAAAATGCCGCTTCGGAAGCGAGAAAATCGCTTCGGAATAGCGAAGGTGCACGAGGACCCCCATCCATGCCCGCCCATTTGTGTGCGCCCATCCAATCACCGTTCCTCAAAGCCGGCCTGTGGATTCTCCAGAATGAGGACTGTCGAGGTTTCCGTGCATTCTCGACTTCATTTTCGGAATCAGGGACATGAGAAGGCCCAACGACAAAAACGTGGGGAATCTGGGTGGACGGTGCCTTTGAAGGCAGTGTCCGGACAAGATGGGGGTTTTGGGATTTCAGTGCCATGCAAAGCGGCCCCTCCCCTTAGACACAGCATCGCGCAACTACGAGGTTATAACGTCCAACCTAAAGCAAGAAAAACGATCGGGAAATGGGGAAACTTACGCCTTGGGGCGGGGTCCTTCGACCTGTCTGAATTCCTGCTCGGCACTATTCCACATAAGTTGACCCAAAAAATGAAAATCGCGAATTTCGCTAAAACTTCGTCTAGGGAGGTTATTTGGTACGCTGAACACGAATATGATGTTTATTTAGTGCGACAGCGCCATCCGGTGGAGTTACGGTAGGATTACGGTAGGGGGTCAAAATCACGGATTTGCCCAGAATTTGGCCCAGAGGTGTAATTCGGCCCGCTGATGCCGAATATCACATTGGTTTTGAACCGTAGCGTCATTTTCTCGGGTTACGGTAGCTACACGGTAACGGGTGTAAAACGTAGTTTATCCCGAAACGGGTGTATGGCGATTCGGATGGTCGTGAAGCTTTGCACACATGACCACCGCTGCGCGCTACACACTCTGCTGCTGCTTTTGCCTAAGCAAAGCACAGGGGAAAGATACATTTGCCGATTTGTGATTTTGACTCCTACCGTAAACCTACTGTAACCATGCAGGGAGACGTTTTCGTGCGGAGAAAGTGTGACATTTCTAATCAGCATGTCGAATAACCACTCTGTGCAAAGTTACAACGAATTTCGAGATTTTGACCCCCCTACCGTATACCCACCGTAACTCGAGAAAATGACACTGCAGTACGAAACCAATGTGATATTCGGCGTCAGCGGGCCGAATAACCCCCCTAGGCCAAGTTTCGGGCAAATCCGTGATTTCGGCCCCCCTACCGTAATCCTACCGTAACTCCAACGGATGGCGCTGTCGCACGAAATAAACATCATATTCGTGTTCAGCGTGCCAAATAACCTCCCTAGACGAAGTTTTAGCGAAATTCACGATCTTCATTTTTTGGGTCAACTTATCTGGAATAGCGCCGAACTTTTAAATTGTGAGACTTTGGAAAACGCATGTTCTTGCCGTTTTCTCGCCTTCTAATGTGGATTTTCGTATTCAGGGTTCCGGATAACCCCGGTAAGTGGATTTTCTAAAAATCGAGTTTTTGCCCGGACTGTCCGGGCAAAATCCGATTTTGAAATTTTTTGCATACCTGGGCCTATTCGCTATGCTGAATCCAAAAATCAGCTCTGGAGTGCGCGAAAATGGCGAAAAAGGGCTCTAATGCAGGCGAGAAATTGTGCAGGTGGGCGGGGCCGTTCACACTGTGACGTCGTCCTCCCAGCTCCAGGAGCGAACTTCTCGCATCCGCTAGTCGCCCTAACATCATTAACAGGCAACTGCAAACGCGTGGCATAAAATTGGAACAGACATGATCGCTCTTAAAGCCTGGAAAAATGACGTCACAGTGTGAACGGCCCCGCGCACTCGCTGTTTCCCTCCTGCGTTAGGGCCCTTTTCCGCCGTTTTCGCGCTCTCCAGTGTGTATTTTCGGATTTAGCATAGCGAATAGGCCCAGGTAAGCACAAAATCTCAAAGTTGATTTTTTGCCTGGACACTGCGTTTAAGCTTATGGGGCTGGAGTCTCTCTGGTGATCCCCGCACTAATGAAATCGGAGACTTCGAAATCCCATCTTTGTCTGGCCTGCTTGGTTACGAAAAATTGGTCTCTCTCATATCTAATCGTACTCTTATCTCTTACTTGGCTTCATATGTTCCAAAGAAATTTGATCCTTACTGTGTTAATATTACAGCGAAAACGGATCTAATCCATGTCCCAAGCTGGAAATGCAACCAACATCAGCACGGATAAAGGGGAGCTGACATTTTTTGATCGTTTAGTAGATGAAACTGCTGAGGAGAATCTCGCAAGTAGTAGTGGTGGGTGCAGACACTAGTCTACTGTTTTTTTTTTGAGTAACTTATATACTCAGGTGTCCTCTCAAGCATATTTGGACGGTTTTGGCGTACGCCAGGGACTGCTGAATCTAATTCAACCGGATCTGCAACATTCTATCTAGACGAAGCGACCACACAAGACGAGGAGGAAAAGGCTTCCAATGGTCTCTCTAGTAATAATCCGTTATCTTCAGGAGATGATAAAACCAATAATTCCGTGAGTTGCATTTTCATTTGAAAGATATCCATGAATTTCTTTATGCTAGGCTCCAATAAAAGCGACAACGAATGAGCAATATGATGGAGGAAGAACTTCTCCTGGAGCCATTAGTTTCAGTAAGTAGTTCTTTTTTGCATTTTAAACGTTCACATACAATTTTTATCGCCTTTTAAATGCAACGGCATCTGACAGGCTCACGCTGATCGATGTTTGCTACCGCTTCAAACGTAGCGCTCGCTACATTCGCTCAAAGTGTTCAAATATAGCATTATTCATGCAATACTGACTTCGTGTTTGTGTTTGTTACCTGCTTACAAATTAAGGTGCTTAATGAAAGCGTAAACTACCCAACGTTGCATAATCTTGCTTTCTAAGGGACGCGCCATACTTGATCCGCTTGATCCGCTATTGGTCGCTTCACTGATTTTACCAATAGCGAAGTGGATGAAGCGGATCAAGTATGGCGCGTGCCTAACAAATAGTTTTAAAATTTTTCAAAGATTCAAATAAGCTTTGCAATAAAAAATTCTTCTGGTTCAGGGGTTATGGGCCCGCAAAATTTTGAGAAGCGCCCCAAAAAAACTTCGGAGTGCATGGCTGACGCCACGCATCTTCATTTGTAAAAATTTTTGCCGCTCCCCCCCCCCTTCCCTACCCCGGACAGAAATCCTGGGACCGCCATTGCCTACCTATGCGTTTATACATCTTGGAGAGCCAGTGACTGTGTATAAATTCTTTGACTCTCTTAATTGAGTTTCAGTAGAGTCTGATAGCGTATTCTCATTAGAAAACCTTTGGTTTTTGAATGGTTAATGCCTTATCAGCTTGTCAAATTTTCGTGACGTGATTGAAATACTTTTGAACTTCTACAAAGAATCATCAAGATTAATGTGCATCAGTTCAAAGTTTCCTTGTCCAGTCAATCCATAATGGTTTGAATTTAATGGTTCTGGAGAATACCCGCAGCTATAATTCGCTGAATACGTTAGTGGAATCATCGATAATTTCAGATAGCCAGGACAGTGAGAGATTGCCACGGAAATTTTCTGACAAGCTGACATACATGTTCAAGGGAAATAAGCCTGGACTGCGGGATTACAACAGGAGCAACTTTCGTACGTTTCTGTTGCTCTTCACCATCACTTAGGCTATCCTTTATAATTTTGAAGGGCAATATTGGATGCCGGATTCCACAGGAAAAGAATGCTATCAGTGCGAAGAGAGATTCTCAACATTCAGGTAGTCATTTTAACTGTATCGCTCATCATTTTTACATGTATGTGGTTACCGTGTAGGAGAAGACATCACTGTCGACTCTGCGGCCAGATATTTTGCGCAAAATGCTGCAACATCCATGTTCCCGGCTCACCATTAGGTAAGCGTGGAAAGAGCGTTTTCAGACTTTTTCACCTGTCGTTATATCTGACTTTTACTTGCCCTAATCCAGGTTACATCGGTGATCTTCGCCTGTGCCATTATTGCGCTAAAATGATGGCGCAGTACTTACCCGAAGAGGAGTGCGTAGAAACTGAAGACGCTGATGGTTGCCCACTTAGTGACGAGCAGCCGAGTCAGAGCAATAGTTCACCAGGAAATTCTGGAAGACCTGTCTCAACCGTATCATCCGGTTAGTGATTATGCAACTGATAACTGCTTTCTATCATCTCTTTGATTCTGGTTGACTACATTCCTTTTGATAGTGATTCTTGAAAGTTTTAGCACTATCTGCTTTGAATTTTATTGCTGAAGTTATTAGGTCCTATGATGTGGTCTCGTCCATCTGACATAGGATCCACAAATCGTGCAGATAGGGATAATTCTTTCGCTCCACCCTCTGTGTCCACGAAGCCGCCACCGTCTCTTCTTTGTGCCAATGAGCTATATCTCCAACATGAGCAGAGATCCAGCTCGAAGGTAAGAAAGAATCCGTGCCTTTCACAGAACGCATCTCTCATCTCTCAGGAAGACATCACAAAAGGCTTGAAAGATGAAGACGAATCCGGTCCAGATTGGTTTCGTAATATGGATCCCGATACCGGCTTATCGAGTAGTGACCACGTAAGAAAAGCTTTTGATTTATTTTCGAATTTGAACGTCCTTAAACCATGTCGTCATAGAGTGTTTTTTGGGTATTCAGCACTGATTTCTTATCTCAACGTTGCTTCGACGTAGGTGTTTTGAATCAAGTAATTTTACAGAGACTAAGTGACAAAGATATTCAAGCAATGAAAAATCACTTCGATCCTTTGCCAATCGCTATCGAAGGAATAAAGACCGATCAACCTGATGAAAAAAAGCAGCTTTCTGTAAGGTAAGTGGCATTGTTCACTATCGTCGTACCGTCTCCTACGCTTTCCATCCTCAGATCTTCTCTGCCTATCTCACCAACCAAGTCTCAGTATGATGAGGATATAGATAGAGCATTCGATGCTCGAGTTGAGCACATGTTAACTTATCTATGCAGCAGAGAGAGATTGCGAGATCTTCGGTAAATTTTTATCATGATAGTCTTCTTCGTTCTTCACTGCATTGTTTGCTACAGGTGGAAAGCTATCATCTTGAACCTGGCGAAAGAGATTGCGTATACCGTCAAAGTTGATGTGGCGAAGAGGAAAGATCAAATGAATGTTCTGAATTATGTGCATGTGAAGAAACTCTACGTCGAAGACGATGAACCCAAAGCTGAGGTAAGCATCACGCTATTTCAAATTTCTGCTTGCTATGAAATTTTCGATCTTTTTAGCTGATTTGGGGTGTTGTCTGCAGTAAAAGTGTACTACATGAGTCTATGGCCGAGCCACTTCGTGATGCATCAGTAATGATTGTAGCTGGTTCGATTGAATATGAAAGAGTCCCTGGACGTTTATCCACTCTTGAGCCAATACTGTGTCAGGAGGGCGAATTCCTTGCAAAGCAGGTTTGTATTTTTTTTTGTTCATTTTTGCTTTTTTCTTGTTTGCATATTTCTTTTTATTGTCTAAGCTGTTTACCATCAAGAATAAGTCAAAGAGTATTGGAAATCACCTTTTTTGATTCAGGTTGGGCGAATAATGTCGCGACGACCATCTGTACTACTTGTCGAAGGAAACGTTTCGAGATTAGCATCAAACCTTCTGCGCGATGAAGGTGTTCGGGTAGTTGTGAACGTTAGCGCTCGGTGTGTCATAGAGTTTTCTGTTTTTTTAGGATCACTTTTTCTCCTATGTTTTAGTGTACTTCATCGTGTGGCTCGATCCACTGGAGCCGATATCTTGCCAAGTTCCGACGCGCAGTTGATTCAGCAAAACATTGGTTTCTGCCCTTATTTCACACAAAGATCTGTCGAGTTGAAGGATGGGCATACGAAATTACTTATCGTAAGTTGTTAAGATTTTTGCGGTTACACTCACGCTTCCTTTGTATTGTTTCAGATTCTTGACGAATGTCCGCCGGATAGGGGTTGTAGTGTATTGATCAAAGGATCAAACGCTCGTGAACTGAAAGCAGTGAAAGTACGCGAATACTTTTTATTTTTTCTATGATTCTTTTCATGTAATCTTTTTTCCTCTAACACTTTTTCTTCTTGTACATTGTTTTGATTCTTGCTGTATCCGTTGATAAAAGTAGTTTTTAGCGAATTCTTCTGTTTCTTACTTCACTGCTGTATTCCTCTCGCCTCGAGAGAGTGTTTCTCAACATGTTCAATGTACGGCTTGCTTACCAGATCTCTAATTGCGAGATTTGCGAAGCACGTCGGGAAATCATCGACCATGATGGCGAGAAGGTGAGCACACTATGTTCTCTGAGGATGCCAGTAGGTATCCGTTTGTGATTCTAGTCAGACTTCGAGGTGGCCTTAGCCAACCCTGTTCTCAGTGCTTCTCCATTCATCGACCACGAGCCTCCTTACCTGAAATCCGTCAAGGGAAAGTAAGTCCCTACGTCTTTCTCGTTGTCCTACAGCCATCTTCTTCACTTCAGAAACTGTTCTTTACTGCCGTACTTCAATGTTCCGGTTTATCAGTTCTTCAATGATGAAGATTTTGACGCTCGTTTGAATGATGAGGACAACGACACTCAGCAGTTTCTCGATCACCAAAGCGCGGTATGCCCATTACTAGTTTTTTTATGTGTTTGTGAGTGTATGCTTTAGGTACCAGTTCCTGATGACCCTCGGCATTACTACAGCAAGAATGGTGCACGCGATGCCAATGATAAAGATGATCTTGCCGCATTTCGTGCTCTCGGAGGGAAAGTTCTCAGGAAGAGACTGCAAATGAGGAAGCCCAAGGAGCCAGCGCCAACAGTTAGTAAAGTGCGTTTTTCCCATATAATGCGCACGTAACCTATACGTCTTTTGGCAGGAACGTCAGCATACTCGTCGACATGATATGCTTGATCCATATGTGCATCAGCGGATAGCCGTACTTTTTGGTTCGTTCTCGCCGAAATCTCCAAATGCGCCCTATTTTTGTGTCCGACCATGGGTAGTCAATATGGAATTCTATGGGCCACATGATATGACGCTTGGAGAGTTTCTCACGAAGTGGGTAGCAACTTATGCTCTTTTGTTATGAGTAAACTTGCTTTCTCATCTTCTATGGTCATATTCTGATTATCTAATTTGACGTCCGATGCATGTTCTTATGTATCTAAATGTGCTATCGAATCACTACGCTTCCAGATACTGTTTCAACAAGGCATATGAATGTCCTTCGGCAAACTGTGAGGTCCAAATGCTAGATCATTCTAGGAAACTTGTACGTCTTCTTTTTTATAGTCTATTTACAACTATAGTTTTCACTCGCTTATAGTTCAATCTGTCCTTATCAGGTGTATGGACGAGTCTGCGTTGAGGTTACTACGCAGATGGTTGTAAGTGGATCTGAGGAATCTACCATTGGGGCAGCTTCACCCGGTCAGATTTACTCATGGAATTACTGCAACAGGTACTCTTCAGGGAAACCTAGATTGTATTAATGACATTTACGATTTTTTTCTTGCAGCTGCAAGACATCCTCTTCAGTAATCCCAATGAGCGCCTCTGTTTGGCACTTATCTTTTGGTAAATTCCTGGACTACATCGCTTACTCAGCGTTTTCGAAGGTTTGAACAAAGTTTTTTGCTTTTTCTTGAACATATTGTTACTTATTCTTTTAACATAGTGTTACTTCTTCATACGCGGGATTGAAATCTCATAAAAAATATGCTGTGGGCAGTTCAAATATCTTTTCTCAACTACTATATTAGACTATCTACTATACTTACTGTTGATTGCTCAAATTGTATCATTAGATGTCGCTAAGCTAGCCTTGATCCTAGCGTTTTTGAGCTTTTAGGGAGCTGACAACCCCGTTTCTAAGCAGCCATGCAGTCACTGCTTCTTCCATGAGCATACCCATTTCTACTCTCTTGGGAACTACGTAGCCTCTTTCAAAGTCACTCCAGTAAGCCTTCGCATATTTATAGTTATGGTATCATCTGCTCGTGTTAAGCAACGGTTCAGGTCCGTCCTTATAGTGTGGAGTTTTCTCCAGTTCAGTGCCGCATAGTTCCTAACCAGTACACAAAGCAGGCTCTCCTAGATGGGGTTACCAGGTAATTTGAGTGCGAGTGTTTGATCAGAGTAATGTTATGATTCAGAATGGCTGCTCTGGCTGATGATATCATACGCACAGCGGAGGATCGACTTGGTCTTTTCACCAAGCATGAACACTACAGTCAATATGCAGGGACGTTTCACACAGTTCTGCGACAAGTGGTAGACAAGTGCACGGCTTTGGTTGGGTAAGTAAGCAGCTTTATGGACAACTTTGTTCCGGAAATTGTTGCTAGTAATCCCTTTCTTCTTCATGACACACCGGTTTTCGATGTAATTTCCAAGTAGATCTGCTTTCAGGGAAAAACGTAAATACGCGGACGAGTTGAAAACTGTAGATCGAAACATAATTGCTTCAAATGACATCTACGCCGTCAAAGTGAGTAAATCCTGTTTTTCTAATCTGATTGGGTTTGACTTTCATCTATTAGGCTAATGAGGCTCTGATGTATATACGTGAGGCCATTTATCAACTTATAACCACCTGGAACGATCAGAGTACGGTACTTGCGGCGACTGTGCGTGCTGTCAAAAAGACCGTGGAAGATGGCAACACTGTTTCGGAGGTAAGTACTAATACGGCCTCACTGCATATTGACATTTCCTCAAGTGATAAAGACAACTCAAGTTTTTTAGACAACTGACATCGGCTTAGAGAAAATTGATGATCCGTTTCCCTCATATCTCCACCTTGGACTGAAACTTCAACCACGAGCAGGTGTTGTAGTTAGGGACATCATGGTCAGTCATAAAGAGAAAATCTTAATCAAAATAAAGCACTTAGGCCTTGCATTTTAGGATTCTAGAGGTAATTACAAGCCCGATATCGGTAGCATCATAGCTTATGCACTTTCTGCCGCTGATTACGAGGTAAAATCAACATTTACGAAATTCTTGATTTAGGAGGATCCTTCTCATTCCAGGAAAATCTTCGAAAGCAAAGAGAAGTAGCGAAAGGTGAACAACCGCCACTTAACCTCAACTCAACAAGTGCTGCCACTGACGAGCAGGCTTTGGCGGCAGAACACATTGAAGTCGAATTCCAAGACAGCCAAGCTTCATACTATGTCAAGGTACTTCCTTGTGACTCTCAGCAACTACTTTCAATTTGTTATTGGTTTTTATTACAGGCGTACTATGCTGCACGATTTCGACTGCTTCGTAAGCTGCTCTTTGTTGAAGGTGAAGAGGCATTTATAAGGTCATTGTCTCAAAGCACATTTTGGACTCCTCAAGTATGTCCATTTGCTTCTTGCGGTGTCAAAGAAGATCAAAGAGGCAGTGCTTGTTTCAGGGTGGAAAATCTGGATCGTTCTTCTATCGAACCCAGGATGATCGTTTTGTGGTGAAGCAAATGTCTCGATTCGAGATTCAATCATTTGTAGAATTTGCACCTCATTATTTTGATTATGTGAAGACAGCTGTAGTGGAAAATAAACTAACAACGCTATGTAAGGTAAGCATCAGTGATCATTGTCCGCTTGTTCGCATTGATACAAAGGAGATGCACTTTTAGACAGGCTGTTTTTTCTGTAAGAGTTTGAGTTTGACTTTCTTTTTAGTTTGCAGATTCATTTTGTCATAATCCTTTCAGTATTGTCTAACACGCATTTTTTTCTTTTCCTTTGTAAAAACTTGAATGGATCCTTAACCTTCCTTTCTTTGACACTGAGTCTATCTTCAGTAGTCATTGTTCAGCTCATAACATAATGGTTCTATCGCTTATTCATAAATTCGCACGTTCAGTGGCGCCAGACCTCGCAGAGCGGCTACGCGAATTTATGCGTACGTTAGAAAGAACCAATACGCATTGATACGAATTTTATCTCTCATCAGTTCAGCGCAGATGATTATGTAGCAGTGGACGGATTTTACGCTTTTTTAGGTCTATGGAGTATTTCGGGTTGGTTACAAGAGCAAGACTACCCAGTTGAAAGTGGATATCCTTGTAATGGAGTATTTATTCTATAAACATAATGTTAATCAAGTCTGGGACCTAAAAGGATCTCTAAGAAATCGGTAAGTCAATGCAGATGTTTGGTGCATTGATAGGAGCAAATAAAGCATAAATCATTGCAGGATGGCTGCCACAGCAAAGAGTACATCGGATCTCGTCTTGCTCGATGAAAATCTCATGAAGGATCTTTGGAATAAACAGCTGTACATATATCCTCACGCTAAAGCTGCTTTGAATCAAGCGATTAGTAATGACAGCCACTTTCTCAGTTCTCAGGTAAACTTACTGCTATCAATGAGCAAAAAAATGGTTTTTTTCCAATTTAGCACGTTATGGATTATTCTTTGCTAGTGGGTGTTGATGAGACCAATGGAGAGCTTATATTAGGAATAGTTGATTACATGAGAACTTACACCCTCGACAAGGTTGGTTCTCTTTTAGTTTTTAATTAGTTAATCTTATAATGACAGAAACTCGAATCATGGGTGAAAATCGTTGCTATACCCGGAGCACATCTGCCAACGATTCTCAGTCCAGAGTTGTATTGTACGAGGTAAGAAGGTTTCCGTTCATTTGGGCCGCATCCGGAGTGCCTGTGCCAGCACAAAGCTAGCGCCGTGTCAGCGTCGTCGATTGCTACGGGGTGTGTTTGCTGGTTGCTGGCACGGCGCTGATACTACTTGGACGCACCCTCACTGTTACTGCGGTTGTAGAGTGCAAGGTTTTGCAATTGTTTTATTTGAACAATTTTATTCCACATGCATCTGAGTCGCAAACCAGTCCAAGAAATAGGCATGGCATCTCTCGTTTTGCAGGTTTACAACTACTTTGGCACCTCTCGTTTTGCAAGTTTACAACTACTTATCTCTGTTTTCTTAGTGATAGCTTGGGGCCGCTCTAATGAGCGACAGAGACAAGACGTGGAAGGGAATATTTCTGAGTCAAACTTATTGCTTCGGAGCGGGCATGCAAATCATATGCATTCAGTCGGGCGAACGGGGGCCGAACGTTGCCCGACGCAAGCATATTTCAAAAAAAAACTGCAATTATTACCCTAGAACAAATACCAAGCGACTGAATCGATTTGGGATGTGGTCTACATTTACAAGTCAAAAATTAGAGCCTTCTGCGAATTCGAGAAAAAAATAAGAGAAAAGAGAGCCTTGTTCAGCTGAGTGAGCCCCGTGCGAGTTCTTACAATGCAAAACGCCCACTATTTTAGATTCTCTGAAGCAATGGACACTTATTTCCCGGTGGTCCCGGATCAGTGGACTGGTCTTGGTTCAGCGGTATCATATTGAACGTATATTGCACTATAGGTACTGAATATTCTATTTCTCAATTTCTTAACTCATAATTTACTCGCTTCTCCACATCGCACCTCAAAAACTGGACGAAGTATGTGACAGAATTCCCTTTTCGCTAACTCCTCAGTTTGTGTTCTTTACATAACTTCTTCAACTTAGAGTAATGGATTTTCGTATATAGTTGATTATTTCGTAGAATTATGCAGGATATCGATTCTCTTCAACGAGTATATGCTGTGATTCAATGTGATGGGCTAATATGTTGTGCACGATTGCCTTAATTAAGCGAAATTTTTCATCTTGTATAGTTCAACTCCCACGTAATTATTTATCACATATACACATCAGTAAATCCAATTTTACTTATAGAACACGTTTTCGATATCTGCAGCACAAATCCAGCTGCATTTTTCAAAGTTGTACACGTATAAATGATGCGCTACATCCGACTTACAAACTAATCAAGAGCTCAGAAAAAGAAATTTGTGACAAATTAATAGAAAATGATTAATGTATATCACAGACTAATTTGATAGGAAATCATTTCGACAACAAAAAAGAGGAAGCTTATAGATGGTCGAAGCACAGGAATCCAACGCACCATGAAACTGATGGAGTGAACTGTATGACGAACTCCGTGATGAAGATGAAGCATCCTTCCAGTCACCTTTCCAGCAGCCTAAAATCACTTCAGATTCCCTTTGTTCTCAGTATCGACAACAATGAGAGGTCGAATACCTAATCTAGCTTTCAATATCATCCACCATAAGTAGTTTTCTACTAGAATCATCTTGTGGACTGCTTGGGCGAGATCTAGAATACAGTCTCTTTGAGGATATTGCTCTTATGACCTGCATCGTATTTGGGTCTGCAAAATTGGAGGATAAGACGACTCGATAACAGTAACATACTAGAAAACTCAAGGACAGGCAAGAAAGGCAGTGTTCAAATCTGGACATCAGAATTTCTCATGAAACTGATGGGGTCTATAACTAGAACACTGCCTACGCGGCAACTCAAAAGATCACCCACGCCTAGAAATTCCTTCCGAACACCCGTATCCGCTCCATTAATTCACGTTATCTAGCACCCGACTGTGTCGTATGTTTTCGCGCGTGGACCACGGAAGTGACTATTCTGCGCTAAATTAAAGAGGCGGAATTGGTTTCAGAGTTGAATTTCCCCCCAGCGGTGAATGAATCGTTGGTGTTGCCTCTTTTGCAGTTTCAAGAGCCCACATCAGTTCCACATGAGACACCGATAGTCCAGATTCACATGCACACTGCCTTTGAAAAGGAAATTAGGGAATATGAGCGAGAGAGGATGGCAGATTTTCCGAAAGTTTATAAACATCCGCTTGTTCTGCTTTTATTCTAATTCCGTCCCTACGCCACATGTGATTATTTTAATGCAAATACCACAGGTCCAATAATTTGCTAAGCAATATAGAGTGTCACTCTCTCCTCCCCCCCCCCCCCCCAAAACGGTTCGAAGAGTTCCTTTTTAAATCTGGAAATAATTACGCAGATCTTTTCGAGGAATATACGTCAATGTCAATTTCGAACTCCTTTGCGCATAAGAACTACGCATGCGCAACGCAAGGACCCTGCGTGCGGACCTCCAATCGATGAGGCCCATTTGAATGCCCGACTCATACGCGCGAACATGGCGCGAAATTACCTGCGTTTACGAAAAAGGGAGCAGTGATTGACAAGGATTGTACTCCGGCAGCTTATGAAGATGATAAAGCTGCAGCAACAGCGTAGTGTGAAGCCTCTGTCGGCGGCGGCTTGGGATATATATTAGGTTGTCTCAAAATTAATGCACGTTTAACCTCTTTTTGATAAACTGATTTGTAAAGAGAAAACACTTTTCTTCAAAACCCTTTATAGTTTCAGAAAGCCCGATTCCTCTAGTTTCTAACATGTGCTTTCGTTTTCGCAAATCTTTGTTGAAGCCGAAGTTCCATTCCTGCAAAGAAAAGTGATTAAAATCTGAAATTCTTTTCCTTCACTCTCCTTGCTCTAAATGCATGAAAAGTGGACGAATTTTTTTTTTGAAAAATATGCGTAGCGATCGCGAAGCTTTGTGCTACAACAAGCTTGTCAGTATGAGACTTTTCAAAAATTCCGAGTTGAGAAATCTTGTCTCAAACTTGGCTGGTTGCTGAGGCCCATCTAAGCTGCATAAAAATCGTAAGCAAAGAGCGATTGTATAAATTTTGTTATGTACACATAGAGTAGACCTAGTACAACTGATGTTAGAAAAAACGCAGCATTTCAACGTTTTTTCGAAAAGAAAAAATTCAAAAATCCCAAAAAGGCAGTTTTTCGGATCTTCCAAAATACTGAAAAAAATGGGCACTTCCAGTTTTTTTGCAAAATTTTCTCACAGAAATATGCCGTAAAATTCAAACTTCACACCATTGCACAACCGAGCATTGGCTATATAGTGAGCAAAGTCCTCGCGATCTTAAAATAGTACATTTGCGCGCAAGTTAAGCTTTCTCAAAGTATAAGTTTCTAAAAAAATGTTGGGGAATTTCCTAGGCTATAAAATCTTTCTTAAAGCGGCTGCGATCCCACAAAAGCATGGGTTCTATAGTCAACGGTTTGTTGTTTGCAGTAATTTTTATTGCGCTCAAAAAGACGGTTTAAGGAAAGAGTTATCTTGATTAGAAGTTGAAGTTCATAAAACGTGCATTAATTATGAGACAACCTAATATTAGGTCGGTCCAAAAGTTCGCTCTGTTTTCCAGACTCATGCTTAAAACACTTAGAATAAAGATAGACAAACGCTGTAAGCAATATCCGATCAGAATTCCATCCTCTTTTTGATGGTTATGTTTTTGCTCAGATTCCATTAATGTCCGCTCAATAATCGTCAAGAATCTCGAACCCATGGTTTTCACCCAAATCAGTTTGGCTATTTTTTGAAATTTCCATTCTCAACTTTTGGACTAGCTTTGATAACAGTTGGATAGAACAAACAAAATGCAATACAATAGACTATTTCGGCTTTCTCAACTAACTCCTCAGTATTTCTTAAAATAATTTTTCAAGCCCTTACTTTTGCAAAGTTGCAAAATACACAATCGCTTCAAACACCGACAATTCATCGGAATTTGAGGCCTCAATAAACAGTTTATGACTTAGCACTAATCTTAGCAATCAACTGAGTGTTTAATGGTTCGAGATATAGTATTCCGAATTTTCTGGATACAGCCGGCACGAGTCTGGAAAGAAGAGTTATACTGGTTTTATCCTCATATATCATACAAATCAAAAAGAAAAGAAGTCTATCAAAGAGAAGAGGAGAAACTGCATCCAATGACACCCTGGTTGCTCGTCGTTTACTGTTCTGTGAGTAGGAATTACAGATATGGGATTTGTTGGCAAGAAGTGGCAGGAAAATATTTCCAAACATTTTGAGAAGCCGGCTAGAGATGTCGAAAAACTGTACTGCATTGCATTTTGTTTGCTTTCAACTGTTATCAATGGTAGTAAAGGTGAAAATGGAGATTTTAAAAAATAGCCAAACTCAAGATGGGTAAAAATCATAGGTTGGAGATTTCTGCAGATTGTTGAACGTACATTTAGGGAATCTGTAGCAAGAACATAACCGTTAGAAAGAGGAAGAAATTCTGCATCGGACAGTTCTTACAGCTTTTGTCTACTTTTATTCGAGTGGTCTGAGCCTGGGTCTGAAAAACGCTGACACCTGATTAGAATCAAAACGATCAAGCATGGACGTTCAGTAGCGGCATATAACTTCTTGCAACGCACGATGTATTCTATATGCATGTTCGAGTGTGTAGCTTTGTGATATGGAATGTTATAGATTGCTTCTGATAGTGAGATAAGAAGAACTAAGACAAAATGCAGAGATAAGGAATGCGCCTGGAAAGTATCATGCAGGAAAGAAGATATCCTGATAATAGAGCTTACCTTTGTCTTCTCCGTGACATGCCGTGTAAAGTCATTCCACATAAACACAAGACTAAACCAGCTACATTCACCGTAGATAGATGGTCGTTGTTCAGAAGGTGTGCAAGAAGTAAGGTGGCAACTTCCTGAAGCGAAGATAAATTCTATTCTACACATACTCTTACAGAGTGAGCAGCATTACCTTCACTATTCCGAATATATTTAGTGTGATTCCAGATGTGTTGACTAACAAGAGATACTCTAAAATCACGTTGATGTGTTTCTAAACGGTACAAACAACGTATTTAGTGAAAATTATACCTGACATTTCCATACAAAAAGCTAACAATCCTCCACAAACTATCAACAATGCAACTTGAACAGGAGCATATTGTTGCTTATAGTACAGAACAGTGTCGTAAGAAAGTTCACTTCCTAAGGCAAGAGTGAATTACCACGCCACAAGATACTCAGAGGACGAACCTTCAAACGTGATTATGAGAGGTACAATGGGAATCAACATCCAAGGTTGAACATGTGCGACCATATCTAGAGGATGACTCAGTGCTTGCTCCTCTCTTTGCATAACCAATTGCGATACCGTCCACCTGCGATTCGAAATTTTGAAGGCACTATCACGTATGCTTCATTACAGTGACCCAAAAAGTAGCGAAAAGTTTTTTTCCAATAACATTCGTACTTCTTGAAGACCACAACCCAAATTTTAAAAAGGATGGCGTTACGTATAAGAAGTTTTTTACAATTCTCAACTTCTTCCGTTTCTTTACGAACAAGTCATTTGCATATTCTTAACTCATCTAACGCTTTCGATAACCCCCTCCCCCTCATACATCACTGCCCCATTAGTTCACAAAAATTGTAGTCAGACAACAATTTCAGAGAACTAGCGAAGATAGCACTTTGATAAATGGTAGCAGCATAATTCTAACATATATATTGCACAATTCACAGAAACATTTTCCAAGGCATGATTTTTTTGCAGATACGCCATTTTACAAAATCTGCCGAAGAACTTCTGATATGTTAGACCGAAGGCGCCCCCTTCGCAAACAACAAAAACATTTGCATATCACACCTGAGAAATGCTGCCTCTTTAGAAATCTACAGAATATTGAATTTGTGCATATATCATGCTACCTAACTGTTTATTTGGATGAAAGCTACAGCGGAATCATTGGCGACTCCGAGTTAAGTGGCGTCGTACGTAATCAAGGATAGTGGCTAAAAACAAAATGTTTTCTTACCGCACTCCTGTACATGATGCGGCAAGCTCTACAAGAAGCAGTCCTGTGAGGTCAAGCTGAGATGAATGCCACGTGAATAAGAACAAGCCAACTGCAATAAGTCCTGTCTCCAATCCAAGTACGGGTCGCCACCTGAAGAAGAGAAGGAATGAGAAGAAAGAGAATGAATGAGAAAAAAGGTCGGAAAAGTGAGGGCTAACCGTTCCACTCGCAGCAGCAATGAGAAGGCAACGATGAAGATGATTGAGCTGCTCTTAGCCATTGTGTACAGACTAACAGTCACATACTCGAGTGCCCAGTTTGACAGTCCTATGTCTAGTGAAGCACATATTCCGATAGGTGCCAGCCATCTGAAACGGCTAGCTTAGCAGGGGAAAGAAAAACTGGAAAATCCGCCAAAAAACTGACCGGAGCTGCTCCTTGAGATGGAGACGAATTCGTTTCTTGTGAACACATTCGTACACAGCACGAATGGCGACGGCAGCAAGCCATTTAACAATGTAGTGCCAACATACAACGAACAATGGCAATTTATAATTCTGTAAATATGCAGTGAGAATTGCCAAGCTTAAAATGTATCATTCAGACTTCCTTTTAAACCAAGTGGATTCCAACTAGGACAGAATTTCATTCTCTTTCGACGGTTCAACATTCTTACAAAGAGTTGGAACTCAAACGAAATTACAACTTTTCACCAGCACGTTCGAGTGTGACAGTGGAGGATAATGGCCATCCTTCAGAAAATGCCCTCCGAAAACTGATGCCACAGGCCGGCTCAGTATGCAGAAAAATTCTAGAAATTTTTGCCGCTACGACCTATTGTGATGTCGCAACAGCCATCGTAAATGGCATAAAGGAATCCACATTTTTGTGATTACACTTCCTCTAGAAATTTTTAGGATTCGCCATTCGATAGTGATTACTTTAATTCCCATTTAGACTTCTTATGTACGAAATCTCGACTGTCAGCGAGTCACATGCTGGAGCGTTTACTTTTCAGTCAAGCTATAGGCTATTCTCATTCTCTACATACTGAAAAGTGAATTTAAACTTTCTGATTTTTTGCTTCCACATTAGGCGACAAATGACGAAGCTCTCAAAAGAAACAAGCGCTATGCACAAAATGATAAGCGATGCTCAAAAAAATGCAAAACAGGAAAGAAAGGATCAAATATAATGTAGCACTGAACATATGTTAGCGAAGAAAACCACACCAAGAAAAGATCTAAATAAGACAACCTCCATCTTACTTTTTGGGCCCAACTCCACTAAATCCAAGTTATTTGGTTCAGAAACAGTCAAATGCCTTCGTTCTTGGTTCCTTTGAAGGTTGAAGAATTTGCAGAAGACAAGATATAAGGATTTTCAGACTTGTGATAATCAAAGGATACAAAAGTAGTAAGCTAAATGCTAATCAAATATGAAGTCTTGGAGGTTTCAGTCGTACTTTTCAAAGTTGAATTCATCGTAATGATCAAGTGATAAAGATGCAGCACAGTAACTGTCAAACAGACACCGGGTACATTAACTCTAGATAAAACTAATTATTGTTCTTGTTTAAAACAAGTATGAACAAATACTGATATTTAAGTGCAAACGACGAAAGATACCAACCTTTATAAACCATTTCTGATAGAAGGTAAGCCCAATCGAAAGAGGATAGTAGAGAAGCGCAATAAGCGCAATTTTCCAAACCATACCAATTGCAGAAATCGTTATTGGAATCTCTTCATGTCTACGATTCTAGCAGAATGAAAAATCTGAAAAAGCATATGAATTGTGATCATATCGAAAGCGACCGCGAACACATGTTGATGCAATGGCGCAAAGAACTATGGAAAGCTCAGAAGAATGAATAGATGCGATCGATGGCCGATCCAAAACAATACCAAGATTTTTGGTCGACAACTGCTACGCTTTACAAGCTGAACAACCACGATAACATTCGCTGAATGCTGCATGACGTACGATGATCCACTTTTACTGTAACTGCAGAAAAATGCGGCAATTACAGGAAACTGCCATTACCACAAGGACAAGTTATTCCTGGGTTTCCATTTAGCAAAAAAGCAACTCGATATGTTCGTGGAAAATCTTTTTCTTGGCTGTGAGTGTACTCACTTACCCGAATCCGAACCGGACTCGATCCTACTCTCTAAAGCGCGGCATGGACAAAAAAGTTAGGTATGTACTTCAAGCAGCTGGATCAAAAAACGATTCCTGGTTTCGAATTCACAATCAAGGAGAAGTTGCCATAAAGCTATGCTTCCCGTATATATTCTAGGTCCAAAAGATTCAGTCGTTCTCAACTTCTGCAGTTAGTCTGCGTCTCGCCATCTCAGGCGTGCTGAAATTGGGGGGGGGGGGGTGTCAAATTATCAAGTACTTGCTTTTATAAAAGTAAGTGTATTGGAATACCATGATGTAAGATTGCAAGCAGCATGATTGTTCATTGGCATTTCGCTACGCAGAGAGCGCAGTGGTCGATAAAACTTGGCAGTTTCAGTTTTATGACGCGCATTTTCATTGCCATTTGGTTTCCTTTTGGTCTTTTGCTACAGTGCCACAAGTATGGTTGTGATAAATAATTAAATAAATAAAATGAACAAGTAAGTGAATGGACATTTCCTAGGTGGAGAATTTCATGTGCGCCAGAGACGACACGGAATTTATTGGTGAAGTAAGTCTCTAAGACCGGATTTGTGTAGGTAGATCTATACATACAATATTATTATCATACAATATGTAGGCGATTTATCGCACGCACAGACTGGATGCCGCTGCATCCGGCAGAGATAGTTTGTGCTTGGGTGAGGCAGTAGACGGCAAGAAGAATGAAAGAGCGCTTGGTGAGAAACGCCGACAGCGTCCGCAGCGACGCCCTGTCTTTGCGTGAGATGAATCGCTTAATCTTATAAAGTTGATCAATTTATTTGGTAAGTAAATAGGTAGATTTGTAATTACAGGATTGCTAACATTATGTAGATGTTCAAACAACCCTTCCTTCTAAAAAGACCTTATCATTGTTCACCTCAAGGTCACCACGAGCTCGCTTTATGCGGTCATCAAAAATGTATGTTTTTCTTGGAAACATGCTGTGGCACTGAAAGCTTGTGAATCACAAGGGAAGAATTTTTTTTTTGATTATAAGGAGCAGAAACAATTCCGATTGATTATTGAAAAAAATGTGTAAGTATTATGTGCGAGTTTTCTTGACCCATCCTGATTCATATGGAATCAGTCATGCACGGAAATTTCTGAAAGTTTGTAGTCTTCGTCAATTCCAACAAACTTTTTTGATTCGGTGCTTTTCCAGAGAAAGCTATATACTTCTTATTGTTAATAATCTTTGTTATTGTTAATAAGCTGATGGAATGGATTACCCAAGTCAACTTTTTCTGACTTTTAGTGCTTTTCAATGCTAAAAGCTTTGAAAAGGTTTTCCATTCCGACTTTCATTTCATTCTACTCTATATATTATACAATATATTGAAAAAGTATTCGCGCTGGGACATCCCTAAAGAAAGGTGAATGTGAAATTGATCTTTCAAGTTTTCGACTTTATTTCTGAAGTATAAAATAATGTACAACATGTACATTACATTGTGAGTTTTTACATACGTTTTTATCTTCTGTTCTCGGCAAAATTCATGAATTGGATTGGTAACTGGTACAGGCTCATCTGTGTTGGAAAACCCTTGACGTTCAGAGTGGCTGTTAAAATGTGGGTATTCCCATTTACAGCTATTATCTACCACAATTGAACCTCAACAAACTTGATAAGGATAAACGAAAGCGCAGATATAGATGCCTTTTGATTCAACAGGATTGGCGGCTGGGAGGCGAGGCTTCGAGGCCTAAGCAAGGGTAGGGATTGACCGGAGAGCAAGATCGCGAGAGAGACGCAGACTGCGTTGCGGGTGCGAGCGGTCGCCTTCCAGCCGCCAATCCCGTTGAAATAAAGGGTACAAGATCTATTATTGACTTGGAAGTCAGTACAGAGAAAAAATTGAGCAAAATCTCAGAAATATGAGTGATCGCAAAGGGGATGAAAGGACTGGCAAAAACTAACGGACATTCCTGAAATGTTGCATGAAAGGTCATGTGCACAGCTGCCGAATCATCGATGTCCTATACAAAGTCATAGGAGTGCTTAACATTGTGGCTCCATCTGCACTTTTTGTATTGTCCAAAAACGTGCTTCTGTTACGTGGCTGAGTTTGACGTAATGAGGTTTTGGGCCTTGGGGTGCTTATATTTTCAGAAAAACTTGTTAGTCAAGCTCTTGAACCGACCACCAGTCTTATTCTCTCAATTTTTTTTGTCATTTTCATCATGGGCTTGACTTTTTATGGCCGATTCCAAACAGCGCCTAGTCACTTAAAAATACAATATCGCTCTTATCTCTTCTGGTGAGAGTCTGCGACTACTTTCTAGCGCACTATAATCTACAAGAACAATACTATCGAATGGGACTTACTGGTATCTTTTGCGTTGGGTAGGTGCTGCGGTACATCTTTGCAAAAGGACCTCCGCAGAAGAATTTAAAAAAAAACTGGAAACGGACTATCGAGGGCATGTTGTAGATGGGCAGATTTGCCTTGACGGGCTGAATGCAATGCTGCTTCCGGATTTAGAATATATTCATTCCGAAGGAAGTTATTGCGTTGCGTAGTTCGCGTGAATCGCGTGATGCAAATATCGCGGACCGGCAATACCGCGGACTTCCGCGGAATTCGCGATTCGTTGCTCTGGGAGGCTCAACAAAGATTAGAAGGAAACTACGGCCCGTAGTAAAGCCCGGTCACGGGAGATGATCTCCCCTTAAGCCCTGGCCATACCGTCAAAAAAATCACCGCGATGCGATTTGTGCAATCGGACAACTGCAATATCCCCTATTTCATGCCGGCAAATTGTGCATATCGGTCGTGCTAGCTGTCCGGCGCGACGGATCGCTGACCGTGTTTTAAAAGATTGGACAACACAAAGTGCTATCCAAGTATTGTATAACATATTCAAGTGTTGTACAACATATTGGTCTTGTTCCTGCCTTGGAGACTGGAAAGACAACGGAGGTTATGGACATTGAGGGCAGCCTGACCATGCGTCGTACATCACGCAAGTGTTCTTTACGCTCAGATACTAGGACCGGCCGAGCCGAAAATGGGTCGCGGCTCAGCCGGTGTTTCGTAATAGAGATTTTGGTCCGCGGCTCAGCCGGTGCAATCATATCGACATGAATTAAGGTCCGCGGCTGGGCCGGTAAGCCATATTCGGTCCGCGGCTGGGCCGGTAAGCCATATTCAGTCCGCGGATCAGCCGGTGCAATCATATCGACATGAATTAAGGTCCGCGGCTGGGCCGGTCTTCGGCCACGCCCCCAAATTAAGGCCGCGGACGGGCCGGAAAGGCCTTTTGAGGCCGCGGCTCAGCCGGTCCCAGTGTCTGAGTTCCTAGGCCATACCTATTCCAGCGATGTCGCCGCGATTTGACCGAAATCTTGCGATATCGCGTCGCAACTTTGAAACCCGCGACGGGGCGATATCGCTGGAATTGGATTTCTTTCCTGATTGTTTCTTAGAACAATTCTTTTTCCTTTCAACTTGTTTTTTCTGCGGTGACGTTGAAATGTGATGCAGATTTTCTTTTGCACTTCACAATTGCACTTCTGTCGTGTTGTGATGCGCGCCCTTTCTAATTCGTGCCATCAGTCAAAATGATTTTTAATTGTTCAAAACTCGTAATTGAATAACATGCGTAGTATTTATGTATCTGAATTTTGCGAAAAATCAGCAAAACCGCAGCTACAACTTGAGAAAATTGCTTTTGCATACTGTATCCAACAAGAAAAGTTGAACGAAGATATAAATGCGCGAACTAATATGAAATGTTGATGCTGGAACGCATTGGTGTCGAAAAAAGACAAAGAAAAATCTGCAAATGTAAAGAAATCACGCTGAATACAGCTCTTGGATGGCAAAAGAAAACGTAGAACGAGTGCTGAGGTGTGTATTTTCACCTTATCGCTGAACAGGTAGGTATGTCCAGAACTCGCGATGAGCGATTTGATAGTCGCGATTTCGTCGTTAAAATCACGAAATGCTTCGGCGATGAAATCGCGACGATGAAATCGCTGTATGTATGGCCAGGGCTTTAGGCCCTCATATGAGGCTTTATCGGGTGAGATGAGGACTACCCACTTTTCCGTGGTGTAACTATGCAAGGTCACCCTACAGGTGAGCTTCAGATGAAGCCCGGCAGGGAGATCAGCTCCGACCGGGGTCATCGGAGATGAGCCGGGCGACGACATGAGGTAAATACTGTGTTAAAGAGGAGAGCACAGAGAAAATCCCCGTAAGTTGCTCCCGAGTAACTTACGAAACATCGCAGATGACGTTCTTTTGCGGTGCAGAACTCCCAAAATTGCACAATTTCGGGCGCCTAAGTAAGTGAGGATCGATGAACAGCTGATTGCGCGGCGAAATCGAAAAAAAGTTTTTTTTGCATTTTTCTTACAGTTGATACACGTTTTTTACGGAAAAACCGCTTAAAATGACAAATAGGTAAATTTATCTTTTTATTCGTTTTTCTCTAAGTGTAATTTTTCCTCGTATGTATGCCAAAATAGTGCGTATTTGTTTTATCTTGTAGTTTGCTGGGTGAAATCTCTGATAGCGGCTATCATCGATTTTTCGATGGCGGCCTCTATCAAAGGTCGCCGGGCCAAGCAGCAAAAATGGTGCCGTTAGCCGCACTCGAAAACGGCCCCGCCGCTTGCGCATTAATCTTATCCATTTGACTAATAATGCACAAATGGCAGAAACGTTCCACCTTTGAAAACGCGAATGTCTAGTAAGTGACCTGCTCCAAATCAATCGCTCCCCTGGCAATGTGCTGAGGCGCGTTGAGATCACCTCCGTCCGCCTCAAGAGAGATGCCCTGATGGGGGGTTTACTACGGGCCTATAATATAACCAACATGCGTTTTTCGTCCTCCCAATGACCGGCATCTATCATTCACTTACAACCTTACCATTTCATGGAAGGAGTCGGATCGTGAAAGGGAGCGACAGGTGTCAAGGTGAAAATCTTTGATTTGTGAGTAGATCGAGAGCATGCAAATATTACAAGAAAACTGTGCGACTGGGATGGAGTCTAGGCTGAAAACTCCTTATCTACCTGTGGAAGAGGTTTTTTGAAATTAAGCAATACTGCACACATCAATCATAAGCGATAAGTACGTTCACCGCTGCCACCATTTGACTAGAATTTCAGAATCTTTCGCTGGTGCATGTCTATCCAATTTTTTTTCTTGCCTTCCGAGATGAAAATTGTAGCAAATTAAGGAAGAAACGTATAGGACGATCAGCGGTTTCCAATTTCACTTCGTCTTGACCCACGGACCTCATCTACAATGAAGACTGAAAAAAAGGAAATTAATTCAAACAACTAATCAAGAAGTACGTATTCAGGCAATCCACCGGAACGCAGGACAATCAAAATTTACAGCGGTTCCGCAGGACATTGTTTGGGGTGGGGGTTTGGGGTGGGGGAAGGAAAGCCGCCAGTTTGAGCCGCCTTTCGCGGCTAACTGGTCCTTTCGCAACGTTGTTACATGTCGTTCCAGGACCAGCAGTCCGCGCAGGCGACCGAAGCTGGCGGCTTTCGTTCCCCCACCCCATTGTTTGCTATTACAAAAGTGAATATGTTAAAAATCCGCAGGATCTACGTTAGACTAATTGAAAACTCAATAGAACAATGTTCGAGTTCACTTATCACTTAGGTATTCTCTTTTGCTGTTGTGGTTCGCATCTCACAACTTCCGCAGCACGTTTACGGAATCTCCGCAGGTGACCCTTCGGAACTTTCCCAAACGTTCTGCGGAATTTTCGATTAGTTGTCTGAGTAGACCAATCTTTGTAAGAACATCCGTAAACGAACTAAAAATTATCGTTTTTCGGGGAAGAAAGTCCGGTTTTCGTTAATCAAGGCTGAATGGTAAATATATCGCACACAGACTACTTGGATAAGACGAATCGCACCTGACATCATTCACGCTATTCTCTGATTAAGTAATTTTTTACTAAAATTTCCGGTCTTGCCGATTGTTTATTGGGTTCGTAAATTCTTACGAACCCTACTAAAACAAAATGGTGCAAAAAACAATTTCTTTTACCTTCCTTCTAGGAAAAGATATGAGGAATACGAATCGTGTTCATCTAATCTCTGAATCCATGAACAGCAGTTTTCACTGTTTTTCTAGATAAACTGTTCTTTTAGATAAAAATGGAAGTTCAGTGCTCTAATGCAACCAGCTTCTCAAAAAAAAAGAAGAATAAAACCCGAGTTTATTAAAACGCTAGTTGGCAATCCCGGCTCCGCCCGGCCCTGTCAATAACATATTTGTAATCAGCATGCTCGATTACCCCCCTGTGCCAACTTCCAGCCCCGTAGCTCAAATTTTGCAAAAAATCGATAAAATCGATATCGATCGATGACGAAAAGTAATGACACCCGCCGGGGCCCGAAGTGTATGTGTGCCAAGTTTGGTCCAGATCGGTTCAGAAATGGGATTTTCTATTCGGAACATACGTACAGACATGCATACAGACATATGTACATACAGACATACATACAAACAGACATTCAGCTTTATATATAAGATAGAAGAACGTCAAGGGGATCTAATCGTACAAAGCAATTAATTTCGCAATCATATAGAGTGCGTTTATACCTTGTTTCAGAAAAAAAGGGAGGAGGTCATGGGCTCTATACAATAAGCATAAGAAAGTTGCAGTGGTGGTCGCAGGATTTCTTACCGGGGGGGGGGGGGGCGGCAAAAAATTTTTTCTGATCAAGGTGCGTGGCTTAGCCACGCACTCCGAAAAATTTTTAGGGGTGCCTCTCAAAATTTTTGCGGGTCCCCAACCCCTACAAGCCCTAAAATCTGGAAAAAGGGGCGTGGCGTCAGCCACCCGAAAAAATTTTTTTACAAGGCTGATTTGAATTTTTAAAAAATTTTTAAAATTATTTTAATTGTTTACAAAAATAAACAAGTATTTGCACATTTTTATAACCCACGTAAGTAGATTTTAAAAATTTCGCGACCTATTCTCGGGGGGGGGGGGCCTCGGTCCGCCACTGGTAAGTTAGTATCCATATGATTGCGCCTCTTCCCTTTCAAAGCAGAGTTGGAAGGGCTTACGAATCAAGTTTTCATGATAATAAAAATGATGATGCTACAAGGCGTATCTGACTTCGATCGCACAGTTCATGTAGTTCAACTTACAGTTAGTATTACTATGATCAAATGTTTACAAGTGTATGGGTTTAGTCATTTCTGTTTTGCATCTTCATCCTTTCGTGGAGACTTCAGGTCCTCGTCTTCCGATAGCTCTAGATCCTTGTCATGCTTATCCGCAATATCGAGTTCTTTCTTCACCTCCTCGATATCCTGTATTTGCAAACTTTGGAATTTCAAGGACAAAACACTTAGGGTAATTCTAGCATACCTGAATCCGATGATCTGCTGCAATATCACCCTCGTCGGGACGAATTTTTATCCCTCCACAAGTCACACAGTACATCACAAGTAGAGCAATCAGACCACATACCTATGTTATGGATTTTTGAAGTATCTTCCCAAGAAAAAAATTGTAAAAGTTTACCTCCACTATAGAAATCACAGATAATCCTAACCACAAACCAGCGTGACCTCCAAGGTCATTTAATGCACCGGATATCTATAAAGAAATTAAGATTTTACAGGCTTTTCGAAGAAAAAAGCAGCGTTTGGAGCGTCCATCCCCGAGCTGTGCCAACACCGTTCCAGTGAAGTAACGTAGTGCGCTTTGCGCCGCAACCGTAAGGTTACACTATCAATCGATCGCGTTTTGGCGCGCCGCTAGCACAACGCTGGAACGGCGTTGACACGGCGTTGGGGCGCACGCTTCTGGATGCAGTCTATTGGCTTGTTAGTTGAACCTACCCCATAACTCGCTCCTTCAGTGTACGATTCGTATTTAAGTGTTTCGAAAAACACTTGTAACAGTAGTCCATTGTTCTCGTACCAGAGTCGACAATTTTGCACATCCTAGTAGATCGAAAGATATAGACATGTTCTTTGCGGAAAAAAATATTACTATCAACTAACCCCAGCAAAATTCTTGTTCAAATCGTCGCAGCTTCCTCCCTAAAATTCTCGAGATTTGTTTATCTGCGGAAGCCCAAAGTTTTTGAGGAACAAAGCGTAAAAAGTGCCCACGACTCCTCTGACGTTGTCCGTAGCAACGTAATAGTTTGCAGCCGGGAATTTAGCTATGCTTGCTGTCGTTGAATACGTAATTTCCGAACAAGGTGGATCACACGAGCATTCAGTCAATGGACAAATATTCGGTGATGTAGTTGATGCTTGATCACCGCGAAGATTTTGTAGGCAATCCACTGAAACAAAATTCTTTGCATGACACCATCGAAACTTACTGCCAATAAGTAAAACGAAACGAAATTGCGTACAGAAATCATGTTAGGAAAGCCAATTTTGCTGGTATAATTAGTTAGTTAAGGTTATGAATGGCAGAGCACACGTGAGTGAGCGTAAGCTACAGATTTTCTTGCAAATTTATTTGTGCGCTTTGTTAACCGCTTATCATTTAAAATTACTTTCCGTAAGGTCTTGAAATCAATCCTTAATATTCTATCCTCAAAATTTCCGTGAGGTCTTGGAAAAATTCTCACTACACTACTTCGTAAATTTCTTGGGTAGAATTAGAATGAAGTGATTGGTGCTTTTTAAAAGCGCATCCAACATTGAGCTCAAATGATGTAGGCAAAATATCCAATTTTACTTTCGCTTGCTCTTTGTTTGATTATCTATCAAAGCCAAGTCATGATATCCCAAATTTTCTCTCTTATCGAATCATTGCACCGCACCAAAATTGCATAACATATCAAGTCAGTTTTTTTGTTTACTTACAGTTAGTCTTGGTTGGTTCACAGTAGGTCAGTGACGATGTCTTGCGATAGCGAGGATTGGCGCAGCCACACTTGGCTACCGTGTCTCTTTGACGGCAGCCAAAGAAGCAAGTGTCCAGCGAATAGGTTTTGTCCTGAAATGATGACTGGAATATTCTCTAAAAAATTTTTGATCAGACTTCTAAAAGAACGGAAAAATTTAGTCAGCTGACCGTATAAAAATTCGTCGCGTCCGACTCTTTATCGACACATCTTCCATAAGGTCTTTTCATTCGCTTGTATTTTGTCTAGGAGTAGAATTATAGGTAAACGGTTTTAGCAGAATCCATTGGTATGTCTTACAGAAGTCAGTGCAATGGCAGTCTGATACCCAACTCCTACGTTGATTCCGAGGTTGTCCATTGACGGGTTTGAGCCTAAATTATATAAGGAGTTAAATTATCTTTAGATGACAGTTTCAGAAAACTTGGCATAAGTGCTCGTACCTTTTATGTTGAAAAAATGTGGCAGTGTTTGAAGAGCCAATTATTATAGTTTTAACTAGATGAACATATGCAAAATTATGCCGCCTATTTCAACAAAATTCCATCTGAATCATGGAATTATTTTTTTCCAGAGTTACGTCAACACAACATTTAGTAAAATCTGATTGCCTCTTTAAAAAAATCTCTCTAAGGCTGCGCCAAGAGTTGCACGTGTCAGCGGCGGGCTAGCTTGTTAACGCAATTGATCGATCAATAGGCGCCGCTTCCATGTAGGCGCTGAAACGGCTTTGGCACGGGCAACTCTGGAGGCTAAGCCATGGCTCAGGTGTCTGTTTTTTTCTAAGCTGGTTTAAAGGGTAAATTTTGAAAAAAAAGTCGAAAATCTTATTCAGAAAGATAGTTATACACCTCGTGGATGTATTGCTATCCTTGCGCCTGCCACACCTGTCGTTGGAAGGAAATCGGTGATCAGGCCGGTTGTTTCTTGCTGGAAAATTCGAACAAATTTTTTTCAATAATTTTTTTTGACTGTCCATTACGAGTTAAACTCACGCTGACAGTGATTAGCAGCTTCAGGCCAAATTTCATTCCAGCTCTGTTGGTAGAATAGGACAGGGAAGAATTTTCGTTGAACGAATAGCAAGCTCCGTAAATCGGATCCACAATTTCGGTGAAGTCAGCTCTGCACAACAGATAAATACTGTTTGGCCATTTGAATGAAAATATGAGCACCTTGAGCACGTTCTGCCGGAGAATGTGCATTTCGTGATGAGCTCTTCGAAAGTATATAAGGCAGGTCTCAAAATGTTTTGATCCAGCTGTGCGACCTCAAGAGCAAGAGCATCTCGGGCTCGTTGATCGAGCTGATACGGTAAAACCATCTTTTCCTGCAAAGCGTAGTCTGACGCTAATTTAGAGGTAGAATAATGCAACAAATTGGTAATAATCAGAAATCCTGACCATATTGTATGAGAACGCCTTTTTTCCGTCATTTCACTCACAAAATACTATAAGATTAGTCCCTCCCACTTTGAAAAATTGTATACTAAATAAATCAAATAGTTTGAGATTTCAAAAACTCCACAGAAAGTTTACTTAGTCTTCGAAACCTTCCCGATAATATTCTCTTTTGGTTATTGGTAAATATAAACGATTCATCGCACGCAGAGATACGGCGTCCTTGCGGAGCTGGGGGCGTCCCCTGACTGAGACCTCCTTTGTACCTCTTACCGTCTGCTCTCTCTTGCCCGAACTAGCTTACTAGCCCGCAACTGCGTCCACTCTCTGCGTGCGATGACTCTTCTATACCATAGTGATATAGCATAGAATTTTGAAATCAAATATAGCCCACAGTAGGTTTTCATTAGTAATCAAGACAACTCTCTACTGACTAAAACTGCATATAAAAATTGGAACGGGAAGAAAACAGTTTCTCTACGATTTGTGACCCAACAGAAAAATTGTTCAAATGGAAGTGTGATTAAAGGATATGTGAACCAACTACGCCTATGATTTTGACTGTTCAGCCAAAAAATTGTAATAAAAACAAAGAACGGATTGAAATTTTTCTTATTTCAGAAGGGACATGACACCTCCTATGCTCCTCTTTCTTCATCAGAGATTACTGTTACGGAGAATGAATAAGATCTAGATAAAAAACCACAAAACCGTGGGTTTGTTCTGAATACAAAAACTCACGTAAAGTCCATAGTTTCCTGGATCCGAGGAAGGCAGGGTCTTCGCAACAGCAGCTTTGTAGGATTGCAGGAGTGTTTTTATTTTACCTAGTTTGCTGTCACTCTGTATTACGGATAACTTGTATGGATTCGCATTGCAGACGGTCACCACTGGGAATGGCTGAAAGAGTAATTTTATTTTTTAATTTTCCCAAAAAAAGTAGGGAATCGAGCCATTACCAATTTCAAAAAATCTAGGTTCGAATTTTTGATTTTCTGTAGAGAATGAAATTCAGCTACAGTAGTCCAGTAAATTTTTCGCTTGATATAGTGTACTTGCGGCGCCGAGATGTTGCGACAAGCTTTGCGCGCGAACAGCGAGCTGCGGGCCACCTGCGCGCGCAAGATGCAGGCGGCATAGCTGAGGAGGGGATCAGTTCAAGCGCAAATTTTACCGCAGAACGGCATCGCAAGCACACTGTGTTAAGCTGAGAATCTACTAGACTATTTGATAATGAATCAAACGATTTGAAATGCCAACAAACCTGTTCTTCAAAGAAGATTTCCGTGCTTACATCGATCGGAAACGCTAAAAACTTAGTGAAAATCAAATAAAGTTCATAGATGAACATGCCCAGCATGCAGACGAACACAGCAGACCAGAAAATCCTCCATCGCTACAATAAAAAAGAAATCAGCAGTGGAAAATTATATGAATCCTGGAGTGCTACCGTAGTCTGAGCGTTTGCTATGTGTGGTACGCCGCATACTGTAGACCAAGTAGCAAAATCTGAGAAAATTTGAAGCACTCCCATATTTGATAGCGGTGAATCGGCTAAGCAATGCGAGTGAAGGAAATGGATTGAAAATGACAAGTCCATACGGTTGCGAGGGTGCAATGACTTATTCAGTGAGATTCGTGGGGCAAGGAAAAAAAGAACAAAGAACAACGATGACACAATTTCTTCGTAAGAGAGAGAAAGGTTTAGAACCAGAAATTTGCATCATAAGGCACAGCACAGCATATGTCAAAAATGAGCGGTTTGTGCCAGGTTGTGCCAAAAAATAAATGCCTTTTTAGCAGTGGATTTCCCAGCATTTCTGTTCGGGGGAGGGGGGGGGGGGACGACATTTTTTTCGGATAAAGGTGCGTGGCGTTAACCACGCACTCCGATTGGGATGCTCCCCAAAATTTTTGCGGGTCGGTCCCCCTCGGTACGCCACCGATTTTCAGATATATGAAATTCTTTTTGTTTTCCTAGCTGATTTAGGGACCTTTTCTTTAGAGCAAAACAAGTTCTGCGAAATATCGACGAATCCACTCAAGCAATGAATCATGTGGTATTTGAAGCCAGAACGGAAAAGAATTTATCACTTGGAGGTTTTTGCCGAAGAATATCTTACGAAGCTCCATAGGAGTGTCATACAGTAGATACAAAGTAGTACTTATAAATGCATTTATTTAATTTTCTTCGCCTATGAAAATCGAGAAAAAGAGTGCATAATGGCAAATCCCGCCCTCATTTTCACCCACATAATTATGTGATTACTGCTGTAAGCCTTAGTAAGTATGACCTTAGCACTCTAATGTGCTCTGTTAATCGAGAATTACCAAACTTAGCATAAAAGTCGAAAATATTTTTGCTTTTCATGCCATTTTTGTTTTTAATTTGGGCCTCGGCAATGATCCAGCAAATCCATTTATGGATTCTACTATGTTTCTACAGTGATCAAGATGGAGTAATCTCCTGGAAGGAGATCTGATTTAGACTAGTTGCAAAATTTTAATTTTCAGCTCCAAACTTTACCTGGAGGAGGACTCTTGAGGCTTATGAACTGCAGTGTCAGGAGCACCATCTCCACTCTTGCGCGGCCGCTTCGCCTGGACTCTGCGCTTCTTTCAAGAACATGCTCTCTGCTTTACCGCAAGCGTGGGGCGGAGCCTCGATCGATTGGAAATGATTAGAGAGCATGTTCACGGAAAAGGTGCAGAGTCCAGCGCGGGAATGGAGATGTTAGTGCACCCGACACTACAGCTGATAAGCCGGGTGGAGGACATTAGGTCGCCGAACTGGGAAGAGTCCCGCGCGGATTCCCTGCAGGAACGCATGTCCGCGCATGTACAAGGTGCGTATTTGTCGCGAATGACCGCGGGGACCGCCCTTCTTCGGCGACCTAATGTCCTCCACCCCTGATAAGCCCTGTACCTGGACCTTTGGTGGTCATTTGTAGAGCTTGCTTCGTTCTATCGAGCAAAGCCTAACCTGCTAGGAAAAAAAAGCAGTCTGATTTATAAAGGGGTATAGTTTTGGGACCTAATAGTCGCCTACAGAAAATGTGAATGCCAGATCCTTTGTAGCCTTGTGCCACCTGCCAGTTCAATTCGCTTGAACCAAACATTGACTCAAAGCTTTGTGTGAGCTTTGCAAAAGGATGATCGATTGGTATCTTTGCCATAATTTTCTTGTTTGACCGTGACCGAGAGGGAAAGCAAGGATAGGGGGAGCACTTTCTAGGCTGCGTCTAGGGTTGCCTCCGTGCCAGCACCGTGCTAACGCCGTCTTTTGACGAACTGTGTGATCTCACATATCGTGCACCTACCGTAAACCCGCTAAAGAGGGCGAAGTTTGAGCGAAGTAAAGAATTTCCTCATTTTAACTTAAGAGTTCCATGACTAATACAAAGTATCGCTCCGTTCTAACCCCACCTCAAATGCTTCTTTCATTCTTTCTCTCCCGCAGGAGCTGCAATTTTGTGTTTTTTGGCGTGAGGCGTAAAGTAGCATGTAATTCGGGCGTGTAATTGCGGATAGGACATTGCCTCAGCTGGGTGTGGTGCAGAAGGCGACAATCCCCAATTTTGTGCCTATCAAAAACTCTCCGGTGTTATAGTGACACCCCGGGGGACTACGGGGGTGGGGGGTGGGGGCAGATACATTACTCAATGCCACAAGTAGAAATTCGTGAAAGTCATTGAGACGAATGATACACAGCCTCCATTTTTCGCCGATTGTCGCCTTCCGCGTGCCCCCCCCCCCTCAGCTGCTTGTTTACTGTGCAATAAAAAATCCGGGATAAAAGTGAGTTAGAAGACAATCGAAAATGTTTATGTGCATTTGTGAGGCGATGATTTGTTCCTTAATCAATTCCTGAAGTAATGTCATGTACTTTGGAAAAATTGGAGCGGTTTTTCTTGTGAAATAGCTCAAATCATCACTTTTTTCGAAACACGATTTTATGTGAACGATTCCGCTTGCATCACCTCATATTACTGAATTCCCAGATAAGCGCTGATTTAGACACGTCGTAAATTCCCCACCTTGGAGCAGTTTACGGTGGAACTCGCCAAGGTGCGCACTCGTCGAGTTTTCGTCATTTCAGACGAAGTTCATCCTTCTGTGAGTCTTATTTTTTTTCAATCTATCCTTCTTTTTTTGAATTGTGATCCGAAACTCATCAGTTTTTATGCATTTGTTTTTATCTACCTTCACTTTCTAGGGATGCTACGCATCTGTTTAAACGGAGGAAATTACCGGGACTTTTTGAAGAATGGAGCTAACTATGTAATTCGACTTAGGAAGATTTCGTCCACTACATCGTCTTTAGTATCATGCAGTTCATCTAGCGACAAGGTGAGTTTAGTGCTCTGCGTACCATTTCACAAAATCATTTTTCTAATTTCAGAATAGCAATTTATTATCGACTAAGGAAGTTGCTCGACTGCTTCGAAAAGATGCTGCTTTCGAGCAGAAATTTTTGGAGCGAGTCAGAGAAACGATCAGCTGGTTTGCCACTCCCAAAGGTTTCAAGAAATTTTTTGAGCCGGAGGACACGAAAAGTGATAAAAAGGAGGAGAAGTCTTCAGATTCTTCAGAGGAGAAGCCAAAATCATCAGGTATGCGTTTCTTTTTTGAGTTGGGATGGGTTCCGTCACTTGAATTCTTTCTTGATTTTTAGACTCGAAGAAGAGTAGCAAAGGTAGCAGCAAGGGCCCCTCTAGTAATCCCCTTGACCAGTTGTAAGTGGAGTTAAGACTAATTCCGTTGAGTTTCAAATTTGTGATGCTGTTTTTCCAGTCCCGGTAGTTGGCAACAAATAGCCGTCAGCATCGGTCTTATATTTGCTCTGTACCTGTTTATGGATTATCAGTCGTATAGAGAAATATCATGGAAGGAGTTCTTCCACGAATTTTTAGAACCTGGCATAGTAAGTTTTTTGTTTTGTAACAATTTGCTTATGTTCTTCATCGACTCCCTATCTTTTATAGTAACTCGCCTTCAGGTTGATCGATTAGAAGTTGTTGATAAGAGATGGGTTCGAATTGTTTCATCCGCTAAAAGTACCGGGGTAAGTCTACTAGTGGTTTTGACTTGAGTTCCCTAATCTTCTCAATTTACAGCAAACCTGCTATTTCAATATTGGAAGTGTAGACAGTTTTGAACGTAGCTTAGCTGCCGCACAAGCACACCTGGGTTACGATGCGGACAAGCAGATACCGGTGCTGTACAAATCTGAGTTTGATTTGTGAGTTCCTTTTTGGCCTTGAGTTACTCGATCTTGCGTATTTATCGTCTTTTGAAAGCCACTGACCACTTTTGCTTTATTTCGATAAATGCGAAGGAAACATTTTTTGAAGCATGCCTTATTTTGATAGCATTCTTTATTGATGTAACTTTATTTTAGCAAAAGGGAAATACCCAACATCATCAGCATTGCCTTTCCTCTGTTATTTGGATATTACATCTACCGAATGTTGAAAGGTGGCGGAGCGGGAGGTGTGTTTTCCAAATTTCCTCCGATTCATACCGTCTCATCTTCTTTGTCATACTCTTTCGTATTGATTACATTTGGATTTTTAAAATTTTGAGTTATTTGCTTTTAGGTGCTACACGAGCAGGTGGAGGAGGGGGTTTGGGTGGTATGTTTGGCGGTTTTGGACAAAGTACAGCAAGGATAATCAACAAAGAGGATATAAAGGTTTGCATGAAGATTCTTTGAATAATACAACAAGTCACCTTTTTTCTAAGGTTGCCTTCAAAGATGTTGCTGGTTGTGAAGAGGCCAAAATAGAAATTATGGAGTTTGTAAATTTTCTGAAGAATCCTCAGCAGTACAAAGATCTTGGTGCAAAAATTCCCAAAGTAAGTTGTTATTTTCATGCTTCTTCCCCTTTAAATTTTATTTTCTCAGGGTGCAATATTGACTGGTCCGCCTGGTACCGGTAAGACTCTGCTTGCGAAGGCGACTGCCGGTGAAGCTAATGTGCCATTCATCACTGTGTCCGGCTCTGAGTTTCTTGAAGTTAGTCTCATTTGTGTTTTATCTTCAAAATGCCATGCCAAAGGCGCTTTGTAGATGTTCGTTGGTGTTGGTCCAGCTCGAGTTCGTGATATGTTTGCAATGGCAAGGAAGAACAGCCCATGCATCCTTTTTATCGACGAAATTGATGCTGTTGGTCGTAAGAGGGGTGGCAGAGGTGGAATGGGAGGACATTCTGAACAAGAAAACACGCTGAACCAACTGCTCGTGGAAATGGATGGTCAGCACTTCCATTCTCCAATTACTTCTGAAACTGCAGTCCTGTGATCTAGGTTTTTCTACCGAAGAGTCGTCTGTGATAGTGATAGCCGCTACGAATCGAGTAGATATCTTGGATCCCGCTCTGTTACGACCTGGACGTTTCGACAGGCAGATTTACGTACCAGTTCCGGATATCAAGGTGCGTCCTAGCTTTTGTCCTCTTCCGATTTTGCGTGAAACTTACATGGTCCATTCTTTTAATGTTGGTTTTCTCGCTGTATTGTATATGTAGTTTCTAAATATTTTGCATTGATTCAATGGCATCACTTTTGCTTAGATGTTGCGGAAAACATACAAAGGGTCAGATTTGAGACGAAAACTGCTCCCGAATTTCTTTCTTCTTTTAAAACTGTCTATTTTGCTAGTGCAATAGCGATCAAAATCTTCACTAAGTTTTTAGGGTCGTGCTTCAATATTCCGAGTTCATTTGGCTCCTCTAAAAACATCTTTGGATAAGTTCAAACTGTCACGGAAGCTTGCTGCGCACACTCCTGGATTTTCGGGTAATTTGCTATCACTTTTGATTTAAGCTTTCGTACTCAATCTGAATCTTTTCTTGGAGGTGCTGACATTTCTAATGTTTGCAACGAAGCGGCATTAATAGCCGCCAGAGATGCATCTGAGGAAATCACGCAAAAGAACTTTGAACAAGCTATCGAGAGGGTGGTGGCTGGAATGGAGAAGAAAAGCCAGGTGCGTCTTCTTCTTTATTTGAGACGTAAAATAAATCATAGTAATTTGTAGGTGTTGCAACCAGAAGAGAAGAAAACTGTTGCGTATCATGAGGCCGGCCATGCTGTTGCGGGATGGTTCCTTGAATATGCCGATCCGTTGCTCAAAGTGAGATTCAGGGTTCTTATACTTCTCGACTCGGAAAAAATCCGTATTTTCAGGTTTCTATCATACCTCGAGGCAAGGGTCTTGGATATGCTCAATACCTCCCTAAAGAACAATATTTGTACTCAAAGGAACAACTCTCTGACAGGTTTGTTGCATTGCTTGCTTTCTGTTTTCCTTCCTTTCTGCTCACTTTTACTTATTTTGAATCTTGCCTTCCGCAAAAGAGGAACGAACTTCATACTAAAGTCCGAAGTACGAATTTTTTTCCACGTTTTCATCTTTAAGTTTTGACACGTACAGTTTGAAAAACTATTGTAGACCACAGCACTTATGTCAGATCAAAATTATTTTTTCTTCAAAATTAAGTTTTTTTTTATATTGGCTCTCTAGATTTCGAATAGTACACCAATAGATTTCGAATAGTACACCAACTGTCGACACTGTTTTTTGTTCAGCCACTTATAATTTCAGAATGTGCATGACATTAGGTGGTCGGGTATCCGAAGAAATCTTCTTTGGTCGTATCACCACAGGAGCACAGGATGATCTTCAAAAAGTTACTCAGATGGCTTATGCCCAGGTCCGTTATTTATTCCATTAGTCTACTTGATTATCTCGTTCACTTTATCATTAGTAATTTTTTGTTGCCAAGTCACATGGCGATAGCAGGGTTTATAATCCGGAAAACTTGGTTTTTTTTTTAAATTTTTCCTCTTTTATTTTTGGATATTCAACGAATACAGGTGGGAGTGAATGCTATTGAGTATCAACTGTATCAATATGATTGTCTGATATGGCTTCAAACATTTTCCTAGGGTCGATAGGATGGTGGAGGTGGGTGACTCCCAGGCGCGCCATATTTCTGTAATTAGTTGTAACTTTTTTTCTCGCAAATCATGGATGTACCTGCCCATATCCTGAAGGGGCGTAGTCTGGAAATTGATAATGGTAATGATGTGTGTATGATTTCGGCTTTCCCCAAAAAGCTGAGTCCGATATTATGAGCACTGGATATTCTTGCAAGGTGTCTTGAGGCTTCTTGAAAGTTTTTTTCTCGGTGAGGTAAATCTTTTTGTTCGGTTACCTGTGAGGTCGCCTGGGTTGTCGTGGTAGTAGTAGGAGTTGTCGTAGTAGTAGTAGGTGTTGTAGTAGTCGTCAGTGCTGCGATTTGCGAAAACGGCCATGCGGGTCCTAGCTGAAGTATATTATTGTTCTAGGGTAACATGATCATTATATGCAAACTACTTCTTTTATTTGTTTTTTTTACCGATCTTTTCTTTCTTCCTTTAACATTTTGGACATTTTTTTTCAATATAACATTATGTGCCTCCACTGAGGTCCAGCACAGGAGCTTCTGCACCGCATGCGCTCGCTTCCTCTCGCTCACATCGTACTAAACGCTGATCGAGGAGAAGCGCCGCTGTTGCAGATGTTACGATTCTGTAGGAACTCAGCGAGAACACGTAACGAACACATACTATAGCACCAGGAGGAGAAGGCAATGTTGCTGATGCTGGATGTTGCATCATATTAGCCATTGCATTCATCATCATCAGTGTTTCAAGTGGATCTTGTTGCTGAAAAGGGAGATTATTAATTGTCTTTTGAAACTTTAGAAAAGATCATTTTGTCATTTTGTTTTTAATTATGCCATTTTGCTATGCTGTGAATTTAAGTAACTTGAAACCGTTTTTTCTTACGAAGTTCTGGTAACAGTGTTTGCCGATTATACGCGGTCTTCGACGCCAAAAAATGTAAAACACCTTACTCGTGCATTTGAAAAGAGTCTCGGTTGCGTCTGGCTAGCCATAGCCTCCCTCCAGTCCGTCATATGTGCACGGTTCCTCTGTAATAATGCTTAAATCGTGAAAGTGAAGGGGGGATTTTGTAGGTATAAGACGGACCTTTAATGCAAAAACTCTCGGAGTTTGAGCAGTACTCTACTTCAACCCAGGAAGTTTTTCTTAGGAAAACAGCACATTGAAGAGTTTTGCAATGCGCTTTTTATTGTTCAAAAATGAATTTGCAACCTGGTTTGCAGCGGATGTAGGCGGCGAATCGAGTCTAGTCACCACTCGTTCCATGGCAGATGTGATATCTTCAAGCTTCTAAAACAGATTTATTGTGCATGCAACAATCATCTTTAAACGAACACTACCTCTGTTATATCTCCTAATGCATTTTGCAGAGGTGCCATATCGTTTGTATCTGACTTTTGAAACACAACTCTCCTCATATCATTCCAAAAGAGAAGACTTACTATTTTTAGATCCTTTAGCGGGAGTTTTTGCTGGGAATACCTGCATGACTAGGAGCATGTTGGTACATAATCGAAAGATGAAGACAGTTTTCAATCTAGCCGACATTATAGGAGAAATGTGATATCTTCTTCAGAAGACCATTATATGCTTTCCGTCGCGGAAGTATAAACCATGAATCATTCGTTCTTGTCTGAAGACCCTTCGCTATAGTACTTTCGTTCGGAAGAGAGAAACCTCGCGTTACTCATCATCGGCGTTCAGGATGTAGTCACGGTTTCAAATTGAAAGAATTTTATGGTTTCTCCTAAGGGGACGATATGAATGTACAGCCATACTTGAGGGGGTGGTGCAGGAGGAACCAAAGGGCTGCCGCGTATCCGCAGGAGATTATTAGGAGCGAGCGTTGTGGAGAATCTTTTGGCAGGGATCCAAGAAAACTCGGCAGGGACATCCTTTAGGAAGAAATTTTCATAACTTCGCCTGGAGATGACTTTGAAAATTTTCAAAAAAGATTTGTAATGCAAATTGGAAGGCGCATTCATTGGGCCTAAAAGTAAATGAAAATTTGGAATTGTAGTGGTAGCGAAAGTCAACTACCTTATAGAAACTTTTTGTTTTGAATTTTGAAGTTTCAGGCTGTTGAAGTCCGGGGTTTTCATTCAAAATTCTTTCTTTCTTCTTCGAGATAAAGAATTGTTTTACCTTTTGATTCAATGGAAAGCAATCAAAATGTCATAAGAACACTGGAGGTTTGTGTCGAAATGCAATATGCAGTTTGTTTCTTAGCTTCAAACCCAATATAATTTTAAATTTTGACATTAGAGACCTCATAGGATTTGCCTTTGAAACTATGTCGGTAACCCTTTACGTCGTACACAGTAGCAAAAGTTCATCACATGCAACTTAGTTAACATTAATTCCTTATTATCATTTCATACTTTCAACTTCGTATCCAGAAATTTCACTAAAATTCAATTGAAATTTTCACCCAACATTTAGCTTGAAATTTCAGCTTAGAATGGTGAATTTTGAAGGCACAGTTTTTGGTAAAAATTGCGAGACAGAGTTGTTCAACTACTCAGCGTATTATTGAAAAATGCGCATTTCAATACTGATTCGAAATCTGTCCTTCGTATCCTTGAGACTTGATTCCAAGGAGAGTTATAAGGGTTTGTTCTTAATGGATGTCTTGGCCAAGTTTTCCTGGATCCTTGCCAAAATCTTCTCCACAGCGCTCGCCCTCCTAACTATCTCCTACGGCTACGGGCGGCAGGTCTTTGGTTCCTCCTGCACCGCATCCATACTTGAGTTCATCTCAGTCATTTATCTGGTGACCAGTTTGAACTGTAGACTCTGTACGCGAGCCATTTTCAGACAAAATGTGAACTTGCAACTGCGCGCTGAAGCCGACAACGCTTTAGTTGTAACTCGTTAGTGAACGCTTTTCTAGCGGAACAAACTGTGGGACTGTGTACTACTGTATCATATTCAGTCTAGCTGAAAGAGAGAAAACCAAAAAGAAATTCTTTGAAACTAACTAACTTCGGAGAAGTCATAGGGTGATGCGCGCATAATAACCTACAAAGGACTCGAATAGAAAACCTGAGAAGCAACATGGTGTTTTTGCGCTCTCCATAAGACTTGCGTGTAAAGTGACCGTGCGGCAAAACTTAGAAAGTGTGTCCAGCAGCCATCTTTTTACCCGCAAACTGCCGACATTATAAACGTGGCTTTCTTCCGCGCAGATATTGTCGTTTCCCCAACGGCACTACATCACACATAAAATCTACTGGATGTAGTTGTTCAAACCCTTGTTTCACATACAGTTGAGTAGGATTACTTGCTCATGTGTGCAATTGCACAATTTCCAGGATGGGATTGACCGGGGAGGGGGTATTGCTTTTCTCGTGTTTCCTCTTGATGCTGCGTTATTTGGAATGCCTATATATAAAGAAATCATGAATGACTACACTACATGCTCTTATTATCTGAATAACTTGCATCTCATATTACCCTAGTATGCAAGCTTGATTGTGGTTTTCTCGAACTCTAAAAGGCTTTTATAAATCCTGGCTTTTCCCTGTTACAGGTCGTAAAATATGGTATGTCAACGAAAGTGGGACCATTGTCGTTTGACACAGGACAGCCAGGAGATATGGTGTTTGATAAGCCATATTCTGAGGCGACAGCGCAGATAATAGATCAAGAAGTGAGGGACATGATAAACACCGCTTTGACACGAACTCGAGAGCTGTTGCTCTCGAAACGAGAAGACATCGAAAAGGTAATACAGTATCTTTGCTGCCGTAATCCAATTTTTTGACTCTTCAGGTTGCTCAACGATTGTTAGAACGAGAAAATCTAGCACGTGAAGATATGGTTGAGTTACTTGGAAAGCGGCCGTTTGCCGAGAAGCAGACTTATGAGGAGATGGTTTCTGGTACTGGAGGTGAGTTTTATCGCCATTGTCGTCATATCCCATTATCAATTTATTATTACTCAGGCCTGGATGAGGATACCCAGCTACCCAAGGGATTGAAAGATTGGAATAAAGAAAGGAATGAAGAGCCACAACCACAACCAGCCGACAAATAAAGTATCTCATTCACCTTTCACCCCCTAGATTGCAATATAGTGCATCATATTTTATTAGGACGTTTGTGATGGAACCGTTTTTTACTGCCGGCTGTAGCTCTCCTCTAGGCCGATTACTAGTTGTTTTCTATAGTTGTTTGTTAAGACATTTGAATCATCGTATGTACTTTGCAACGCTGTTCAAATAAATGTACAGGTATTTCTACGTTGTGTAGCCCAAGGAGTGTTTTATCGAGTATTGTTGTTTCTCTTTTTTTTCTTTCCACTGGTTTCTCTATTAATCATTTTTTGCGAACTACAGAATGGGTGGGCGTGGTCGAGGCAGGGGAGGTGGACCAGGAACTACCATCCGAGCAGTTGCTCAAGCTCTAGGAATCGCTAGAAATGATATGGCCGTCTATGCTCAACAAAGAACTGTTGAGGATCCCCCTGATTATCCGGTAAGATTTTCTCTGTTTTTTTTTTGGCTATACACCTACATGTCAGCAGTAGCACTGTAGGCAAATTTTAATGAAAAAAATTACCGCACTTATCATGCAGATACTGTCATTTTCAAATTATCAGTTTGTGTCATTTCAAAGCTATCAATTCGCGCAAAAAATGGTTCAAGATATTTTGTTGTCTCTCATCTTTTCGAAAGCTGACCGCAAGCGTTGAAGGCATTGTCCGGCTGAAAATGGTGGCGATTAGTTGGATGTAGCCTTTAAGTCACCTTCTGTGGCTTCAATGAATCTGTTCCGGTATTTATTGCATTCCCGAAAAATATACGCACCTTATTTTAAAGTTCTCATATAGTAGCTTCCAATCGTCTTAGTTATGTAAGCGAGTACTAGGTTCGCCTAGCGCAGCGTGCTGCCTCTGAGTCGTTGCGATGTCGCCCGTTTGTTTGCTTCTAGCGCATTTGAGGCAGTTTTATGTTATTCTTCAACAGTGCTTTTTGCTCATGGGTATTCCTATACCTTTTAGACCGTCCAGCGTGCGCTCATCCCTCTGGAACTTTCTAACGAGTTACAGTACATATCAGAGCTGAAGCTAGAATTGATTAATAGGTATGGTATAGGAGTTCTTAGTAATAATTCATGAATTACGAGCGTATAGGTTCCAAGAGTCCCCATTCTACTTGGATAATGTTCAAGTAAAGGATATAAGGCGGTATACCGACAAGTACAATGAGGTGCAACGTGAACGTCTTGAACCAGGTTGGTTGCGCTGCTTTTTTGTTAGTGATAAGCTAAAAGGTCTGGTAGTATAGACTTCTCACGACTACCAGAGGAGCTTTGCTGGCGGCATGAGAAAGTTCAGACCCCTAAGGCAAAGAAGCGAAGGATAGAAGATGCCACAGAAGTCATCCAGCAGAAGTTGATGAGATTAGAACAAGCCGAACAACAAGATGGTGTGAATGAGGAGGAAATTGAGGTTCTGAACTTCTTTTACGTTAGTGTAACCTCCACTTGAATAATCGATCTTTTTAGGATGAAGAAGACTCAGAAAAGTCCGAAGCTGAAGCTCCCGGCAGCAACGTTCCCTCCGATGATGATTTCGGCGAAGAAGACAACGATTACTGTGCCAACTACTTCGATAATGGTGAAGGCTACGGAGATGCTGGATCTGATGACAACATGGATGGCGAAGAGTATTGAGAGTGTTGTTTTATTGTTTTTGTTATGTGCTTAGTTTGTCTGTGATCTGTTAGATTGTTATTGTTCCAAATATATCATTGATCTCTCAGTTGAACTTTATCAGCTGCAAAAAAAAAAGTTTTGCAATTCAGAAAATGCCGTATTTGGGTTCTTCCAATCATTACCGCCATCGTGTTTTTGTGTAAGTCTAGGGCTAGGCTTGATGAAGTTCGGTGAGTCGGTCTGCTCAGGCAAGAGGCTAACAAATCCCTTTGGTTTTCCTTTGCTATCAAGTGTTTTTTTTTGTTATCAGATGCTAGCTTTCAATCAACTAAACAGCTTTTGAAAAATGTGAGGGTGATGATCTCGTCTGTTCAAAAGGTTTAGAGCTTTGAGGCGCTTTGCGTGAGCAATGTCCGCAGGATAAGATCCTTAGGTAGGGATCGGCCATATTATTCCTGCTATTCCTACGATTCCTGCGATTCCTGTGAGTCCCGCACAGTTTATACGCCGCTTAAATGAGCGCGTGTTGCGTAAAACAACACGTAACACGCAACACGCGCTCATTTAAGCGGCGTATAAACTGTGCGGGACTCACAGGAATCGCAGGAATCGTAGGAATAGCAGGAATAGTATGGCCGATCCCGTAGGTGCCAGACTTCCGGTGCAACAGGTCCTGTCACCCTATTTGCCATGGATCGATTCAGTGATTTGACCGTCAGCGAATGAGCGAACCAGACGAACCGGTTAAACCGGATAAGTCTGGCACCTACTCAGCTAACAGAGGCCCCTGTTTATGTGTAAATGAAGTGGTGGTGAAGAAAGAATTCGGTTAAAAACTTTGAAGGCAGCGTCCAGAATCTGGACATATGGGGATCTCAGGGGAAAGTAATCTTGAGGTCCTAACTGAGACACTGCTCAAGCGGCATGTCTTAGTCAAGGCCACAAAAATTCTTCCATCGTGAGATTCCCATACGTCCAGATTTCCATAGACGCTGCCTTCAAGCAAATTCGCCTGTCTGGGGTTGTCCGTTACGCTGAATGTGAAAATCCAAGTTAAAGAGCGCGGCAGCGGCGAGAACAGCCAAAGCTCGAAGACTGAATTTACGAGTGGAACACTTTCCGTAGAGGCTGAGACAAGTGTCAGGCTTATCCGGCTAGCCCCTTTGCCGCTTTAGTATTGGTCAGATCAGTGCCTGACCAATCATGAACCGGCTAGACGGCCAACCGGATAAGTCTGATGCCTACTTGGGATGCATAGTCGCTGTAGCATGATCCTAACTGTGCGGCGGCATGCGCACTTTGTCGCTGAGGAAAACGCAGACTATCTCCCATCAGGGCGTTAGCGGCAGGGAAAAGAACTCTTTTTAGGCCGTCTGAAACAGTTCCCTTTGCGATGCTGTTGCGTATCGGTTGTGGGACAGTAGTCCAAGAAGACGTTGCTCTCGGATTCCCCTCCCCCCTCGTCGCACGTGCGACAGCGTGGCTGGGGAGGCCCGCTTCTAAGGCACCAAAATTCTGAAGCCCCCATTTTGCCAGACACTGCTTTTGTGCTCGCAATCCACTTGAAAAGTAGGGTCTGTGGGCTTTTACGCTTGCGACGCCAAAACATTTAAATCTCGACGATAGGCACCCGCCATACTTGATCCGCTTAATCCACTTGATCCGCATAATTTCGATTCAGTGAATTGACCAATAGTGAAGTGGATGAAGTGGATCAAGCGGACAACCGCTTCGCTATTGCTCAGTTCATTAATCGACCAACGACGAAGCGGATCAAGTGGATTAACGGATCGAGTATGGCGGGTGCCATACGCTGCATCTACTGTATCAACATTGATTGTCCGCAACTGCACTAGAGCGCGGCTAATTCAAATGTCACATGTTGTTAACCGCGGGATTGCGAAGACGCACTGTCCTCCCGAGTGTTTCTTTGTGCTTATCAGGACGTGGCTCTCTATTTTGTGAAGTTATCTATGATCGTTTTACTTCTCTTTACTATCCGCTCTGTTTCGTCTTCGTTTGCATTTTGTTCGGTAAATCTAGTATTTATCCAGAGCGGTCGTCATGGGAATTAAAGACCTGTCCAAAGTAATAGCTGATAATGCTCCGAATGCTATTAAGCTGAATGAGATGAAGAGTTATTTTGGAAGAAAGGTGGTCTAGATTTTTTCGTTTTTTCTGCGATTTTTTGACCATGTGCTTTGCTCAGGTGGTAGCTGTTTTTAGGTAGCTATTGATGCGTCCATGTGTCTTTACCAGTTTCTCATTGCTGTGCGGCAAGACGGCTCACAATTACAATCAGAAAGTGGTGAAACAACAAGGTATGCTCAGGCAGGAAATGCTCATTATCTTCTCGATAAAATTGCAAAACTTTCTGCAGTCATCTTATGGGTATGTTTTACCGGACCATTCGTATGATAGACAATGGAGTAAAGCCTTGTTATGTATTCGATGGGAAACCACCCGACATGAAGAGCGGAGAGCTGGAGAAAAGAAGCGAAAAACGGTATGGTTTTGTATGAACTTTTGTCTCTTATTTAGTTTAAATACTTTCTATCTGGGCGAAAACTTTATAGTTTCGTCTAAGATTTTGACTTCCTTATTTACTTGTTCTCATTCAATATATCTTCTTCTGAGAGTACTTAAAGCGATTTGTTGCTGTTCATTATATTCATCCATAAGTTTATATTCTCTTCTGATTACGAATCTGGTTGGTAGCTGTTCATAATTCCTTTTGGCTCTACAGGGAGGTTGATTACGTTGAGACCATCTTCAGTATTTATGAACAGCAACATATGAAATCGAGATTAATTTATTTTCTGCATTGTTCTCATGGTTTTGTTGATTTAGAGCTGAAGCAGAGAAAGCTCTGACCGAAGCTAAGGAGCGCGGGGATGTTGAAGCAGTCGATAAATTTGAGCGACGTTTGGTAAAGGTACATTGATTAATTTCTTTTTTATTTATATGACACGAATATAGTTTCGATCACTTATGTGTAGGATATCTGCTGTATCTCTTCAGTTTACTTCACACCCTGTTGTTATAGCTCTTGTTCTCCATCACTTGAGTTTAGGTCACAAAGGAACAGAACGAAGACGTCAAGAAGCTTCTTCGCTTAATGGGTGTGCCAATTGTCGAGGCAAGGGGTGAAGCTGAAGCTCAATGTGCTGCTCTTGTTAAGGCTAAAAAGGTAGCTATCTGTTCAAGTGTTCGCCTAGGAATGATTAAGATTTGACTGAATCATTTATTAGGTCTACGGTACAGCAACAGAAGACATGGATGCTTTGACATTCGGATCTGATGTTCTTCTTAGGCATATGACATTCGCGGAAGCAAAGAAAATGCCTATCAAGGTATGCTGTCGTTACTAGTTCGAGAGAATGGTACTAGCTCTATTTTGCGTTTATGTAATCATTGGTTTCTTATTCAAATGCTGATTTATTAGTTCGTCATAACACAAGGCTTTATTCCAGGAATTCTCCCTCCCTCGTATCTTGTCAGATTTCGACATGACCTATGAACAATTCATCGATCTCTGTATTTTGCTTGGATGTGATTACTGCGAATCGATACGAGGAGTTGGTCCGAAGAAAGCTTTTGAGCTTATCAAAGCACATGGCGACATCGAGTCGGTTTTGGAGAATATTGATACAAAAGTCAGTTCATCAACAATGTTAATTCAAGCGTTATCGTTATAATCACTGTATCTCATTTGATTGCTTCTCTTCGTTACAAAGTATCTTCCCTTGTAGAAGTACCAAATACCAGAAAACTGGCCGTACAAGCGGGCAAGAGAGCTATTCCTCCATCCCGAAGTGGCTGAATGTGAAAGTCTAGAAGTGGGTTGTGTTTACCTGGAGAATGTTCAATCACTTGTTGTCAACTTCATACCATTTCTCGTATTTCAGTTGGTTTGGAAAGAGCCTGACGTTGACGGAATTTTGAAGTTTATGTGCGAAGAGAAGAATTTCAAGTGAGTGGACTTTATCTACGAATGATATTCTTTTCATAATTAAATTTTTCAGTGAAGAACGAGTTAAATCAGCTATTGCAAAAATGCAGAAAGGTCGCAGTGCAGCTGCACAGGTTCGCGGTCATTATATTCATCAGGTTCAATGAAAAGGAAGTTTTTTAAGGGCCGAATCGATGCTTTCTTTTCTGTCAACAAAACCGTTCGCTCGGAACCCACTTCGGCGAAGAGGAAAGTTGAAGAGCAGAAGAAGACAACCAAAAAGAGAGGGCCTCCACTCAAAAAGCCAAAGTGATTTCAGAATGTTTCTATGTAAATTTCTGTACTTTTGCTTACTTTTTATCCATTTTACGTTGTAACTTGTCATGACGGTTTACTTCTTGCGCTAGATTGCATACTGACTGATCTCTGGGTAATAATGAGTCCGGTAAGGTCAAAATAAACTTCTTTATTGAGCGCTTGTACATTAACATGTTTGTGAATGAAGGCTTTATCGTGGCAGTTTTGCTAGTTCGATTAGTTGAGATCTCTAAAAAGAACAGTTTTTCGGAACGTAGAAGGGATGAGTAGTAGTTACCTACCAACTGAATGATTTCTCGATCTTTGGCTTGCAGTTTATCAACAAGGACGTTAACAGCACCAAGCGATCCGAATTCGCTACATTCTGAAATTTTTTAGATTTGGAACATTCTTGCCTAGTCTCTATCGTTTTTAAGGCGGGGGAGGTGCCAGTTTCATTTTCTGCTTTCAACTTTGTATGTAGAAGGTGGAAAGTGTTGATCAAGGTTACTTCTACGGTTGTCAATATTTCTATATTCTAACAAAATAATCGCAAAATTACTCCATTCGGTTAGGTTTTTTGAGTTGGAGAGATTATATTTCTTGGGATAACACTAGCTTACCTATTTGTTCGATTAACAATTTGTTGGTGTCTACAAGCCGTTGCCGCTCCTTTTCGCAGTTTTTCAACTTCTCCGTCACTTCATTTAGTAAGTCTTCCATCTAAATATAGTTCTTTGTTTCAACAGTACACAATCAAGTCACCGACGCAGACTATCTGCATTTGCGACTATTGCGTCGCGCGGTCAAGTCTGAGGCTGCTTCCAGAGTTGGCCATGCCAGCGCCGTGCCAGAGCATTGATCAATGCAGAGCATTTCGACGCGGCGGCACAGCGCCTGCACACGTGCACTTGACGCTGACTGAATACGCGCGTGTGTAGCCGCGCCGCGTCGCTGACTGCACCGCGGTATCAATGGGTCACTTAGCTAAATGCTTTAACTTTACCTGCGTGAGCTTCCTTCTTGTTTCATCTAGCTGCTTCACAGCTCTGTCGTCTACAAGTACCGTAACTTCACCGGAACTTGGCATCACTGCCTCAATCGCTGCATCCTTCTTACTCCTCTTGATCTTTTTGAAAACTTCATATTGCGCAACCGGGGAAGTATAAGCAGTTTGCGTAGTTTTCGACGATGTGATCAGTTCCTCCTTCCAGCTGACACTCTTCGTCTGTGCGCTGTGGGACGCAGTTACGGTATAAGTAGTTTTAGATGAAGTTCTTTCGCTTTGTTTCTGCTTCACTTTTACTTCTTCGATGGTTTGCAGAAGCGCAGAGTTCTCCTCTTGGAGTTGCCTTAGTTGAGAGGAGAGCGACAAAATATCCTGAACGGAAAATTCAGGTGTTTTGCAGTCAGTGTCGTTTTATTACCTTTTCATTCTGTTCCAATTTGGCAGCTTCTTCGGCTAATTTCTTTTGTAAAACATATACTTCCGCATTCTCTTGCGTTGCTTTGTCCTAAAATAACGTAAATCAACTTTTTCCCAAAGTTTAGACGGTAACAATCTTGACAGTTGGGTAAGTAAAGACCTCTGCGGTGACAACAACATTTGCGCGAAAACAAAAGTCATGCTCATAGATGTCGCCAACTTGCACGGTACTTGCGCGTAAATTTGGCCATAGAGCGCACATTTCACTGGTTACGCGCAAATGTTGTTGCCGGCGAAAGGGCACTAGATCTCCGTTAATTTCCAAATTTACAGAAACTGAGTCTGGTGCTCACTCTTTCCTCGATGAGCTTTTGCTGTAGAATGTGAACCTCCGCATTCTCCTTCACTGCTTTATCCTGGACTAATATAAATTTTTTGAGAGAAAAAATGCAAAATTCTTCAAATTCTACTCACCCTCTCGAATTGAAGCTCAACAAATTTTTTCCGTATGCGTTCCAACTCCTTTTGCCGCTGCTCCTCGTCGCGTCTGAGATCTTCCAGAAATTTGTCCCGCTTGGCTAGCTTCTCCCTGACTCCCTTTTCTCGCTCCAATGAGTCCGCCAACTTCTTTCGCACGGTACTGAGAGTCTCTTCTAGCTTTTTGCGTTCATTCCAGCGAGCAACCTCATCCTTGAAAAAAATTTTTGCGGAACATTTTATAGTCTGTCTCAATCATAGTGCCGTCGGATTGGCACATCCGCATCGCTAGGCCTTCGCGCGACGTTCGCTGGCATCTGAATCAAGCACCCAAATAGTCAACGACCGGAGGTGAGCACGTCAGGCCCTCGCGCTGCGGACGCGTAGCCGCACTCAACAGAGACTCTGCATTTGAGATAAACTGTATCTTATGGCTTTGAAACAACCTCTCCACTCTTCTTCTGTGAATTGTCTCTTTTGATAGAATCCATCGAATTTCTTTGGTCTTCAATGATTTTGCGAAGGCGTCGATTTTCTTTTTTGGCTTTTTCAAGATCCATACTGAATCAATTGTATTTGAGGCTAGCGAAACCGGCTTTTTTATGAAGCAAAACCTACCGTAACCTCAACAGTGCCTGTTCATCAGCTTCTTTGAGTTTGGGTACTCTTGATTCTAATTCTGCCATTGCATCTTCTCGTATTTTCTCACAAGCAAGCACCAGTTGCTGAAGGAATAGTATTTGAAATTTTTCGAAGATCCGATGTTTCATTTTGCCCTACAATAACAGCTCCTGCTCACTTTCACCAAATGGCCGACGCGAATAGTGCGAAATGGCGCACATTTAGGCGACGCAGTTTTCAGACGCCTTTGAGTCGCGAAAAGATCACAAGGAGAGAAGATGCGCAGACGTTGGGCATCGTGCCGCAGTGATAGCAAACCATGCTTTCTAACCATTCTTACCTTATTGTTTGCTGTTACTCTGCGCAGTTTTCCCTGTAGTTGTTTGATTTCTGACTTCAGTCTTCTCCTTTCTGCTTCCATTTTGTTTTCCTGAAAATTTTCAGTTCGAAACACAGCTCGGAACTATGAAAAATTCGGGTATTACATACAAAAATCAAGCTTTTTTCTTGCCGAGTTATCTCTGAAAATCACGATACCATTTATGAAACAATTGCTTCTCTTACCGCATTTGACGAAACGCTATCTGCTGGTGAAGTTTTCGACGAAGGTTTCGACTTCAATTCCGTTTGTTCCTTTGCTTCATTTTCTTCTTCCAAGATCACATCCGTTTGACATTCCACCTAAAGAGAATTATTCATTAATAAGGGTGGTGCTAGATTCTACTGATAGACGCAAATTTTTTGTCCGACCGTACTCTCTTTGGGAGTAAAAAAAATAGAGTGAATGTAGTGGTCACGCTTGGGTCAAGCAGAATTTGCAGGTAGAGTGAGCACGTTGTCAAAATATTGTCACATTTCAGAAGCACAACTTGAAGATCCTAAGCATTTTGTCTATTCTTTTGTAAATTACTTTTATATTTTACTATCTACTTTTCTCTTGCAAGTGGTGGAAAAATTAATGATTAAATTAGTATTGTTTTATTTTTTTTGATGTAACTGCAATACTATAACTAGTGAAATCAACAATATGAGAAACACCAAAGTCAACAAATAAAAAGTAAAATCATTAAAGTTGCGTAGTTATAAGTACGTACCGTATTAACAACAGGAACAATGCTTCTTCGTCGTTTCCTATATAGGGCTCGATTGGCTTTTTCGAGTTCTTCAATTTCCTCCTGAAAGCGTTGTACATTAGCATGAAAAATTTGCTTGGCAACTTAAGCTGCAAACATTGCGGACCTTTAATCTAGCCACATCTCCAAGGGCCTGTCGCAGCCGCTCCTCGGTCTGTTCGTCTACCACACGCACTTCTTCTCGTACAATCTCCTTCTCAGCTGGTGGCTGTGGTCTCGAAGAGAGTTTCTCTTCTGCGAGTTTACGATACATTTCAAGCGCTTGGTCTTTTTGTTGGAGTTGTTGCTGAATTTGGATCAATCACTTGGATTTTGATGTTTATCAGGGTCCATGATTGCTCTCCTATCCTCCTTAGGCTGCGTTCAGAGTTGCTCGTGCTAGCGCAGTGCCGAACGTTGCCCAATCAATACGGGGCATGGGTTCCGGCACTGCGCTAGCCCGGCGCTGGCACAACGCCGGCACGCGGGCACTCTGGACGCGGCCTTAAACTGTAGCTCACCTTATATCCATGAATACATAGCTCAGCTGCTTCTTTCATCTTGGCTAGACGTTTTTCAAACTCTTTTGAGTTATCTTGAAGGATAGTCTTCACCGCCCCTCCATCGGAATCAGTTGATGTAGCTAAAATATATTTTTTCACAATAAAAAAAGAAATCACAAATTCTTTTACCTTCTGATTCACCGCTCGACAGAGGCTCTTCAGGAAGAGGTGAAGATGGAGGTCTTTCCAAGGAGATTGACTTGCTTTCTTCCATTATAGATTTGTCTTGGGTATCTATTTCGGTGTCTTTGGTAAATTTGCTCCAAAGATTTGCACTTGCAATGGTTGTCAAGAGTTCTTCATTTTCTTTTTCGATCGAGATAAGCTCTTTCTTGAGGTCTGCCAATTGGTCGTCTTTGAGTTTAAGCTGAAATATGATATTTTTTTATCTCTTTTATTGTTCTGGCGTGACTTATGTTGCCTTCTCATTGACTTGGCCCAATGAGAAATAATCTTCTTCATAAAAACTCAATGATCGATTTTGTCTTTTTACAAATTTTTAAGCGGGATTGCCTTTCTTTAATCCCACAAAGATAAAGTAGTGGGCCATACTTGCCCTTCTTATTCATATCAAGCAAAGAAAAATCTTTATTCTTTCAAAAGAAGAAAGAGCAAATAATGTATTAGTCTTTTTACATGATTCTCAAGCCAAATTGAATTTGTTCATTTGCATGAAATAATTATTAATTTTGTGTTTTTGCATATTTTCTGACGAAGATTTATACCTTTCGTAAAAAAAATTTGTAGCGGATTGGTCTTGTCCTCTTGCATCTTTTCAGGCAAAATTACCACTATTTATTTTTGAAAAAGCATTTGAATGATGAATTGAAACTCAAAAGGGAGATTAGAGTGGGTAACACTGTCATTTCAATGAATATTGCTTGACGTCTTATCTAAAAAAGCAAAGAAAATATTGAGGCTGAGTCCTCCAAATAAATATTTCACACTAGCTGGCTTACCCGGCTCCGCCGTATCCGGACCAAACTTGGCACACATACACTTCGGGCCCCGGCGGGTGTCACAGTCCACTTTTCGTTATCGATCGATGTCGATTTTACCGATTTTTATCGATTTTTTTGCAGAGTTCACCTACAGGGCTAGGAGTTGGCACAGGGGGGGAAGTGAGCATGGGGATTCCGAATACAACATTAGTTTTCAGGATCGTCCATTACTTTTATCGATTTTATCGATTTTTTTTGTAAAGTTTGACCTGCGGGGCTGGGAGTTTGCACAGGGGGGTAATCGAGCATGCTGATTACGAACACAATATTAGTTTTCAGGATCGTCCATTACTTTTATCGATTTTATCGATTTTTTTTGTAAAGTTTGACCTGCGGGGCTGGGAGTTTGCACAGGGGGTAATCGAGCATGCAGATTACGAACACAATATTAGTTTTCAGGATCGTCCATTACTTTTCGATTTTATCGATTTTTTGAAAATTTGAGCTAGGGGGCTGGAATTTGGCACAGGAGTGTAATCGAGCATGCTGATCACCCCCTTGGGGGTGATCAGCATGCTCGACTACCCCCCTGTGCCAACTCCCAGCCCCCTAGCTCAAACTTTGCAAAAAAATCGATAAAATCGATAAAAGTAATCGATAATCCTGAAAACCAATATTGTATTCGGAATCCCCATGCTCGATTACCCCCCTGTGCCAACTCCCAGCCCCGTAGCTCAAACTTTGCAAAAAAATCGATAAAATCGATAAAAGTAATCGATAATCCTGAAAACCAATATTGTATTCGGAATCCCCATGCTCGATTACCCCCCTGTGCCAACTCCCAGCCCCGTAGGTGAACTCAGCAAAAAAATCGATAAAAATCGATAAAATCGATATCGATCGATGACGAAAAGTAGCCTATGACACCCGCCGGGGCCCGTAGTGTATGTGTGCCAAGTTTGGTCCGGATCGGTTCAGAAATGGAATTTTCTATTCGGAACATACGTACACACAGACAGACATACAGACATACAGACAGACAGACAGACAATCAGACATTCAGCTTTATATATAAGATTACTTACCGTAACGTCCAAACGCTCGGCTTTCACTGTCTGCATTTCCAAACTGCTGAAGACTGCTTGTAGCTTTCTTTCAAGCTTTAGAATGTTCCTGTCTTCCTCTTCAATCGTATCCTTAGCTTTACGGCTTGCCTTTTGCATAGCAACTTTTTGTTGAAGTTCATCGCGAAGCGTTTGTGCCTAAAGCCAAACTGTTTTCTTGAATTTTTGAAGCGTTTCTGGTATGTTGTCATACAAGATGAAAATGTGGATTACCTCAAAACCACCAAATTGTTTTTTTGCACAGAACCACATTGGCAACTTTTTTGGACAGATTTTTGGAAGTGCAAGCTTACGGTTTTGTGTCCGTACCAGGAAGAAAAGATGCCATTTAGAATCGACTTTTGAATAGTTGATCGCTTTGTTAAAATAGGGTGTAACTGTGTAGTCGTCAAGGATTGTCAGAATGTCAGAACAAATGGTCTCAAACTTTTAAGGTCGAGTGATGTACTTCAAGCTTCAAACTGAGCAGAAATCCATTTTTCCCCATTTTTCCTTTGTTTTTCTTTTTCCTTGAGTGGTCTAGCAAAGTGTTCATTCTCTTTGATAGCGTCTTTTTTTGTTCTCTGTACCTCTGTACCGATCGGTGTATTGGGTTGTTTCAAAAGTTCTACCCGTTTTCGATGACTTTTTTTGAATTGCCGATTTTGGAGGAAGAAACCATTTTTTATAAACACTGCTTATATCATTCAAAAGCTCTTTTCTTCTAGATTCTCAGGCATATTTTCGTTTTCATAGATCTTTGCTCGCTGTGTGGTTACGTACTCTGAAAAGACAGCGAAACAAATGTGAAAATTTTCGTCTTGCTCTATCGCCGTGAAATCTACAGCCAAAAGGAAAAATCTCTTTTAAAACATAAGTAATGTTTGCTAGAGACTTGTGCTACGAAACGCTCATCGAAATATGATTTCGGAAAAATTTTGAACCTACAAATTTTTAGCTCAAAGATTACCTGTCTTTATGGTCCCTTCAAGTAAAAATCATAAACATATCGCAATCGCGGAACTTTTACTCTATATAGTAAAATTAGAGCTAGAACAACTGCTACTAGAAGAACGAAAAGATTTTCTCGTTTGTCAACGGCGAACAAAATCAAAAATGTCAAAAAATTGCATTTTTTGCCGCCTCAGAAAGATCAAAATGAGTGGGCCCTTTTGGATTTCTCAGCACGAAATTCTTATGAAAGAGTTTGATGAAATCCAAAGTCAGCGGTACTGCTCAGTCGACTATGGGCTATATTGTGAGCGGTGTTCATGCAACTCAGCTATATTCCAAATCAAGTTATGCTTTTGCAAAGTGAAGATTTCTACAAGGAGATGTTCCTCGATTTTCGCCTATAAAATCTTCTCCACTGTTACTGCAAAAATCCCAAAGAGTGCGCAGAATAGCCAAAGATTTGCAGATTGTAATATAGTTTATAGCAATTGCAAAGACTGTTTCTGAGAAGAGTTACGGTGAATCAAATTCAAAGTTCGAAAACGGGTAGGACTTTTGAAACAGCCCAATATTTCCTAACTAAAAGAATAAATAAGTAAATAAATAAATAGTTAGTAAATAAGCAACAAACGTAGTCCAATAATAAATTATCAAATGATTAATAAACTAGGTGAAATACTTGTTGTACCGGGTAACAGCTCACGTTAAAAGCTCGCACGTTTTACCTTCTCTTTGGCATCCTCCGCTATCATCTCATTCTCCTTGACTTCTTGGATTTTAGCCTTGAGCAACTCGATTTGATTGAGTGAAAGACCATTCAGGGAGTTCAGGCGAGCATTCTGGTAGAAACTTTTCTTAATTTGTCAGTGATACGATATATAAAAAGTTCTCACAGATAGAGCTGACTGAAGTGTCCGAATCGCAAAGACTAAGCGCGATCGTTGAGCCAACCATTCGCTCCGCCATAACGCGAGCTTTTCCTCGGCTTCTCTTGCTTTTCTATAAGCTCTTTCATGATCACGTCTACCTTCTTGCTGCTCTCGAATCGTCTCCAGAAGGCGTTGTTCAATGGAACCTGAGAAATTCCGACAAATGACAAGACGCATGGAACCACTGAAGACACAGAAAGTCTCAAAGCCACGTCTAAATAAAGTCAAAAATTTTTGTATGTGTGGTTGGAAGACCTCAAGTGAGACATTGCCCAACGGTCAGCTCACAACTCTATGTCATCGCCCAGTACCGTACCCAAGGATGCTCATTGGTGCGCTCAAAAATTGTGCGATAACTTGGAGGGAGTTCAAAGTTGGATTATTCTGCTACAATCACAAGAGTTGCCGCTTGGCCAATAGGTCTGTGAAGGCAACCAAAATACCTTCTATAGAGAAAATCCAGTTGTCTAATTTTGTTTACATACGCCTTTACAAAGAAGTTACTCACTTAGGATATTTTTCAAATCGCTCTCGTTCTCCATGTCTTCAACAAATCGTTTCAGCTCCTCATTTTCATTCTGAAGGATTTCAGTCTCTTTCGACCAGAAATCATTTTGTTCGCTGATCACTTCAACGATTTTCTGGAGGAAATATCGATTTATAGCCAGCTTTAAGATCAATTTTCAGCAACCTTTAAATAAGCATTCTTTGCTTCGAGTTCTTGTGTTTTAGCGTCAACTGGGGAAGAAATCGAGACCAAGTTCTCTTTCCATGTCTCATCAATGTCGGTACCTAACACTTCTGAGACACATTCCTTTTTGAAGCGAATAGCCAACTTTTCGTAAGTTTCGATCGATACCGATCTTACCAGTTGGTTTTGGCAATGTGCCAAATCAATCAGCGATGTGTCCTAGAAATCATTATTGGAAAACATAATAATTCTTATGTTATGCTACACTCACCAGCTGATACTGTAGCTGTGCGCATTTCTTTCCAGCCTGCGTCTCTATCGCCACCATTCTCTCTCGTGCGCGACGCATCGCCTGTTCGGCGCGGTTGCAACGCCTTCGGAGTATGGTAGTCGTTCGCGTCAAACTGAAATCAGACTAAAATCATGCATCAAGTATGCAGCAAAAAATTATCGATTGATTCCTATAAACTTACCGAACTCGTTCAATCTGCTCTGTAATAAATTTTCTAGTGAGTTCTTCAGCGCGTTTCTCCACTTCTGTTCCACCTTTCTTGATACTGGATGCGAAACGCTGGAAAAAACACATTTGATCTTTATTATGCCATCTTAGGCCCGTATGCACTAACATTTCTGCGGCGAGGGGAGCGGCGTCCCCCGTTATGAAGGGACCGCGTGCGGACGCCGCTGCGACTTTTTCATCATTGGGGACGCCGCTCCCCTCGCCGCAGGGATGTTAGTGCATGCGGCCCTTAGAGGGGAGGGGGAGGGGGAGGAAAAGAGGGGAGCGGAAGATTGAGGAAGGTGATCGAAATAATTTTTGAGGAAAATCGCAAGATAGAACAGGAAGAAAACTCACTTGAAGTTCAAGAAGCTCAACCATATGCTCTTCTTTTTCGGAATTATTTGCGACATCTTCGTTTTCACTTTTCTTCAGTTGATAGATCTCTTCGAAAGCGGACTGAAATAAACTTGCTTTTATTTATCCCATAGCGTCATCGTGTCCATTTTGATAATTTTGAGAATGCAAAAATGTTTACTGGTGGAAATTCTCCACAGCATACGGTCTAACGCTGTAAACAAGACTACCAACATTCCCCGAAAAACTTTTTCGCAAGGAAGAATCTCAGAAGATGAGATCAGAATAGTGCCAGGGTGATATAGCAGTTGCTGATACGAAAGTGACATTCACTTGAATTTTTGGTATGATGCGGTAAGACTACGGTGGTCTTCGGTACGATGTCAGTGCCTTGCATTTTCAGAAAAATTGCATTTTGAGGTTGTTTCCGCGCTGATCACAAGTATGACGTCCATTTCTTTTACCATCCGTTTTGTTCACTAGGGTGCTAACATGGGAAACGGTATTAGTCCTGTAATCTCCGTGGCGTAAAACAGGAATCTATAAAAAAATTGGTGGTCCCAGAAGCTACTACATTGCTATTTAGCATGCTGGAAAATAATCATAGAAAATTCAAGCATCGGGTAAAAACTGCGAAAAAAACTAAAATTTTGATAATTCTGTTGGCTTTTTGATGGGCTAGAATGACTCTCCTGCCGGCTCTTACCCACTATGTGTGACTTCGAGTTTCAGAAAGATCATTATTTTCTGAAAAATTTGAGCTTATTTTTGTGCATAATCCTCGTTTGAAGTATATGTACCTACCGTAACATTACTGCATGCGCGCTATTCTTCTCTGCTCATGGATTTACAGAAAAGGAACGATGATGCAAAACTTTGAATTTTGGATGATGTTCAAGATGCTTTTCTGCTGGTTTGCTCTAGCCTGAGTTAACACAAAAAAAACCAAAACTTGAAATTCTTTTGAAACACGGTGGTACGTAAAAAATACTCGGAAGCGTATTGACAGCGAAGACAGGAAACGAAGAGTGATGATTGCAAATGCTCACCCGCAATTGCGATTTTGCATCATCCATGGTTCTTCGACTTTTGAACAGCACTTTTTCCATTTCAGCCATTTGCTTTTGTTTCTCCTCTTGCTCCTCAAGTCGTAATTTTCGCCATTTGCAAGTTATCGATGGCGAAAATAAGCCTTACCTCCATGATTTGCATTAATTCCGAATATAAGGTGACCATAAGTACAGCTTGTTGTTCCCACATATCTTGATCAAATACTCTTTTGACACCAATTTCAGCACGTTGTTCCCTTCCATCCCTTTCCACCTCGATCTCTTTCGTTTCCCTCTGCTTCAGCGGTTTTCTTGGTTTCTTTTTCGTCGACGAGCCTTCGTCCTGGGGAACAACATCTGGCCGAATTCCGTCGGTTTGAGTCTCTTGCACTTTGTTTTTCACTTGAGATGTGCGTGGCAATGGTTTTAGGGTTCCTTCAGCGTAGGCTCCCAACTCCACTTGCAAAAGAGTACAGTGGTTTGTGAGCTTAGCTATTTGTTCGTCTCGGAAAGCGAGTTGTGTCGTGAGACGTTTCAATTCTTCACGAGCATCACCGAATTTGAGCTGAAAAATGGTTAGCATACATGGGTCATTTTTCTGAATATACCGCAAATAAGAATCGGGTTGGTCAGAAAGATTGTTGGCCCCTTTTTCTTCAAAAAATTGTATGTTTGAAAATACAAATAAAGTGAGTACAAATAAATAATATATACAAATAAAATACAAATATTTGTTTTGTATCTTGATGGAACTGCTTGAAATCATATTTGTTTGAATGCAGAAACAATGTGCTTCACAACAGTGCTCTTGGGTTAGTACGGAAAAATTTCCAGAGTTAGAAGCAATTAAAGGAAATTGCTCAAGATGGGCAATTTTTAATGGCAAAAATCAAAGCCTACTCTTTGACATGAAAAGCAACCACTGTGTAGAAAAGTATCTGCTCCATTTAGTTTTTTACTTTTTATCCTGCGGTCCTCTAGTGTCTTTAGTACTTGCTTGAGATAAGCTCTTTTACCGATTTTCTTTATTCGCTTCTAACTCACGCATTCTCTTATAAGTTTTCACGGCAAAGTTCCTGCTATGATGAGTATAATTTCCTCAAAAAAATTTGCTATAAGTTTTTCAAATTCGAGTAATTATGAGCGCCAGTGTTTGACATAATTGATTTTGAGTAATTTCGAGCGCCAGTGTTTGACATCTTATATATAAAGCTGAATGTCTGTTTGTATGTATGTCTGTCTGTCTGTACGTATGTTCCGAATAGAAAATTCCATTTCTGAACCGATCCGGACCAAACTTGGCACACATACACTTCGAGCCCCGGCGCCTGTCATAGGCTACTTTTCGTCATCGATCGATATCGATTTTATCGATTTTATCGATTTTTTGCAAAGTTTGAGCTACGGGGCTGGGAGTTGGCACAGGGGGGTAATCGAGCATGCTGATCATCCCCAAGGGGGGTGATCAGCATGCTCGATTACACCCCTGTGCCAAATTCCAGCCCCCTAGCTCAAATTTTCAAAAAATCGATAAAATCGATAAAAATAATGGACGATCTTGAAAACTAATATTGTATTCGGAATCCCCATGCTCACTTCCCCCCTGTGCCAACTCCTAGCCCTGTAGGTGAACTCTGCAAAAAATCGATAAAAATCGGTAAAATCGACATCGATCGATAACGAAAAGTGGACTGTGACACCCGCCGGGGCCCGAAGTGTATGTGTGCCAAGTTTGGTCCGGATACGGCGGAGCCGGGTAAGCCAGCTAGTGATCTTATATATAAAGCTGAATGTATGTCTGTATGTATGTATGTATGTCTGTATGTACGTATAGGGGCCTGCAGGATCGCGAGAGTCGGACGTGCGTACGGCCATTGCGCCGCGCACGTCGTATGTCACTGGGTCGTACTCGATTTAGGCTGGATAGGTGAGATTTTTTTGTTTTTCTTCTCATTTCTCGCCTTCTTTTCTTTTCAGGCGGCGAACATATGTTGGTGCAGAGGAGTTTAAGATCTAGATTAAGGTGAGGTGCAGGATTATGCTCAATACGGGCCAATATTGTGGACTTTTCACCCCCTGCTTTGAAGAATGTTGAGTTTTCTGTTCTGGCTGTCCGATTATGTTCGATTTTTTGTCCTGCCTGCCCGGTTACGAAACTCCGTTTTATTTGCAACGTCTGTTCTACCTCATCTTGCATCATGCGCGTCATCACAATCATAATCATTGTCATCATCATCATCATCATCATCATCACAAGCAATATGCAAGATAAGGTAGAATAGACGGTAGAAATAGAACAGTTTGCTGTAACAGGGCAGCCAGGACAGAAAATCCAACATCTCAACCAGCCGGCATGGAAGGTCTGCAATATTGAGTCCGTATTGAGCATAATCCTGCACCTCACCTTAATTCAGATCTTAAACTCCTCCGCACCAACATGTGCTCACCGTCTGAAAAGAAAAGAAGGCGTAAAATGTAAAGAAAAACAAAAAAAACTTACCTATCTAGCCTTAATCGACTACGATCCAGCGATATCAGGCGTGCGCGGCGCAAAGGCCGTACGCGCGTCCGACTCTCGCGATCCTGCAGGCCCCTATATGTGCGGAATAAAAATTGATCGGAAAAACGGAATAGAAATCAAAATTTTCATCACTGAACCGATTTGGACCAAACTTGGCACACATATACTTCGGGGCGGGGAGCGTGTCATAGGCTACTTTTCGTTATCGATTGATATCGATTTTATCGATTTTTTGCAAAATTTGAGCTGTGGGGCTGGGAGTGGCACAGGGGGGTAATCGAGCATGCTGATTACAAATATGTTATTGACAGGGCCGGGCGGAGCCGGGTTTGCCAACTAGTTATTTTCAAACTCTAGCAGGATTAAATTGACGGTGACACATGGTTGTTAAAATCAGAGAGATTTTACTTTTGAGAAATCATAATTTTGTAAGTAATTGAAACAAATATGAGTAGTTTTGAATCATTCAGTCAATCGATAAGTACTCAGGAAATTGAAGGGCTTGAAAACGTACCTCCCTGAGCCTCTCGAGCTCAGCAGCAACTTCTCCGTGTATTTTATCCTTGCTGATCAAGGTGTCCTCCAGTTCTTGGATAGTCTTTTTCTGTGCCGCAATCTGAAACATCAAGATTTCAGTAGCTGTATATGGAAAACGGTTTTTTCCAAAAACCTTTTCGTTCGATTGTTCCAAATGGGACTCAAGTTGCATAATTCGCAGTTGGAAGGCTACTGTAGGATCAGTGGACGTTTTTGACGTAATTTCCCCGTAAAGGGTTCGAGCTGTTCTGCAAATATGAATTTTGAGTTTTGATGGGTAAAACGGAAATACAGGGTGTCCCAAAAAAATGTGCCTACTGTTTGATTGTAAATAACTCTCTTGTAATGGAGTGTTTCGAGAAGCCTTAAGTACCGTTTTGTAGAGCGAGCTTAAATTTAGGCTTACACTATGGAGCGAATCGGCGATCGCTTTTCGTTACTGTAGGATTACGGTATGAACTTCGACAAGGATTTCAGGCACTTGGAGGCTATATTCTGCCTCGAAACAAGTCCAAAGAAGCCAAAAACTGTTACACTACGGTAATGGGAGCCGCTGATTTCGAAGTTGAAATTCCCATTTTACTGTGAGGCTTCTTTCCTAAGTTATCCCCGGGAAATCGTAATAATTCAATTCCCAGCATTTGTCCGAAATGTAACTACACCGTCAAAAAAGCTGAAAACGCTCGCAAAAAGTTGTGTAGTGGAATCAGCATGTTCGAGAACCCTAGTACACGATTTTTCGGATTTTTTGAAAAAAATTTTGTTAAATGGTATATTTCCCATTGGCTCCATATGCTAAAAATTCTTACCGTAATCCTACGGTGATGAAGAGCGATCGATGATTCGCTCCATACTGTAAATCTAAGTTCAACCTCGCTCTACAAAAAGGTACCTAAAGCATTTCGAAACACTTCATTACAAGAGAGTTACTCACAATCAAACAGTAGGCACATTTTTTTGGGACACCCTGTATCTATGCATTTCATGAAAAAAGTAGATTACATACTTTGTAGCCTCAATCAGTTCGCCTCGCAATTTCTCCAACTCTGCTTCTTTTTCGTCTTGTTTCATTGAGTCGGCTAGTTGGCGTAGTTCGTCTAGCTCCCTCTACAAATAAAGTTGAACAAATTTTACAGGAAAGCCGAGGGGGGGGGGGAAAGGGAAGGTAAATGGACGGTTTAATGAATGAGTGACTTACCCGTGTGACATAGAGTTCTTCTCTGAGGTCTCTGTTCACTTCGGTCATCTCGCGCAGTTTCGACTAAATAAACTTTCTAGATGCAAATAATGAGGATCTTCCTTCTTCTTGCAGTAAACTTTACATAAAACCGGTCAGAATGCTAGACTTACGGCTGTAGATTGTTCGACGTCCATAGCCTCGCTTTCTACTGTCGCCAACATTGAAGTGCTTGCGTCCAGCTTAATGCTTTCGTGTAATATGTATTATTATGAAACCACATATTTTTTGAATAAAGTCTAAGATATAAGAAAAAAACAGGCGAATCCATTCTTCAGTTTTTTTACAAAATCAATTTGAGCTCATGATTTCATCTCATTTGTCCAACTTTGTTGAGCGCTTGAAACATTTGTTTTTTGTAGCATGTGTAGGTTGTCTTAATGAAAGTGTCACAGCTCCCATTACTCGCATCTTTGCGGCCGCTTAACTCAGTCTTGCGCGGCTACCAAAAGATATCCTGAGGACATCTTCCAGCACCTCAACAAGCCTTCATGGTGCTGAAACGTGCGAATATACCTAGAGTGTGTCCGCGAACGCGGCCAAACCTCGTGCGAAGCGGGCGCGAAGACCTTAACCGCTAGAGCGTGACAATCTCATTAAGACAGCCTATGTCTGTGCCCTTACTCCCATAACCACTTTCTTCAATGCATTTATGTGTGCGAATAAATAGCAAAATAAAAATAAACACACATTTACACAACCAAAGAGGCCAAATCCTCCTACCTTTTCCCTCATCACAGCATTTTCTTCAGAAAGTGCTCGCAGTTCTCTCCGTGCCGCATCGTACTGAGCTGTCTGTTCAGCATATCTGAATTTTTTCATTAATGGCAGCTTCCAAAATTTTCATTTTATAGTTTCTTAATCATATTCGAGCATCTTCAGAGTGTTGGATCCAGAACTCTGCCTTCAAACTTGTAGAAATGTCAAGACTTGGTATTGTTACAAAAGATGCTGGTGGGCGTGGCGTGTTTGTGACCATTGCCTGATTGGTTGGATCAAAAGCGCCATGCCCACCAGTCAAAGTGCCTAGTTAGTTTTAAAAAACCTTAGAAAATCGAAGTTCACACATCGAGGATCTGTTTGGGTTGCGATTTTGTTTCTATTCTGGAGTGCTAGAGTAACTCTGTATACCTGGCTGAGCTCTCGTTGATAATTCGCGTAGCTTCTTCGAGTGCATCACCGACACGAACAACTTCTTCACGTAATTCCTCGTTTTGAACTACGACAGCCTAAATTCCATCCTACTATTTTCACTGATTCTCCACGAAAAACCTCACCTGCATTTGTTTCGTCAAAGTGACTGCCTGCTCATTCCTTTGGCGAAGTTTGCGCGATTCCCATTCATTTGTCGTCTCTTCGCTTTTCGCAGAAATTCGCCGCTGTAGTTCTCGAATTGTGTCTTCCATTTGGTTTCTCTAAAGTGAGCAGAGTGGGAGCGCAAAATTATCTACAAATTTAGATAAAAAATCTTTACATGCTGTTCCAGTGCATCGCGCTCTCTTGTGAGTACATCGGCTCTGCTAACAAGGCTTTCAAATCTGAAAAATGTCGTTTTCAGTATCAAATTTTCTCAAGAAATGTCGTTCCACTAAAAGCCAGGAATGCAAGTTGTATTCATATACCGACCTATCTCTCAAATCGGCCATTTCCCTGTCTCTATCACGATTATTCTTTTCGAGTTCACGATTTTCTTCCCGAAGAGAGTCTATTTGAGCACGAAATGCTTCAGTTGAATCTCCCGCTTCAGCCGATACCGTAATCCTTTCGCGAAGTGTATCGAGTTCTTCCTATGAAAACAAAAGTTCCATTTGGGGTTTCAATTTTTTTTCTCTTTCATATCATATGCAGAACGAAAAAGAGAAAACTATGGTAAGTTTATTGGATATAATCATATTTTTGTTCGAAGTTGTATGCTTTATGAGAAAAATAAGGTAAATGAGTTTTTGATTGTATTTTTCTAAATATATTTTTGAAATTTTTTCACGTATGAGTACCTTCAGCACAATTTTCTGTTCTTCCCATGCCTCTTCTTTCTCGGCCATGGCTGCTGCTTCACGCTCTGCCACCTCCCTCAACTCTTCAGCTGCCGTGAACGAAAAACTCATTAGAAATCTAAAATTTGTTTTTTTAGGATCATCAAAGGCAGTGACTCGGGAAAATTGCGGGTTTTGGGTTTTTTTTTGGCTGAACCTGGTATTTATCAGTAAGAACATTTACAAAGCTAAAATCTCATTATCAAAGTTCCAAAGATATGTAATACTCAACTGCATATATGTGAGTAGGATATTAGGGGCAGACCTTGCCATTTGCTTTCCCTTTTTCAATTTCAAATACAAACAAATTGTGCATATATGGACGAGTGCATGTATTATATGCTGACAAATGAATTTTCCGAAATTTTTTTGCTGCGAAGTTCCGACTTTGGCCTCATGAAATGTTCATAGATTTTTAAAAATACCCTTGAAACATTTTTTGGTTTTCATCTTGTTGTTTTGTCATAGAAAACGACATTCTTTTCGGCCCAATAATAGATAGCCTACATGACTGTCTATAAAAAAATCAAAAACTCACTTTACTGCATGGAACAATGTGTCCAACTCAGCTGGAGATTCTGTACCTTCGAGATCATACTAGAAAAAGAGAAAAATAGGATCGCAATGTAAATGAAAGTAAATCTTTTCATCTTCTTATATTCTTACAGTCATGACTGAATCTTCTAGAAGATAAGAGCACGCAAGTGAATTTTCGAGACTTTGAAAATTCAGGAACATACATATATGGGTTCTATGGATTCCAAACAAATCTCACCTCTGAGAGTTTTTCATACCAATGATAGATCGAGGAAATATCATCGGTTTGATTGTCGAGAAATTCATTGAGTGCATTGTAGTTGATCACTTGTGTCATTCAAGAACTTTGCCTGAAGCTAGGAAAAAATCTAGCTGCAAATAAAAAATTTGTAAATGGAGTTAAAAACGGAAGTCTGGAATTCTTGTTTCTAAAAAGAAGATAATTCATGTTAGGAATAAAGTGAGAAAATGTGAGTTTAGCTAGTTTAGCTATATTTTCTAGGGTCAACACCGTTCGATGACACCAACGATTAGTGCGCCTCGAAATCGTTGCCAAGCAACTGATGGTCAGCGGTGGTCGACAAGACTTTCCGCTTACCCACGCTTACTACGATTACCGGTTATGCGCAAAAGAAACCAATTTGCAAGATTTATAGACTCAAGTTTTAGAACCGACAAATGCTTCTATAAACAAATTGCGATAGCAGTGCGTTTTTCATTGATTTTTCGTTTTTAACAGGTAAATTTTTTTAGAACCATTTTTCACATTTTAGTCAAAGATTCCATTGAAGCGTATGAGTATTTTGACAAAACAGAAATGCTCAGATCAGATACCATTCTGTAGTTTATGTTTCTAATTTCTACACTATTTTGAGCAAATGTTTGTGGTTGCTAAAAGACAAAAAAATTGAGAGCTCAAAGCAATAAAAATGATAAAAAATGGAGCATTTATTTTCTTTTTATTTCACAAAATACTGAAACCAAGATTCTTGTAAATTTGCAAGTCTTTTTTTAGAACCCAAAATAGAGTCTGGTTTCGTAACATGACCTAATGAATATTGACTGGAATCATTTCAGACTTGTCATAAGGCAGATCAGGCTCGCAAAATTCTCTTTTGGTAAAAAGCATTGACTTGAAAATTTACCCTACCGAAATAAAAGCTGTTCGAAAGTTGTGAACCATTGAACCCACTACCTCGTTTTTTTTGTCGTTGTTTGTCGTGAGCTGAGAAGAAAAGCAATAGATAAGTTTTTGATTTGTGCGATCCCTAATCAAGGCTTTCTTACCTCCCCTAGATATTTTTCAAGATATCCTGGACCTCTTACGATAACCTTATCTTGAATCAACTCCTTCGATAAAACTCTAGTGTTAGCATCTACCGTGATGTATCTATTGAAAATATCAATCTAGACGCTGTTTTTAAGGTATGACCGACTTACACCTCCACGATAACATGCCCTTACGGTAATGAAAAGCTCAGCTTGTGGTAAAATTTTGCTCCATGGACAGTTGGACTATTTGTAGGGAGCACCATGAGTTTTCTTCCTGCGGTATATCTCGGGTTGACGGATTTAGTAGCAAACGGTTTCATTTTCCGAACTCGCCTTTCAAATGCTCTGCTACACAGAAACTGCCAATTGAGTTATGGAAAAATGCTTTCTAAATCCTCTAAACACAGTATGGGCTAAGTTCCATCGAGAAACATTTCCGGAAAACTTTTGTGATTTAAATCTAGATTTTTTTTACAGAAACCGATTGATTCAGATCTATTTTAAGATCGACAACGGACGACACGCCATGGAGATTGCCTCATGCTCTGCACCTACAACGCCAGGACAATCTCCACAAATGTCGATCTTCACGCTCTTCTCGACGCTGCGGAGCGCATCAAGTACCACATCATCGCTCTGCAGGAAACGAAGTCCAGAAAGAAGGACGTGCGATAGATGATTGATGGCACCCTCATCATTGTTGTGAAAACATTCCATCACGAAACGTTGGGGGCGTTGGTTTTGTCATCCACTTATCTATCGTTTATCTTGTCGATTCGCATGAGATCCTGTCACCTCGAACTAGCAATCCTACGACTACGACCTCCACGTTAAGAGACCACCAGCATCATCAGGCTACTCACCAACATCAGCGACTGACGACTCAGAGCTAGATGCTTTCTATGAAGACGTGGAGGAGGTTGTCCTCAACGAAAAGTCTTTCTATAAGTATGTTGTGGGCGACTTCAATGCCAAAATCGGGATGCCACTAGAAAAGGAAGATAGGATCGGGAAGTTTGGGTGTGGGCTCCGGAACGAACGCAACCGTCTCGTTGGGCTTCTCTCCGCTGCACGACTTTTCCATGGAAATTCCATCTTCATGAAGAACACCGCCGGTGGCCATGGGAATCGCCCAACGGAATGACTCACGCGGAGATCGAGCATAAACCGACCATTTCTTATCATTTTTCGCTCGATGTCTCAGTAGTTTCCATCCTTCTGCAATGGCTCCGATCACCGTCTCGTTCAAGCGAAGATACGATTTAGTTGAAAGCTGGAAAATAAGGTCTGCCACAGTGCCCCAAGAAAGAAGAATGTCGTTTATGAGGGAACAGGCTGGAGGAGCTCATATCAAGTTGTGACTGGCCCATCGAGGAGGATCCAACGCACGACTACAACCGGCTTCTGAAAGGATTGCGATCCTGCGGAGAATGCGCCTCAGTGACTTCTGAGAAGAACTTGGAACGCAATTTGAAGACCACCAAGGAATTGCTCGAAAGAAGGAGATTTCTGAGGCAGGATCCGAATGCAACTCATCTCGAGTGACTGGTCTAGCAGGAGGATCTCAGGAGGTACGGGCAGGTCAAGATGCTGAAAGCAGCCACTGAAGATTTACGCCAAGGATTCTACCCAGGGCCCGGCACCGATGGTTTGGGGTCAAACTGGACTTCGTTTTTGGAGTTAGAAGCAACGGGGACATCGTTTTTATGAGGTCCTGGAGGAAGCGCCAAAAAACACGACGAACATGTCAGGTTTCACGAGTTGAACGTGTTCTTTCGCAAGCGCGCGAATTTCAAATGCAAGACTCAAACAAACAATTGGCTTGTTTACAGCGCACAAACAGTCACATGGCTCCGAATTTGGGCTATGAGTATACAATATTACTCCAAACTATGTTATGTAAAAAGTTTCCAAAACTTATGTGTCTGAATACCCGTTCCGGATTTGTTGGTTTCTAGACCAACCACCGAACCAACTGGGTTGGTTCGGAGCATAAATTTCGGAGAGTTCACATAAGTTTTGGACCTTTTTGATTTGGACGATTAAAACGCTCAAAAATCTATTATATAGTGAAGAGAGCGAATCAAACCATTGTCTCTCCTCTTCTTTTGAGCCAAAAGTAGTGCAAATCTATACGACTTGATAGATACTGCGCTCCAACCACACGCGGTGTCCTTTGAACTATGTGGCGAAAAATGCACTGCCAGATTGTTGAGGCCACAGATTTGGTTGGCCCAGGAGGTTCTCGACATTCTGAGCGCTAAAATGGTACACTACCCAATGACAGAGCCTTTAATCAACTCAAAATGCTTTCTTTTTGCTTTTTTTTGTTGTACTAGTTACCTCAAAATGCGCTTTTTTCGCTTTTTTGATGTTATTTTGACTAATTAAGGGTTTCCCTACTGATTTTTACGCCAAGAGGGACTTCGTAAATTTTCGCGAAGTCATGGGGGACTTCGTTTCCAGAAACGCTTCAAACCAACGCGTGCCGGGCCCTGATTCTACCTGCTGAAGTGCACACAGGGATTTAGACCATGAAGACGTCCACGCTCCAGGAGCAAGCCATCTTTCCATCGAACTTCTGCGAGCCGGAGGACACCATCTACACGAGGCTCTAGCATCGCATTTGACATCTTACTTTCAGAAGGAGAGGATTCCTGACCAAAAGAAGACGTCCACGAAGATGGAGAACATCAAGAACCGTCATTCTCTTCAAGAAGGGCGAACGGGTCGATCTTCGGAAGTACCGCACACCGCACCGCTGCTGAGTGTGCTGTACAAGCTTTTCACGAAGATTATCCTCGCTCGCATATTTGGGACACTGGAAGGACGAAGCTCAACCTCAAGAACAAGCTGGATTTCGCAAAGGATCCAGCTGCATGGTCCACATCCAGATGGTTTCGAGGGTCATAGAAGTTTGGCCTCTCGTCCTAATCTTCGTCGACTACGAGAAAGCCTTTGACAGCGAAACTAACGCCATCCTGTCTGCGCTAGTCAATCAAGGAGTGGACCCAGCTTACGTGAAGACGTTAGCCGACTGCTATAAGGAATGTACAACGACGATGCAGCTATTCCATCGCCCTTTTAAAGCAGTATCACTGAAGCAGAGACAATGCTGAAGGAACTAAACGAAGTAGGGAAGAAGATAGGACTGAGAATAAATCGGAAGAAGACTCAGTTCATGAAGAATGCCCTTTGCGAAGATGAGGAAATGGTATTGGAAGGCAACCCTATCATGGAGACGTCTTCCTAAGTGTATCTCGGACGTTCGAACGTCCGAGATACACTTAGGACACTCCGAGATAACATGGAGAACGACTTGAGGGAAAAACGTGACAGGAGAAGAAGAGCAGCTTGGGCCGCATTCGGGCCTCTGAAGGAAGCCACCGACCAACTGACGGACCCGGAGCTTCGTGCCCAACTGTTCGACTCAACCATTCTCCCATTGCTTTGTTACGCAGCTGAGACTTGGGCCGACACTGTAGCCACGTCGAAAGCTTTACGCACCACCATCATGAGAAAAACAGACGACAGATGGATACTAAGAACATCTGAGTGGATTCCTCGCGAAGCCAAAAGACCGCGAGGAAGAGCACCAACGAGATGGGCAGACGTTTTCGTGCCACAGATGGACCAGCTGAGAAATCAGTTGGATACGATTTTCGCACCTTCGCACTTAAATCTCATGGACGCAGCCACCGACGACAACCAAGAAGATCGTGGATGTCCGAGGCGAGGGACAGGGATCAATGGAAACTTCACTGGGGCCCCCACGCCACGTGAGGACGGGCCCCCTAGGTATCTAAGTAAGTAGGTGTTCTCAGATCTATCCATATTCAAAGAAGTCATGCAAAAGGACCTAGATTCGACGAAGTTGGGCGAAATGATAGAATGATAGAAACTAAATTTATTATTTTAGATGTAATGGCTGAATAAAGTCCTTCTTTCTCTCAGCTCAGGGATCGAAAGTACAGTAAACATATTAGAGCGCATTAAAAGAGGCTGGTGTGAGGGTTTTGCTTCGCTTCTTACAAAGGGAGGACCAGAAGTTGCAAATCTCTTTCCACATGAAATATATACCAATGTGAAAAGCATCAAACGCTAATTTAAACTGTCCTTTTGCCTGCCAACATGTAAGCGCTGAGCTATAAGCGTTTTTGGCCCAAAAAATTGAATGAAACTCGTCCAAGATTGCACAAATGAATCAGCATCAAATATCAGAGCACTTTGTACATGAAAAACTTTCTGGGCAATATACTCGTACTCAACATCTCTTCACTTGAGCGCTGTTTGTCCACATCAGTTGATTTTACCTAGATTTTGTTACCATTTTTTGCTCCACGAAACAGTCATAATTCAGCGTCTAGAGGCGCTTAGCAAAAAAAAGCAGTTTTGGAATTGGGTTTTGATGCTTTTTAAATTAGTATATATTTCACATTTGGAAAGCCGGGTCTCGCTTCGGGTCCTTCACTAGTCAGTAATAGTTTGCCTTCCTCGTGTTGAACCCTGGAACTTTATTATGCGGCATTGTCATCACTTGAAAATAGTTTCTGACTGTATTGTTGTTGGAAAGCCACGGTTTTAAAGGCAAAATTTTTTTGACAACGTAAATGAGGAGAAGAAACTGCCAAGGGCATGTTTCCATCCCTGAATAATAATAAAGAGAAAGATATCGAGATCGGCTTCCTTCTCTTCTCTTCTCACATTGAACTTCTCCAGGAGGTTACTGGAAATGAAACCGTTATGCATTGTCCTTTCTAGTAAATGTATCAGTAGTGTTTCAATAGCAGTGCGATAACATTGAACTATGGTGAGGAGACTAAGTAAAGTTTATTTTAACTTTTGCTAATGCTGCTTTTGGTCATTTTCAACGTACTCGCTACATTGGCGTTATCACAGTACTGTAAACACATGGTGCGTTCTGATGCGCTCGGCTGTTTGCAATAACGGGACTATTTCAGCCGCTTTCTGACGATGAGTTGGTTGGGGCGACCGTAGAATACGAGCATCCGCAAACTCATAATCGGACGAAACGAGCTGCATCAGATATTTGGGACTGGATAAGAATAGAGACTGAATACGATGCATCAGTGGACATGTACGCATATTTTACTTGCCTCACATCCATCTATCATTTCGCACGAGTAGCTGCTAGTAGGGTGGCGTTACCATTGCGGCTCGCCTGTGACTGGTCAGCACATCGGCCTGATTGGCCAGCTCGGGCAAGACGGAGCAATGAAGGACCACCAGCTCACTTTTGTATATCTATCGCGTCCAACATGATGAAAGTGCTGGTGCAGTTTTAATGCACTCCTCTTATGCAAGATGCGTCTCTGATCAGACGTTGCCGTTCGCGGGACGTCGCACGCGGCAAAACGAACATCGCGCGCGAACGACTGAAAAGGGCTTTTTTGGGACAAACAGGTTGCTTTTGCTACATGAACCGCGTAGAACTGGACCGCCGAGCTGACTAGGCCAAGAATAATCGTATGCATCGATTAGTACAGAATCAAGCTGTTACGCCATGACTGGGTAGATCCTCAGATGGGAAAGGACTCGAAATGGCAACGATGACCTGTCGCCTATTTGTTGCTTGTTCTGCCTTTTCTCTATTCACATTCTCATTCTCTTCGTTTTCTTCTCCTTCCTTGTTCGCAATTCCTTGTTTGTGTAGGGTTTTTGTGAGCTCATATGCTTACCCCATGCATCACTTCTTGGATAACCACTTCTTTCCAGTGTGACAATAAAATGAAATCGAGCTGTTGTTAATGTGGAACGAAAATACTGTTTAAGGTGGAGTTCATTCCTATATATGTTCGGCAAAATTTGGTTCATCATTAGGTGAGTTTGGTTGGGAATGAATGAGGAAGTAGTTGGACAAATGCGGCTCTAGAATGTCTGTGTGCACAATTCGTCGATTTGAATACAATATTTACCATTATCGAGACTAAAGGAACCATGATCAGCCTCTTTCTGATTGGGCCTTATAACTTGCCCCTTAATTACTAGCCTCAGCTGCAGCACAGAACATAACGAGATATACAATTATGGCAAGTATGGAACGGCAATACATAAAATAACAAGAACACGATCGAGTTCGGAAGTGAGGATCCGAATGAAGTACGAGAGAAGGGTCTTGCGACCCTAAGACGACACTTCACCAGACACTCACCACCTGCCGTACTGTTCCACCTCTGTCTTTATGCTCTGCTTGTCGAGTTATCGCACCATTGATCTGTAAGCAAAGGGCGAGGAAAGAGTCTGGGAGAATAAACACATAGATTACGTAAAGGCCGAGAATTTGGAAAAATCTGAGAGATCTTATTACTTAACCTGCGCTCTTGCATCTTTCCCCTTTACGCAAGTCCGTCTTCGGACTTAGGGACGTAGTGGATGTAGTGTTGTGTCGTCGAAGAAGTGCAGGTCGGTGAGAAGGTTCTTATGCGTGCACCATCGGATGACCTCGGTCCATGTTGGGGCGTTCTGCAAAAAGGTTAGAGCCTAGAATAAATATAACATCTCGGGCGCGCGAAAGGACTACGTTGATCCGCTTTGGGTCGCAGAAAAGCGTGGGTTTGGCTGATGGCTCTATGTGCATGCGTGCTGTGCAAAGGATTACGATAGGTTTTTCAGTTCCTTGGGCGCTATCCACCGTGCCCAACCGTGATTTCGGATCCCTGAAAGACATTATCACAAAGAACTTTCGGTCCCTGTGACATATAACAAGTATATCTTTTGGTGCTATGCCATTGGTAATGAGCATGCGTGCGATAACATGTGCAGCATTTGCTTCTATGATGTTGCTATGTCCTGTAAGTGACTGCTCGGACTGTGATGGTACGTTTACAAACGGTATTTTCACGTTGGGCTTGCGGGGTTGTGTTAGTATGAGAGAGCTGGCCCTGCTCGAGTGGGGTTTCACGTAAAAGTGTTGCTAGTAAGATTTCTGAGTTGAGGTGCATCATTTTGACATGGGGTTGGTAGACGGTACGAATGGTACATGAAGGCATGCCTTGTTTGTTGGTGACCAGGTCGAGGACCGAGCGCATGCTGACTCCCACTGCAAAGGGTACCATTTGCAGCCCACATATGGCGGGAGCTGTTTGTTATCTTATATATAAAGCTGAATGTCTGTTTGTATGTATGTATGTATGTCTGTCTGTCTGTCTGTATGTCTGTGTGTACGTATGTTCCGAATAGAAAATTCCATTTCTGAACCGATCCGGACCAAACTTGGCACACATACACTTCGGGCCCCGGCGCGTGTCATAGGCTACTTTTCGTCATCGATCGATATCGATTTTATCGATTTTTTGCAAAATTTGAACTACGGGGCTGGGAGTTGGCACAGGGGGGTAAGTGAGCATGGGGATTCCGAATACAATATTAGTTTTCAAAATCGTGCATTACTTTTATCGATTTTATCGATTTTTTGCAAAGTTTGAGCTACGGGGCTGGGATTTGGCACAGGGGGGTAATCGAGCCCACGGGGTGATCAGCATGCGCGATTACACCCCCTGCCAAATTCCAGCCCCCTAGCTCAAATTTTGCAAAAAATCGATAAAATCACATTAACCGATAACGAAAAGTGGACTGTGACACCCGCCGGGGCCCGAAGTGTATGTGTGCCAAGTTTGGTTCGGATCGGTTAAGAAATGGAATTTTCTACTCGGAACATACGGCGGAGCCGGGTATGCCAGCTAGTCCCCTATATGAATGAAGCGCGTGCATACTGAAAACGTGACACGAGGCCATAAGTGCAACTTCTGAAGTTTGGTATCTTGCACCAGGTTCTTTGTTTAAATGTAAGGTTGAGCGCGAAGGACACGGTGCATAAGAAAACATTTGGTTCATACAGACGCAAAAATTGGCTGATCGGTGCCTCAATGTTTGTAGACGTCCGTTCTTCTAAGAACAAGAGGCGCTTATGCTCGCTGGTAACTACGAATCGATCTGTTCCGGAAAACACAGACTCAAGCAACTGTTGAATGGCCCTGGAGAAGTTCTCGAATTTGCGGTATAGGGCGTCAGACAGGAGATCCCTGTGGGTGGCATGAAAGTTCTCCATGAGCGTTTGGATGGCGAACGGAGAGGTGGTGAGTGTGTCACTGGCCAGGGTCTCACTAACATATCGAACTGCGCGTATGTTTTGTCCGAAAGTTGCTGAATTTTCACGCCAATAACGTCTAATGCACTATTTTGCACCGCAGTGACTAAGATTTTCCGACCGTTCTTAACTGCATCACTGGCCATGACTTCTGTGCACAAGGTTTTTCCTGCGCCATACGCGCTGTCGACCGCGGCTATTGGGTATCGGCACAATGTAATGGGCGATCCGGCTATATCTATCGAATAGGACTCATATTTATAGTCCCTTCACTAGTGAGGACCATGTCAGCTGAGAGGAGCGCATGGGCTGACGTCCATCCGAGGCTGTCCGACCTAAATATTTTGGAGAGGAGTGAATGCTCTCATGGCCAGTACTCGGTTGGTGCTGGATGTAGTGCTGGGTAGGGATGTCGCTACTGCTATGCGTCCTGAAGGTGAATTAAGGAAATAATCCTACACCTCACTCCGTCCGCGGTTTCCAGGTGTTAATCTGGAGAGTTTCCCCCTCCTTGACGACACTTGTGATCTTACCTCTCAGAATGTCTGCCTCTAGGCACCTTGGATGGGATGCCCGACTGCCCGACAGTTTTCTTGCCTACCGGAATAGCAAACTGCACTGCTACTGGATAACGGTTGAGGTCGGGAAAAGTCCAGACTGTTGAATGGTCTACCGTATCAGTGCTATCTGCCACGACCCGCTATTGTGCCGCAGGCTGTACTGTATAATGGTTCTGAAAGATGACCTCGGTCGGACGTTTTTGAAACATGGTAAATCCCCAGTTTATCCTGCACTTGCCGCTGATGTTCTGCGGAAGTAATTCTGATGTCGAATGGCGTCGGAAGTGGACTGGGGAAATACTGAATCTCGGCCACGTATGATGCTAGTCCTCTCGCGCATAGGTTGGCTTACAAACGAATACATGTACCCTCGATATCATCCCATATGTCTTCCCTCAACATGACGTGGATTAGTGGCTTGATGAGGCGCCGCCTCGCCTCGGGCTTGCGCCACGTTGCGTGCGCATTTTCGGCGTGATGTGGCAACAAGAAGAACGTGGAAAAGCCTGCGCCACGTTGTGTTGAGCGCCACGTCGCGCCAAATGATGCGCTCGCAACGTGGCGCGAGCCCGAGGCGAGGCGGCGCCTCATCAAGCCACGTAATCCACGTCATGTTGAGGGAAGACATATGGGATGATATCGAGGGTAATCGAGTTGTCTGGGCGCCGTCATAAAGGAGCTTGCGCGAATTTTATGGGAGTCATTTGGGTTCTGCAGTCTCTTTCGGTTCACGGTCACTAGTTGACGGTGTCCTTGCATGTAATGTGTCTTGATATGGTGGGTGTTACCAATCCCAGCGTTGGGGTGAACTCGTGGTAGATAAGCGCAGAACGAGCTACACGCCAGACATTTGGTTGCCTCATGTGTTGCTTCCTCTACCGTACAAGGCAAGGGCATCTTCGTCGTGACGAATTTGACCGTAGGAACCAGAGTATATACCCAAACCAGGTCGCCGATGATCATTTTACTACTATCGATGCCTCGCTTACCTGTCTTGATGTTCACTCCAATTGATAGAGTTGGACTGTGTGTAGGTCGAGTCTATTTGGAAAGGTCACTCTATGTGTAAGGACGACAGTATGATCCGCTATTGTAAAAGCAGATACACGATAAAGAACTGGCACAATCTTACTGTCAGAGACTAAGCCATGTACAGCCTGGATGGCCTCTGGCGTTGCACGTGGCGCGTTAGGTATGGTCGGAAGGGGTATGTTGTTACTGTGCATGGTGATCATCTCCTCGGCACTGTGTCTATCCCTGAAATCTTCCATGGCTGTAGGGCCTACTGCCTCCAGAATGCAGACGGGCTTTCTGTTCGAGGAATTGCATCAGAGAGTTCCGGAAAAAGTCCATCGACTAAACCGCCGTATCCTGAAATTGGAATTCTTTTGAATTTACTCAGCCAAATTGGAATCGTAGTATGGGGAGAGA